GAGACCTATTCTGCAGAAAAAGAAGTCATGGACTACCTGATGTCAGGCTACGACCTTCAGATTCTGCATAAGTTTCCAAGCATAAAGACAATCTTCTTAAAGTATAATGCTCCAACCCCATCAAGTGCTCCTGTGGAGCGGCTTTTTAGTCTGGGGGGTTTGGTGCTCACGCCGAAAAGAAATCGACTTTCTGACAAAAGGTTTGAGAAGCTTCTGTTAATGAGGTACAACCACTGGTTTACTCACCCCACTCTACTGTTTCCCCCATAACATGTGATGACAACATGTACTGAAAAAAAGAGAATAGGGAATCCAATTTAAAGAACTATTTACAAGTAAATGAATTAAATTTATCAAAGTCAATTAATAAATTTATTAAAGTTTTCAAGTTGATTAACTTAAATCAATTACTTGCAAGGAAGTAAGGCAATTTAAGTTGGACCTGCATTCTCTTTTTTTTTCATAAGATTACTCCAAAGTTACAAAAGCGGACAATAGTGCTTACATGTGGATGGTATGAAAAGTATCTTAAGGGAAGTCAAGAAAGACTCTTTGTTTGTTTTTTATAAAAAGCTTTCATGTGAAATGAAGTCAAGAAAGACTCCTTTTTTTTTTAAAGTATTTATGTTAAATAAAGTCAAAGACTTTCTTTATTTTCATACAAACAAGTATTTCTGTCAGGAAAAAAGTTTTAAGTTCAACTTCAAATGTCAGGAGATATATTGTTGACATTACTGTTAAAATACACTTCCAATAAAGTGAGTATTGGCAAAACCGGTTGAAGTTTTTATGTTGAGGCAGTGGGGAGTGTTATTGGCAGCTTCTGAAAGTAACCAATAAAATAACTAGTAATCTAACTTAGTTACTTTAAAAATAAAGTAATCAGTAAAGTAACTAAGTTACTTTTGAAAGGAGTAATTAGTAGTCTGTAATATATTACTTTGTCAAAGTAACTGTGGCAACACTGGCCCCAGACGAGCTGGTTCCCAAAGTCAGAGACTCTCTTGGTCAGCTTGCTTCTCACACCAAACCTTCCGTCAGGAATCTTGGCATGACCTTTGACCCAGCTCTCACCCTGGATTCTCATGTCAGTTCTCTTGTTCGCTCTTCCTTCTTCCATCTCAGGAACGTTGCTAAGCTGAGTCCCATTCTGTCCCGCTCTGAACTTGAGACAGTTCTCCACACCTTCATCTCCTCACGCTTAGACTACTGTAACTCTCTTTTCACGTGTCTGAGCAGAACCTCCCTGAACCGTCTACAGGTGGTTCAGAATGCCTGTGCTCGGCTTCTGACCAAGTCCTCCAAACACACCCACATCACCCCGCTTCTCCTCCAGCTTCACTGGCTGCCAGTCAACTTCAGGGTTCATTTCAAGATCCTGGTTCTGGTCTATAGGGCCTTACATGGACAAGCACCATCTTACATTGGTGATCTTCTTAGTCCCTACACCCCCAGCAGGTCCCTGAGGTCCAGTGACCAAAGCCTACTGGTTGTGCAGCACCAGGCTAAAGACCAAAGGTGACAGATCATTTGCTGCTGTGGACCCCAGACTCTGGAACTCTCTCCCCCTGAGCCTGAGATCAGTGGACTCAGTGGTCTCCTTTAAAAAGCAGCTGAAGACTCACCTGTTCAAGCTGGCTTTTGTATGACCTTCTTCACCACTTTCTCTTTATTCTGCTCTCCCCACCTATTCCACCTTCCTCAGGATCCACTGATTTCCCTCTTTCCTGTTCACTCTCTCTCTTTCTTAAATTTTTTTTAATCACAATCGTCAATGTTTTGCTCATTTAAAATATATTTTTAACCATTTTCTAAATTCTTTTTTATATTTTTACATTTTTGTTTTTGTGAAGCGGCTCGTGATTTTTATCTTGAGAGGCGCTATGGAAATGAAATTTTCTTCTTCTTCAGCGGGAGCTCCTTACCTGCTTCACGGCTGTTAGCTGCAATGCTAGCGGGTAGCATTTTCAGTTCACTGATCATCAATAAAAAGCACAAGAAGAAGAAAAAGAAGGAGTTTGCGTTTCTGTTGGCAATATGGCGGAAACTGGAAGTTAAAGTACGAGAGTAACGCCTCTGGAAGTGAAGCAAAGAGCTAAAACTGAAAGGAACGTCGGCATGGCCTACACTAGCATAAGGGAGTTAAAGGCTACAAATCACGGACTTTTGGTGAGCTGCATGACTTTGTTGCTACTGGACTTGTGTGTAATATTACTTTTTGTCGAACAGTGTGGCTCTTCTTACTTTGTGGCTTATTTTAGTGATAGTTGGCTCATGTTAGAGTTAGCTCATTGTTAGCGCTAGCTACAGCAGGCCGCAAGCAGGGTTGTTACTGACAGTTGTAATTCCACTTTGAACCAGTAGGGCAAAGGAGAAGGAAACTGTCCAGTGTTGCTTTAAATTACTTTTTTGTTCAGTTATCGGTTTTGTGATATATGAAATGAAACAAGTAATAATAATAAAATTAACCGTGCTTTGAGGATTCAGCTCTTTCATGCAACTCTGTTGTCTTTCCTTTTGGTTTGCCAGTGAACCAGAAAGGACAAATATAATCTGGATCAGTAGCTGTGGTTTGTTTCAGTGATGATTCGAGAGGCTTTGAATCTGTGATTAAAGGGAAGACTGATAAATGTCCAGTTTCTGGTCCCTGATGATGACTGATCTGCTTCTCTGTTGTCCAAACTGCTCGATGAAAGTCAGCTGATTTACTGCAACCAGCCTGTTTAGATCATGAGGACAAACATCCAAATGTTCTGTATTTATTACTGACAAGCATCTTAGAAACGGAATAATCTGAATTTGTTGTACTCGTTTTTAATAAAATTAGCTGGTTTGTGTTTAGTTACACAGGAACATCTGTTTCATCTAATAAATCTGTTGATTCGTTTTACTTTTGAAGCCGAAAACAGTTGGTGGGTCCATTTAAAACAATTAAATGAAAGAGGAGCTGCATAAATGAGTCATACTGCAGGTGGCACATAGCAAAGCCATAAACAAGTTCAGCTTTTAAGTCAGGCTAACGTGATGAGTTACAGGATTAATTATGACAATAAAGCATGTATTGTGTCGACTCATGGCCACAAAGGTTAATCACAGACTGCAGAGGGACAGCTCCTAATCTTTCTGAATCAATGTTCTGTGTAGGAAAAAGAATGTCTGAGGAAAAAGATCCAAGGATTCATTTGGACTAAAAACACCTTTCAAGTGAAAAATGCAGCCAAGAGAAACAAAGTGATGACACAAAAAAACCATTAGACACCAAATAAAAATAAGATGGAGAGTCATTTAATACCCATCTGTTTATAATGAGCTTCTTAAACCACAAGAAATCAGCAATAAACTGGATTTGCTGCTTGTATTCTGCCTTTTACACATTATATTATTAGATTTTAGCTGTGTTTCTTTGAGACATTAAACAAAGCTCTAACTTCCCAGGTTGTATTTCACGCTCGTTGGATTTCATTGTATATTTCACAGAAGAAGAAGAAAAAGGCTTGAGGGTAAATGTATGACCCATCTGTTTTTTTCTGATAAAACATCTGACTGATGCAACCAGTGTTCAATCTCTGCTGAATGGTTGTAATTACATGCAGAATAAAGACAAAGGCAACATCTCCCTCTGCTGGCTGCAGTAATCTGAAAAAGCGACAAAAATGGTCCTTATTTTATTTTTAAAGACGGATTCTCTAATCATTAACCTTGTAATATTCTGGTCAAACACATTTTTATGTTCTGATATAGGACGTGGTAAGTTGGGAATAAAATAACCCAAATTAAGATACAAAAAAAATTGATAAACAGAAATAATTACACAACCCTAAAATGTAATCTTAATCCTTGGCTTGTTGTTTTTTTCTTTTGTTTGTAAAATCAAAAATTTCATAAAAAATTTACATTTTCATTTAGTGTGGCAAAACTAATATTTTACAACAATTATAAAAATAAAAAGCTCTTCAGTTCATTCTCTTTAGTTTGTTCATCTTGAGAAGGATAGTGCACCCCCAACTGAAATGAACTCTATTGCCGTATTCTCCAGAGTTAGATAAGTGTGGAAAGGCATTTTTCAATCTCCTAATTGGGCAGTATTCTGTTAGCTTTAGCTTAGCATAAGCAATGTAAGTGAATGGTAACAGCTAGCATTTCAATCATTCAAATTCAAAGTACCCTACACTTCCATAAATGCAAATGCATGGCTACTAGGCTTATACGTGCTCTAGTTTTTTTTTTTTTTTTTTGAAGGAACAGCATAGTACATTGATCTAAAAATGGCCGAGTTCATGACAGAGGAAGTAGGTGTCTTTTGCGTCTAATGTGTCATGTCCTTGCACCTTCCAGTGGAGGCTTGCACCAGCACTTTGTTGTAACTGACTTCTGTAATTTCTTCGCTTTCTTTTCTTATGAAGTTGATATGATAATTGAGGTCACAAAGAAAACTTGTGATCATTGTTGAGTAACTTCCACGACATTTTAACATCACATGCTAGCTGTTACCACTCACATTGTTTATGCTAAGCTAAAGCTAATTAGGAGAATGACTGGGCAGGTTACAAAATGCTTTTTCTCCACTTATCTAAATTTGGGGAATATGGCTCAGTTTCACTGCCCTGCGATGGACTGGCTCTCTGTCCAGGGGGTAGCCCCCCCCCCCCCCCCCCCCCACACACACACACACACAAAATGCTTAATCTCTATGCAAGTTTCTATTTTAAAAAAAGACATGTTTCTCTTCATCTCTCTATTATACTGTATTACCTCACCCTTCCAAGAAAAGGGTTTCCTCCTCTGATCAGGTGACGACACGCCGTCCATCATGTTAATGAGGTCAGAGCATCTGCTGCAGCAGCAGTAGCGTGGGGTTTCCCAGGCACCAAAAGGCAGTTTGTAAGATCCGACTCCGGCTCGTCCTGCCAGCTGGTCGCTCCTGCGCAGCCACAGGTCAGTTTAATCAAGTTTCACCGGAACACCCAGGAATCAGTTACAAGGGAGTAAATAAATTAAAGATGCCCACAAAAAAGAAAAAAACGTCTCAAAGAGCAGAGAAAGAAACCAAAGATGCGGATGACGACGACTCGGAGGATCAGGAACCCGAGCAGAAGAAGAAAGGCAAGCAGGTAGGTGAATCAAAGAATGCTAGAGAAAAGAAGAAGGGCAGTGATGAAGAAGAAGACTCTGATGCAAGAGGAGGGCAAGTAAAGAGCACCAAGAATAAGAAAAAGGTTAAGAGTACAAAAGAAAAGGCCAAAGAAGAGAGTGAGGCTGAGCTGAGCAGCGAGGACAACAACAATGAGCCAAAAGGTAAAAAGAAAGGAGAGAAACTCCCTGATGTGATCGAAGCCACCAGGAAACCCTCAAAGAAATCCTCCGTCAAAGACAAGATGGGAGCAAAGGATAAAAACAAAAGCAAAAAGGGAGGAGATGATGAAGATGAGGACAAGAAAAAGAAGAAGAAGAAGAAAGGTTCAGTGAAGGGCGACAGCGACGAAGACACCAAGAAGACAAAAGGCAAAAAGAAAAAGATTGAGAACTATGCTGAAATTTATGAGAAAGAACTTCGTAGCTACGAGCCCGAACGCCTGGAGGATTACGAGGACGAGTACCACAAAAAGAAAGGTAACTCCTCAATTTCTTTAGGACAAAAATCTCTACTTTATATATAAACGTCCTGGTGTTGTGTGAAGACCTGATGTGTGGCGTGCCCAAGTAAGAGATATTTGACCCTCAGAGAGGAGGAGGATCCTTGATTGCCGTTACAGGAGTCTGCATTGGTTTAATGCTCACTGTCACGTTACCTGACAGGTAGGATAATGCTGACAGTAACGTATCGTCTGTCTACAGAACACTTGCCACTAACCTTTAACAAAGTGGTAGTTTTACGTTTATCACTGGAGGCTGTAAAGATAAAAGCTGCCACTAAAATGACTATAAACATCACAGAAGATGAACGTTTGATTTATATTAGTGTAAATGTCAAGTCAAAATAAAAACCTGATACAGATCATTTCTATTATAATATTTTAATGCCAATATTGGCTGATAGTAATGGTAGGCTGATATTCTCGGCCATTCTGCATAATGAGCCGCACGAAATTTGACATATACATTTATTTTTCTCAAAGACAATGCAGCGTATCAGTCTGGCCCTTCTAACACTAAACTCCCATTAAACCCTTCCAGCAGAGGTGGAAAATAACGAATTACATTTATTCACGTCACTGTAATTCAGTAGCTTTTTTGTATATTTATACTTTTTAAGTCGTTTTTAAACTCTGTACTTTTACTTTTACTTGAGTACGTTTTTTCAAAGGAATTGTAATTCTCTACATTTTAAATCATATCTGTTACTGAGTACAAATAAATTGTAGGCTTAATAAATTAAAAGCACGTGTCGCAGCGTCGGAACTGAAAGAGACACCTGCACGAGCGCCGCGTCTAAACCGTGGGGGTGGGGGTGTACACTTTTGCTCCAAAACATCAGTTCAGTCCCTGGGATCCACTCGCTGTTTACCTCCTCTCTCCCTCCTCTCCTGTGGGTTGGAACCCGCACCTTCGCGCTCCGGTGTTACGTCATCAGAGTTCTGCTCGGTTCGGTAGCGAGATTCGGTTCCGTGTTTGAAATGTGTTTCCCTACCGCTCCGCACGGCAGCGGCAAAATAACGTTTAGCGCTCATAACAAGCGGATTCTCAGCGCTTTGCTCATAAAACAGAAGACATGCAGGCCTCTGTGAGTTAAAACATCCTGATACTGTTCTGAGGTGGAAAGAGTACTAATGTCCTACTCAAGTATGAGTACCAATACTTTGATAATTTTTTTTACTCAAGTACAAGTAAAAGTACTTGCCTAAATTTTTACTCAAGTCAAAGTAAAAAGTATTGTAAATAAAATGTACTCAAAGTAAAAGTTACTTAGTTACATTTTTGTCAGCGTAAAGATGGCTACATCAGTGCAAAACCACAGCAGTTCACAACACGCTAGTGTGCACGCACACACACACACTGCAGCATGTTAGAATCATTTGAACGACTAATTGAACTACATTGAACTGCTTTAGTAATACTTTAATCTCTTATTCTGGAGTAAAATAAAGAAACACGCTAAATCATCACATATCTGTGGCATCAAGAAGCATCTTCTGAGTTCAAACACAGGGATGGAGCACAATGTTTACACCTGAACAGTATCAGGATGTTTTAACTCACAGAGGCCTGCAGGTCTTCTGTTTTATGAGCAAAGCGCTGAGAATCCGCTTGTTATAAGCGCTAAACGTTATTTTGCCGCTGCCGTGCGGAGCGGTAGGGAAACGTATTTCAAACACGGAACCAAACCGAGCAGAACTCTGATGACGTAACACCGGAGCACGAAGGTGCGGGTTCCAACCCACAGGAGAGGAGGGAGAGAGGAGGTAAACAGGGAGTGGATCACAGGGACTGAACTGATGTTTTGGAGCAAAAGTGTACACCCACACGGTTTAGACGCGGCGCTCGTGCAGGTGTCTCTTTCTCGCTCTGAACTTGAGACAGTTCTCCACACCTTCATCTCCTCGCGCTTAGACTACTGTAACCTTCTTTTCACGTGTCTGAGCAGAACCTCCCTGAACCGTCTACAGGTGGTTCAGAACGCCTGTGCTCGGCTTCTGACCAAGTCCTCCAAACACACCCACATCACCCCGCTTCTCCTCCAGCTTCACTGGCTGCCAGTCAACTTCAGGGTTCATTTCAAGATCCTGGTTCTGGTCTGTAGGGCCTTACATGGACAAGCACCATCTTACATTGGTGATCTTCTTAGTCCCTACACCCCCAGCAGGTCCCTGAGGTCCAGTGACCAAAGCCTACTGGTTGTGCAGCACCAGGCTAAAGACCAGAGGTGACAGATCATCTGCTGCTGTGGCCCCCAGACTCTGGACCTCTCTCCCCCTGAGCCTGAGATCAGTGGACTCGGTGGTCTCCTTTAAAAAGCAGCTGAAGACTCACTTGTTCAAGCTGGCTTTTGTATGACCTTCTTCACCTCTCTCTCTTTATTCTGCTCTCCCCACCTATTCCACCTTCCTCAGGATCCACTGATTTCCCTCTTTCCTGTTCACTTTCTCTCTTTCTTAATTTTTTTTCTTTTAAATCCCAATTGCCTATTTTTGCTCATTTTAAATATATTTTTAAACATTTTCTAAATGCTTTTTTATATTTTAACATTTTTTTTTGTTTTTGTGAAGCGCCTCGTGATTTTTATCTTGAGAGGCGCTATAGAAATGATATTTTCTTCTTCTTCTTTCAGTTCCGACGCTGCGACACGTGCTTTTAATTTATTAAGCCTACAACTTCTTTTTACTCAATAACAGATTTGATTTAAAATGTAGAGAATTACAATTCTTTTGAAAAAACGTACTCAAGTAAAAGTAAAAGTACAGATTTTAAAAACGACTTAAAGAGTATAAATATACAAAAAATCTACTCATTTACAGTAACGTGAGTAAATGTAATTCATTACTTTCCACCACTGTTTCAGTTTCAGTAAACATTGTGCTCCATCCCTGTGTTTGAACTCAGAAGATGCTTCTTGATGCCACAGATATGTGATGATTTAGCTTGTTTCTTTATTTTACTCAAGAATAAGAGATTAAAGTATTACAAAAGCAGTTCAGTGTAGTTCAATTAGTCGTTCAAATGATTCTAACATGCTGCTGTGTGTGTGTGCGTGCACACTAGAGTGTTGTGAACTGCTGTGGTTTTGCACTGATGTAGCCATCTTTACGCTGACAAAAATGTAACTAAGTAACTTTTACTTTGAGTAAATTTTATTTACAATACTTTTTACTTTTACTTGAGTAAAAATTTTGGCAAGTACTTTTACTTGTACTTGAGTAAAAAATGATCAAAGTATTGGTACTCGTACTTGAGTAGGACATTTCAGTACTCTTTCCACCTCTGCCTTCCAGTTTATGAGGTGGTGACCATCACTGGAGATGAGAGAGGAGCAGGAACGGACGCCAATGTGTTCATCACTCTCTTTGGAGATTATGGCATCACACCTAAAATTCACTTGGCCAGCAAGTAAGTTATAACCAGAAAACAACAAAACTCCTCTAAAAAAATCATTTTTATGCCTATGGTGCCGTGTCTGACCTCATGCTTTTCTCCACTTTCACAGCACAGAAAAGAAGTGAGTATTTTCTAAAAGTCATGACAGACTGCATGCACTGTGTTAATCTGTTTGCATGAATTTGATTTGCTGCATAGTTTCACCCGAATTTTGCATTTTTTAAGATTTTTTTTAATATAAAATATTTTCTTCCCTGTCTAAATGTGCATCGACTCTAGGTTTTTATTAAAGTTAAATTAAAATGAGAGCAGAACACAGGATTGAGCTGCTTTTGTATTTCCAGGAGTCGAACGGCGTTTGAGAGAGCCAAAACAGACGTTTTCAGAATCAGAACTCACAATGTGGGACCCCTGAAAAAGATAAGGTGTAGAAAAGAAGTCCAATACTTAAAGTAAAAGTATTTGACACAAAGTTAAGTTACTATGTTCTTCCAGGATTGAACACGACAGCACCGGCTTGAGTGCGAGCTGGTTCCTGGACCGAGTCGTCATCACAGATGTGATCCGACCTCACTTGAGGTTCTACTTTGCTTGTAACAACTGGCTCAGTCGAGAGGAAGGAGATGGTCTGTGTGCTCGAGACCTGCTGGCCACCATGGACCCCATGGACATGCCCAAATGTATGACATCATTTGCTTTAAAGTAACACTAAACATTTACATTTACATTACATACAGAACAAGGTTCTTCAACTTTGTTGTTGGTTTCGTTTCTATGACTTGACCTATCACAAAACCCTCAACGGAACGAAAAAGTTATTTACAGTAACTAGACAGTTTCCTGCTCCTCCGCCCTACTGGTTGAAAGTGGAATTACAAGTGTCGTAAACAACCCTGCTGCAGCCCACTGTAGCTAGCGCTAACAACGCGCTAACACTAACATGAGCTAACTAAATGGCATAATGGTGTCATGTTCTGTGTCCCTTTGTTCCCCAGCCCCTCCAGTTCTTCATCCCTCTCTAGATTCCCCTTTTGTGTCTCATAGCGCCCTTATGTGTCCTTTGTCTGCGTCTTATTTATGTGTCTTCTGTTGTAGCCCTTCTGATCATTCCCCTCAGGTCCGGTGTTCATTAAGTCATCCCCAGCCCCTCCAGGTGTAGCTCCAGCCTCTTTGTCCCCAGCTCGGTGTGTGTGTGTCATTCCCCAGCTCGGTGTTTGTGTGTGTGTGTGTGTGTGTGTGTGTTTGCGTGCGTGCGTGTCCTTCCCCAGCTCGGTGTTTGTGTGTGTGTGTGTGCGTGTCCTTCCCCAGCTCGGTGTTTTGTGTGTGTGTGTATGTGTATGTTTGTGTATCAGTCCTTCCCTCAGGCTTTAGGTTTAGTTTTGTGTTTTATAGTTTTAGGTTTATCTGCCCTCCTCTGGTTCACTCCACACACCTGCTGCCTGTTTCCCTAATTGCTCCTCCCCAGTGTATATAAGCCCTGTTTTGTCTCTGTGTTGTGTCGGTCCATTGTGTTTTATTCTGTCAGTCTGCTCGTTTCCCTAGTGTTTTTGGATCTCCTGATCATTTCCTGGATTTTTGGATTTGGCTTCCTGCCCTTTTGGATTTATGTTCGCTTGGGTTCATCCTATAAATAAAAGGATTTTACTTTATATATCCACTCCTGCCTCGTGACATCCTGGGTATCTGCATTTTGGGTCCTAACCATCCTCAAATCATGACAAATGATAAATGGCCTGTATTGGACGTAACGTCTTCCAAAGTCTTGGAACCCCTCAAGGCACTTTACAACACAATCAGTCATTCACCCATTCACACGCACATTCACACGGTGGTGGGGATGAGCTACGATGTAGCCACAGCTGCCCTGAGCACACTGACAGAGGCGAGGTTGCTGAGTACTGGCGCCACCGGTCCCTCCGACCACTACCCTACACTAACTAAAGTAAACCACGAAGTTAAAGGTTCCTCACTAAAATATTATTACTTAAGTCCAGTAGCAACACAGCCAGGTCATCATCAGTCAGGGATTTTGTAGACTTTGGCCGTGCCAATGTTCACTGATTTTTGGTTTTGCTTCGCCTCCAAAGACATTACTTTCTTTTTCTTGTGCTTTTTATTGATGAGTAGCAAACTGAAAATGCTAACTGCTAGCATTACAGCTAACATCCGTGAAGTAGGTAAAGAGCCGCCCCTAGGACAACAACCCCTGATGTATCTCGCCAGCTGAGAGGTGTAGAGTGGTGTCAAGTTTCTAACCCAAAAATCACGGAGATCAATGTTAAAGCTCTAGCTTCAAGTTTGAAAGATCTATCTATTGTTACTTCAGTCATAGACGTTAACTAACTAAAAGACTGCTCTGTAAAAGCCCAAAACGCAGAGGTGAAACTGTTTTTTTATGTGTGTTTTCCCAGATAATAAATATGCAGTGAGTGTTTTCACTGCTGACATGAAAGGAAGCGGCACCGACGCAGACGTTTTCATCAACATCTTTGGGGAATTTGGGGATACAGGTATAGCTTTTTCTCAGGTGGAGGCTAGATTTTATGCATAACAGTGGAGTGACATAAAAATCTGACTATACTGTTTCATTCCAGGGGAGAGGCGGCTTGACAGCGACAAAAACAACTTTGAAAAAGGCACAGAGGACAAGTTCACCTTTGATGCACCAAATTTGGGAAAAATTAGGAAGATAACCATCGGCCATAATAACAAAGGCTCATCAGCAGGATGGTTTGTGGAAAAGGTAATAAAAAAAGTTATAAAACCCACAATATCACACTGACCTTTTTTAGTTTTTGAATCAGTCTTAAGGCTAATTCATCTGCAGGACCTCCTGATTTCCTGTCAGTTTCTCCAATCTGAGGTTGCTGCCTCTGCTGTGCTAGCTGAGAGATGCTAACTGACACGCGCGTTGACAAAGGCAGGACACACATGTCGTCATTCTACCCTCTGTGTAAAGGAAAACCGCACCTCATTAAGGGATAGCCTTACAACACACACACACTGAGTCAGGAGATTTGTTTGTTTCTACAGCGCCAACTGACACCAAGGTTCACTTGTGACCAGAAATTAGCATTTTATAAGTTTTTGCTGCTTTATCTCACTGTGAAAGTAAAACAAAGAAGTTAGGAAGATGAAATCTGGCTTGAATTTTTTTTGTTCATCCACAACCAGGTTGTAACCAGTACTTACTGGTGTACTTTGAAAGTATCCCCATAATAACTCAGTACTTATTGCTGTAGCGTAGACAATGCTAGAATTTAACGCTGTTTGCTCTCAGCTTGGCTAAATCCTGAGAAAGATCAAACAATTTGGCTTATGAACTTATATTTACATAGCTATCCACGGATATTTATATAATCGATAGAAGTTCATACACCAACTGGCGTGGTCTATATTTAATCCAAAGATTAATATTTAATTTAAGAGATTTAAATTAATAGCAAAAGTTTATTTATTAAATCAGAAGATTTAAAAGGAATCTTTGCTCGTTCAATAACCAAATATGCACCTTTATGTGTTTCATTTCAAAGAAGAGTCAGGTTTAAAAAGTTAAGAATTTATTACTAACAATTTAAAGATGACGATTTAAAAGACAATTTATAAAACTTTGATGTTAAAACTTGTTATTAAAAGCAACCTGTGTCTGGATGAGGACTAAAATGAAATGCGTATGTTGGATGCGTGAATGGAATCTCAGAAGGTTTCTTTCATAGAGAGAAACGCGTTCTGGGTGAAAGAGCTGTTTTGCAGCTGAGCTAAGTTATCTCTTAAGGGGAACAGCATACGGACGCAATCTGTGTTCTACCTCACCGTTCAGACGACCCTCTGTGTGGATCCGGAGGTCAAGGGAGGATGTTGTCAGCCTCTGGGTACTCGGTCTGGTAGGGAAGACCCGAGTGGTCCAAGAGTTGCCGCAGGCACACAGGTGTTGAGTTTGTGTCTTAAATGAACTCTGAAGGAGTCTGCGTCAGCTGGTGCAGGTGGCGTTTATTGGAGAAATTCTATCGGCGTGACAGAACAGCTTAGTGGAGGCTTCGAGCGGCCGTCTCAATCCTCTGGGACTCTCGTGCCACGGAGAGATTTTGGCGAGCTTCGAACTGAGTTTGAACTGAGGAGTTCTGGTTTTCTTAAAACCTCAGGACACGCCCTCTCAGAGATAGAAAGCTTTGGTTATGGAGCAAAAACATGTGAGAGCAGTTACCTTCAACCTGATTTCTGTGTCCTGCATGGTGTGTATAAGTGCACATGACCTCCTTTACACTGTTAAACATTGCTGATTATCATAAATCATAATTATTATTAACCAAAGAATAATAAGTCATTTCAGTAATGAATTAAATTTGTAATGAACCATGATGATTATTTATAAACCTTGTAATAGGACAGTGAAAAGAGTTTATTAAAAAGGATTTTTTAAAATCTTGAAGTGTCCTTCATCTTGCGGATAGAACAGCAGTCAGATAAAAGGCAGTCAGATTAAAGATGGTTTTCAGCAGACTTTATGTTTCCTGTGATGGATAATCTGTAAATAGAAGTGCAGCCAGGACAGCTTGACCCAGCTGGGGAAGTGTGACCTTTGGGTCACAAATGAGGCCATTCATGTCGCTACATTGCATAGTAAATATCTCCATGAGTACCCAGTACTAAGCCTGTGAGGACTCTGTGTGGAATCCTGATGGATTCTCTTTTTTGCAGTTTTTAGTAGAAGAGTCATACAGATTCCTTTTATATTAGGTTTTTTTTTTGTCTTTATGGCAGGTGGTTTTGGATGACATGGGAAACAAAGTGGTGTACGAATTTCCCATTGAACGATGGTTTGCTCTGGACGAGGATGATGGGAAGATTCAGAGGGACTGCTTGGTTGGAGGAAATCAGCCAACAGGTGAGGAAGTAAAAGGCTTTTAAACCAGGAAATATAAACTCTTGGAAAGATGAAACAGCTGTTTCTGTCCAATGATCTTTCACAGTTTCATTTATATGATACCGTTCTACCTGCAGACAACCACGTGATTCATGTTTGAGTCAGACCGCTGATGTTCAGATCAGAGGGATCTTGTTGCTACTCAGTGTCTCCAGAGCTCAGAGCAGTAAACCATACTGGCTGAGTGACTTTACCTCTGATAAACTAACATGTAACTGTATCTACCAGGTATCGTGTACAACGTGCAGATTGTGACAGGAAACATCCGAGGAGCAGGGACCAACTCCAAAATCCACATAGTGATGCATGGTACCAAAGGTCTAAAGAACAGCGGCAAGGTGATGGAAGGATACAAAACCAGAAACGCTACGGCACTTATTTAAAACAACGATCAGCAGATTTTTGCTTAAATTAAAGAGAAAAGGAAAGATTAATCTCTTTCTTATCCAGCCAGTGTCAGTGGTGACCTTAAAATGAGGAAATGAGTGTCCAAAATGCGTAATCACTTGCCAAGTAGTGCCTCACGTTAACCTTCTGATCTTAAAGCATACAGATGAAGCATCAGGATTAGTACCTTCATTAAATCTTACTATTTCCTGTCCTTCACATGTCTTCTACCCTCTGTTGGAGGGTCTACAGGTAGAAAGGGCAGATTGTATTTGTCTATTGCTGTTTTATTATCACATCATAAAATAAAACCAATTATCACATATCTGTTTTATTAATGTTAGACAAGAAATAGTTCAGCTTAACAAACATTTTTTTAAGTATTATTGTTTTATATTCCACGCTTATATTTTATTTTTCCATCATTTCAAGCCACTGAGAATACATTTAAACAACAGGCTCAATCGCTTCCCTTTTTCTGCAGGTATTTTTGGAAGGAGGGAAGTTTGAGCGAAGTCTGACGGACATCTTTAACGTTGAGATCGCCGCGCTCCTTAGTCCCCTCAGCAGAGTTACGATCGGACACGATAACGATGGAGTAAACGCTGGGTGGTACTGCGAGAAGGTACATTGGTGCACACACTTTTACACAACCCAGTGGTGCTTAAGTCTAGTGATGCACTGTGAATCAGCTCAGCCTAATCAATGCTCTCCGCAGGTGGTTGTGTACTGTTCATTCACAGGGATAGAGCAGACCTTCCCCTGTGGGAAATGGCTGGATGAGAAGGAAGGAGACGGGCTGATAGAAAGAGAGCTGTATGAGATGGTGTCACTCAGACACCGGAGACAGAAGAGTAAGTTATTACAGCGGCATCTCTTCAGAAGTGATTGCTTTTCCTGTTCCATATGAATATAAATACTTATAAAGAGAGGGAGAGGAAGAACAGACTTTATTTGTTCACATCAACTTGTAGGATGAATTTTCCATCACTGCATGGCTTCATATTTATTCCCAGTAACACAGTGTCCCAGTTGGAAGCTGTCCACCACAATCACTTCAGCGCTTCACTCCTGCCCTGAGAGGACATTTTAACAAGCAAAAAAGTGCCATCGCTTGGGCTCCACTGAACCGCTGAAGGAGCAAAACTACTCAAGAATAACCTGACATGAACTACTTCTGTAAACTCCACGCTTCTGCTGCTTCCAAAAGTTTGAAACATGTGGGTTTAACTCCTACTGGGCAGCAAACGGGACGAGACTCACAAGAAGGAGGAGAAATGACATGTAGTTATTCCTCTTTAATCAAAACAGTGCTTGGATCTGTCTTCCCTCAGAACACCCCTGGTCTCTTTGGATCTGGACGTCAGACCTGCCCGGAGCAGGAACCGATGCAGACATCTCCTTTCAGGTGTATGGAGACAAGGGCAAGTCGGATGAGATGAGGCTGGACAATAAATCTGACAACTTTGAACAGGGGCAGACTGATAAATTTATGGTAAGTATTATATAATTTTACAAAACATACATTTAAAAGAGCAAAAAGTAAGAATTGTACAGTGAAATAATCACAAAACAGTCCAATGTCTCAATCATGTTGGAAGGAAGGTTATACTGAAAAAGGTTTCCTTCTCAACCAGCTAGGAGGGGTTTCAGTTTTTCAACTTTAGAAAAAAAACAAAAGGGGGACAAAGTAGCTGCGGCGTTTGTAATTCAACACTAACCAGGACAAAGCTCCAGAGCTGTTTAAAAAAAAAGGCTGTAAACTGACTATGGTCGACCCATAAGTAATTTCTTGTACCCCTAAGATTCTTTTTGCTTTACTCTACTATCTGGTGAAAGCTACAAAATAGCACTGAGCTAACAATGCTAACAGTGATTTAGAAACAAATGGTCAGCTCTGGAAATATCCCAAACTTTTTACCAACAACTCGATATCACAGTGAAATGTGTGGGAAGTGGATGTTGAGTCAATCGTGGTGTTTTACTTCCTTTATAAGGCGTTCGGAACATCAACATATAAATATTGGACAATGGGTTTCCATGGGCTCCAATAACACATTTTTGAAGATAAATGGGAGGTGGCCACCACCGCCATTTTGACCGTGTCACAGGTTCCGTCAAACCCAGACAATTCCACAAAAGGGAAGAGAGGTGGAGCTGAGGGTGGGGCTGTAAGGCTGGGATCAACTGACGACACCCGGTCGAACTAGCTACAAGCTAACCCGAAGCTAATCCAAAGCTAATGCGGAGGTGGGAGCTAAGCTAACGGAGGTAGCAACCTAGCTACAACCGGAGTTACCTGTGCACAACACCAGAGCTTCTGAGTAAGAGATACGCCAGGCTGACCGCTGGGTAAAACAGGGTGGAACACAGAGGTCTCCGAGAGCTCCACAAGCCGGCAGCCGCACAGCAGACAAGCGCCGCTGCGATCTGAGATGCGCAGAGCAGCCACTGGGGAGAACCGGGTGGAAAGGTTTCCATCCCAGAGCTCCACAAGCCGGCAGCCCGTGCAGCAGTCAGGAGCCGCGATCAGACAGAGATGCGCCGAGCTGCGGGGAGGGGAGAAACGGGTGGAAAACAGAGGTCTCCCAAGAGCTCCACAAGCCAACAGTCGGAACCCAGCTCCACCAACATGTTATATTTCAACCCATTTTCTAAAGTGTAGCATTGTGTTAAATTCACTGGGTTTTACCCTATTACATTTAAATTTCATGGTTAAACTGTACATGTTAAAATCTAAGCTCAGCTCGGCAGTGACCTAAAATACATAAATATAATTTTACTTACCAAAAAAAATGAAGCGAAGACTCCTTGGATGCTCGATTAGTGCAGTTAATTCCACAGCAAGTCATTTTGTCCAACAATTGCACAAAAAATATCCAAACAAGAATACACAAACACAGAGACTCAAAATCCCGGAGCAGTTTCCAAGCCAGACCGAGGCTCTACTGAGGCCTTTCCACGGAGCTAGCTCTGTGGTCACGTGGGTCTGATGCTCATTAATTATACAGAATTTTAGGCTTTTAATACACTTAAACAGAAGAGTGAGAAAAAAATTCCCCCCCCCCCCCCCCCCCCAGAGTTGTCATGAGTATAAAGTAGATCATTTAAACCAAAAACATGTTTTGGTACTAGGCTGTAAACATGTTTGCTTCTGCTGTGAAATTGGTATTTTTAACATGGGAGTCAATGAGGATTTGCTCGCTTCTGACACCAGCCCCTAGTGGATAAAAGTGGAACTGCAATTTATTTCATTTCTGGGTTTGCCTCAATTTTTCACCTGTATTGTGGGGGCTTGGTTCAGAACCATAACAGCAAGATGGCAAACTCTAATATCAGAGGCATTCTACCATAATTGGTGTAGTAAGCAGGTACAGGGTGCAGGCTAGAGACATGGTCGTGGACAGGCGAAGGTTGTGGTGGCAGGCAGAGTCCTTGGCAAGGGTCAGGCGTGGAAACGAGGTCAGGAGGCTATGATACAGGCAGAGGCTGGAGAATTTACTGGCGTGAGCGTTCAATAATCTGGCGGAGTGCTGGTGGTTGACTGAGGAATATGTAGCTGGTGAGGCAGGTGTGTGGTATGAGCTTGATGATGAGTTGACTGTGGTTGCTGGGGAAACAGGGCTTGGCTGAAGCTTGATGAGGGGACCAGGTGTGCTGCATGAAGGCTGATGAGGTGAATGATGGTGCATGGAGGTCAGGGCATGGCAGGATCATGGCAAACATTGCTGCAAAATTGACCAATGTTCATGGTTTTTACTTTTCCTTGCAATTATATTTGTACATTTGATTTGTAATGATTTTTTGGTTGTAAGTGGCAACTGTCGAAGGTAGGGATGGGTACCTTTGACATTTGAATTGATTCGGTACTAATTCCTGATACCTAGGAATCGATACTGGTACTTAACGGAACCAATTTTAGATACTTTTGAGTGTTCAATATTTTCATTCTCTTTTATAATAAAATACATATATTTCTCAATATATAACCATATTTGATAAATATCACAATAAATAACACACAACTGTTTGTATTTTAACATCGTCCTTGTAGTTTTATAAGCTAATAATTAAACTGAAGCAAACATCTTTACTGTGAACTAAATTTACTGTGTATCTTCATTCCTTTTGCCGTCCTTTTTCATTTGATTTTTCCTACTGGGAAGTTAGAATTTCCGAGGAGAAAGCGAACGCACCATTAGATGATAACAATGGTGGCAATGGAAGCTAACATATCAAGCTAACGTTATCTTTAACAGTTTATTTAGCTGCTGGAGCAGATTAAAACGATGATGCCTCACACTTAGATCGTTGTCGCTGGTTTCATCTTCACCCAATCACCCGTCGCATTTAGTAAAGTGAAGTCAAACTTTAGAGCGCGTTCATGTTCTTCCAGTCGGAAAATCGGAGTTCCAAGAAGAAAGCGAACGCACCATTAACGGAACGGAAGCTAACAAATCAAGCTAACTTTATCTTAAACATTTTATTTACCAACCGGAGCAGATTAAGATGAGGATGTCTCACTTAGATCACTGTCACTGGTTTCATCATCACCCAGTTACCCATCACATTTAGTGAAGTGGACCCAAGCTTTAGCGTGCGTTCTTTCTACCATACTGCTCTGTTTACAACTCGCTCGCAGCGACCAACGACATAACGCTCTTGCGCATGCGCAGCTGTCTAGGCAAGTTCTCGTTATGAAGGACGGGTACCGAAACGAGGCACCGTTTCAAATGACGTGAATCGGTGCTCAGTCGGTACTATGGAATTCGGTCGGTACCTTAAAAAGTACCAACTTCGGTACCCTTTGCTAGTCGAAGGGCATGTGTGTCACTATTATTTGGATGTGGGGAATACTTGGTTATATAATTCTTTTGGTTTAGTACTCAACAACACTGGTGGCATCAATTTTTTCCAAGTTGGAAGCTGGAACGCAAAAAGAGCCTTTTACGTCATTTCCTGCTCAGAAATTCTGAATTCCAAGGACAAGTGGAATGCATGATAAGTGCTCCCTACCATAAAAATGGACCGCAGTATCCAGATTTAACCACATGATGTCTTTCTTACTTTATTCTTACATCTTGCCCCTTTAACATCAATAAGCCAGTGAATAAGACTTTTTAAATTTTCTTCTACAGGTCGAGCTGCCTGATTTGGGAAAATTGACCAAACTCCGAATCTGGCATGAGAAAAGGAATCCGTTTGCAGGATGGCATCTGAGCAAAGTCTCAAACATTAAAAGATTAGCATATTCTAAGGGAAATCTTTAATTTAATATCATGCTGAAACACCTTGTTTCACAGGTGACCCTAAAGAAGACATTAACAAAGGAGAAATACAATTTTCCGTGCGAGCGGTGGCTGGACATCAACGAGGACGATAATGAAGTTGTGAGAGAGCTCCCTGCTTCTGGAGATCTGATCGACGAGCCGCTGCCTGGTGTGAATGAAAAACCCAAATAATTTGTACTAAATAAAATGTACTAAAATAAAAGTACAAAGGGATGTGAAGATGATGAGTGGTGTTCTCATATTCTGCAGTAATTAAATACAGGCTGACGGTGTGTACCGGGAATGTTGGAGGCAGCGGAACAGATGCATCGATTTTTATAAACCTGATTGGAGACCTGGGTGACACCGGAGAGCGACAGCTGGTCAACTGCAAAAACAATGTCAACAAGTTTGAGAAAGGAAACGTGGGTTCATTCTGAACGTTACACTTTTTATTCTGATTATTGATATTTTACGCAAATCGCTATTTTTTCTGCACGGTTTAGACATAATTTAGAAATGTGTGTTTTCTATTTTGTTCAAACTTTATAACTTGTGCAAATTCCTGCTGTTCTTTCCCCTAGATGGATGAGTTTATAATCGAGGCAGTGAACATCGGGCAGATCCGCAGGTGTAGGATTGGACATGATGGAAAAGGCGGAGGCTGCGGGTGGTTTCTGGACAAAGTGGTTGTAAGGGAGGAAGGAAAGGCCGAGGCAAACGCTGTGGAGTTTCCCTGTAACAGGTACAAAGACGCACTAATTTACACTCATTTAGATTTCATTGGAAAAAACTAATGAATAAAAAATAAAAGTAAATGCGAAAAGCCTTTTATCACTTTTCTTTAATCACTTTAACCACTCTGTGCGTGTAGTAAGTAAGTAAGTAAATTTTCTGTATATAGCACTTATCACAGACATAGAATCACAAAGTAGATAGACATAGATCAAAACAAAATAAAACAAAGTCATAAAATCGTAAATAGATTAACATCATAAAATCAAAATGCTTTCACAACAGAATTAGATTTACATCAGAAAATAAATTCATAAAATTATAAATTTTCATAAACAGATGAAAGATTAAAAATTTGAGTTAAAAATAAGAAAATAAAAGGTTTAGGTAAAAGCAGCTTTAAATAAAAGGGTCTTTGGCTGTTTTTTAAAAGTGTCCAGACTGTCAATGCTACGTAAGGATAAAGGAAGATCATTCCAGAGTCGGGGTGCAACAGTCTGGAAGGAGCGATCACCTCGACTTTTATATCTGGTCTTTGGAACTTCTAGAAGGTTCTGGTGTGTGGACCTGAGGGCTCGGGTTGGAGCATAAGGCTTTAACACTTCTGTAAAATAGGGAGGAGCTTGACCATGTAGAGCATTGAAAGTTATAGTCAGGATTCTAAAGTTAACGGGTAACCAGTGCAGAGGCATCAGACTAGGAGTGATGTATGCTCTTCTGTTTGCTCCAGTTAGGAGCCTCACAGCAGAGTTCTGGACCAACTGAAGGCGGTCAAGTGCTTTTTTGTTAAAACTTGTGAAAAGTGTGTTACAGTAATCTAGACGGGAGGAGAGAAAGGCATAGAGAACCATTTCAAGTTCATGTTTTGACACCAACCTTCGCAGTTTGGAGATATTTCTTAAGTGGTAAAAACAGTTTCAGACCAACGTTTTTGAGTGGTCTTCAAGAGACATTGATTGGTCAAAAATAACACCCAAATTCCTTAAGTTTGTCTTGACAGCAGAGGATAAATGACCAAGTTTCAGACTAATCAGGGGAACCATGCTCGCAGGGGCAATGATCAAACTTTCAGTCTTTTCAGAGTTTAACTGAAGGAAGTTTTCTTCTAGCCAGCTGGTGATAGCTGATAAACACTCTAGTAATTCAGACAGTTTATAGAACTCAGAATCCTTAAATAAGTAGTACAGCTGAATATCATCTGCATATAGGTAACAAGACACAAAAAGAATCAAGTATCTGTCCAAGAGGGAGTTTGTACAGCAGAAACAACAGTGGACCCAAAACAGAGCCTTGGGGAACCCCAGAGAACAGATCAGTAGAATCTGACATGATTAGGTTTATACCGACACTGTAACGTCTGTTAGAAAGGTACGATTTAAACCAGTCTAGAACAGTTCCAGAGATCCCTATCGAGTCACCAAGTCTGTTAATTAAGGTGCTGTGATCAGCAGTGTCAAAAGCTGAAGAAAGATGTAATAATACTAACACTGTGAATTCCCCGTTGTCTTCAGCCTCTTTGCAGCTGGTTCTGTGTTAAGTACAGAAACAATAAAACGACTAAGTATTTTGTCTAAAGAATCAACAGAAGTAGGATAAATAAATCAATTAATGAAATGAATAAATAATAAATTATATACACTAAAAACTCTTTGGAGTTACGTAATTCTTTTGTGTTCATCTGTTCCACAAGATTAAATAAGTTTATGGATAAAAGATTTCTTTTTCCTTCTAGTCAAACCAAATTATTGTATTTGTGTGAAACTGCTTTTAACAAATCATGTTGACTCCACATAATTTTTATGAACTAAAGTAACTTGATTCTTTTAAGGTTGAAATAATTGTTTTATATTCACTGTATGGAGTTTTGGTTGGATGTTCTGGGTTTGGGGCTGGTGTTTGTGCCCCGTCTATGCCCCCCATCACTTCCACAGGTGTCATTATAGTTGGAAACGCTGCTGACTGCTTTTTTAACTCCCCGGTACCACCATCCTTTTCAGTCCTGACTTTGTTTTTTTGCTCACTGCCAGCTTAAGAACAAGACACAACTTTTGTTAGTACGTGTATATTTCATTTCATTAATAATACTTTAAATGTGAATTGATCTCAAACCGTAATGAATGGATTTATTTTAATTTTCAGTATTTAGCTAAACGTGCTGGTTGATCATTTTGAGGCGATTAGAGTAAGCTCTGTGTTGACGTTGGATAGCAGAGATTCTCTCAAATCAAAACTCTGCAGATTGGTGATCCCAAGTTGACCTTACATGTGAGTGTGTGAATGATTGTGGAGCAAGTGTACTTGAAAGTTGCAGTTAACAGTTAAAGAAAACCAATTCAAGTTTTAGGTTATTAGTCAAATGTTAAAATGCACAGGACAAATAATTTTCAATTTGATCTTCTGAGAATCAAGCTTCTTTTTTTGCATCAGTTCAAAACATTTCAGTTCAAAATCCCCAAAAAATAAAGTTTTTGTGATGATCCAATTGCAGGTGGCTGGACCGCAACGAGGATGACGGACAGATCGTACGAGAATTAGTGCCCTTTTCAGACGGGCAGCGTCTTTACAGTAAGTCAGGGAAAACTAGAGTAGATCTAGGATTTTTCTTTTATTCTAAAGCTTTTATTTGTGTGTGTGTGTGTGTGTGTGTGTGTGTGTGTGTGTGTGTGTGTGTGTGTGTGTGTGTGTGTGTGTGTGTGTGTGTGTGTGTGTGTGTGTGTGTGTGTGTGTGTGTGTGTGTGTGTGTGTCAGACATCAGTTATCAGATTGCAGTGAAGACTGGTGACATTCCCGGCGGCAGCTCCGACTCCAACGTGTTTGTCAAGCTCTATGGAGAAAAAGGAGACACAGATAAGATGATGCTCGTGGTTTCCACCAATAACTTGGGGAACTACTTTGAGACGGGCCGTGTTGACATCTTCACAGTAGAAACCTTTGACATTGGACAGGTGATGAGATCACTCTGGGAATGTTTGTGTGTGGATGTTAGGTTGATTCTGGGGTTACTCAACTCTTGATGTAGTCTCACTTGACACTTGTGTTTTTGACATGATTTCCACCAGTAGAATGTTAATTCTTCTGTTAGCTTATGTCCTAGATTGCTGAGGTGAGATGTCTGTGTATGGGGTTCCAGATCAACCGTTTGATGATTGGTCACACCAACAAAGGAATGCGTGCTGGCTGGTTCTTGGACAGTGTTCAGATCATGGTTCCAGTCCATGGAAATAAGTACATGTTTCCCAGTCACCGCTGGCTTTGTAAGGACGAGGCTGATGGGAAGACAGAGGTGGAGATTTACCCGAGCGAGATTCTGGACATGGAGCAACGTATGTAACACACATCCACAGATGATAATAACTTACCAAACATCACATTTATGGTACTGTAATGGAAACATTTTATCTCTCTTCTTTATTTGACCCTTACAAACTTACAGAGGGGCAAGAGAAGTTTGTTTTATGACAGCCATAAAAGTTTTTCTTTTTAGCTACAGTTTCCTGAGAGTTTTGCTTCAAAGGCAGGTGAAGCATCGTTCACACCCCCATCTCTATGGGTACCTTTGACATTTGAATAGATTCTGTACTAATTCCTGGTACCTAGGAATCGATACCGGTACTTAACGGTACCAATTTTAGATACTTTTGAGTGTTTAATATTTTCATTCTCTTTTATAATTAAATATATATTTTTCTCAATATATAACCATATTTGATCAATATTACGATAAATAACATATAACTGTTTGTATTTTAACATCATCCTTGTAGTTTTATAAGCTGATAATTAAACTGAAGCAAACATCTTTACTGTGAACTAAATTTACTGTGTATCTTCATTCCTTTTGCCGTCCTTTTTCATTTGTTTTTTCCTACTGGGAAGTTAGAATTTCCGAGGAGAAAGCGAACGCACCATTAGCTGATAACAATGGTGGCAGTGGAAGCTAACATATCAAGCTAACGTTATCTTAAACAGTTTATTTAGCTGCTGGAGCAGATTAAAACGATGATGCCTCACACTTAGATCGTTGTCGCTGGTTTCATCATCACCCAATCACCCGTCGCATTTAGTAAAGTGAAGCCAAACTTTAGAGCGCGTTCATGTTCTTCTAGTCGGGAATTCGGAGTTCCGAGGAGAAAGTGAACGCATCATTAGTGAAACGGAAGCTAACATATCAATCTAACGTTATCTTAAACATTTTATTTACCTACCGGAGCAGATTAAGATGAGGATGTCTCACTTAGATCGTTGTCGCTGGTTTCATCATCACCCAGTCACCCATCACATTTAGTGAAGTGGACCCAAGCTTTAGCATGCGTTCTTTCTACCATGCTGCTCTGTTTACAACTCGCTCGCAGCGACCGACGACATAATGCTCTTGCGCATGCGCAGCTGTCTAGGCAAGTTCTCGTTATGAAGGACGGGTACCGAAACGAGGCACCGTTTCAAATTACATGAATCGGTGCTCAGTTGGTACTTTGTAATTTGGTCGGTACCTTAAAAAGTACCGAATTCAGTACCCATCGCTAGTCTCTAGTAAGCACGGCCCCAAGGTATGGGTTCAGATCACACCTACAGATGACACTGTAGGGCCTTCCTTTGTTCTCCCCCATTGGGTGAGGGGGGTTCAAAGGGGATACATAGAGTGTGGGGGCCTCTGCTGGGCAGGACTCACCCCGGAGGCTGCTTTGGGAAGAGCCTCTGTGACTGTCTCCTCATTTCGATATTGCAATTTTGACATTAAACGCTTTTGATTGAATCGTGGACTGCTTTTTCACCATTTTATTAAGTCTCCAAAAGAAATTCCACGACAGTACACAGAATGGGTTTGCAGCTGCACTTCCAGTCTTAAAATTACTTTTAATCTGCAGAAGACTACAAGACATTAGGTCTTAGTGAGCAAAAGGGCTCCTAAATCCTAAATTTACAAAATGTTTATTTGGAAATTGGACCTAAATGTTAGCATGATCAAGTTTCTTTACATGTAATAAAATTGGTTGTAGGGAGCAAAAATATTATTACAGACTGCATGGAGGTGTTGTTGCTAGCAAGCACTGTTACAACACATCAAGAAGGTTGCTGGTGCAAATCCCACCTGTATAGCCTTGAAAATGGCCTGCATTCATTTAGCGCCTTCTAGAGTTTTACAAACCCCCAAAGGTGCTTTACAACTAACCCACACACAACATTCACACATTGGTGGTGATGTTCACTGTGGCCAGTTGCCCTGGGGCAGACTGTCAGAAGCAAGTCCACTGTGCACATGCGCCTCTGGTCCCTCTGACCACCACCAACAAGTAAAATGGGTGAAGTGACTTGCCCAAGGCCACAACAACTGCGACAGAAGGGATGTGAACATGGACATAATTTTGGGGGGGACGGGGGGGGGGACATGCCCCCCCTACTTTTTCCAAAGTCAAATTTTGACCCCTGCACTTTTTACCATCCAAAACTATATTACGCTATATTAAATTGACACTGGTTGAGCTCTAGGACCAAGCTGAAAACAACCGTTTGTGTTGAAGCCTGTTTCCCATTAGAGCATACTGTAAAGTCCCCCCCCACACACACACACACACACTTCTAAAGCGAAAATGACGTCCATGGATGTGAACCTGCAACATTCCAGTTATCGAGGACACACTTAAGTCCTCCGTGGCCCTTAGCATGTTCTTCCTTTGCACGAGTGAGTTTTCTCTGGGAACTCCTCCCATTGACCAAAGCCATTAAAAGGAACCCAGCTTACAAAACTTTGTGGTACTTCAAAGATAAATGTTCGTATCAGTTATATTAACGTGGTGTAAAAAACCTTGTTAATGCCTTCATTTTTATAAAATTTGTAAAAATAGTTTAACTCGTATGTCGCCATTGTTTTTAGCGTCGCAGTGCACGCTGGTTAGTGACGTCATATGGTTGTACCTTGGTTGCACCGGCCGGCTTTGCGACCCTGTAGTGACTGTTCAGCGACATCAACATGTCATCTGTTCAGCCTTTTCAATTTGAACCAGAGTGAAACATTAATGAGGGCATCACTGACGATGTTTGACAAAACGAGCGTCAAAATGAAGAGCAAGAAGAGCTCTAGCTCTTCAATGGCTATTCTTCCAAGTGCAACCAATATACGTCATCGCCCCCAGAGTGCATTGCGTGTGGAAAACATGGCGTCCTACGTATGTCAAAAAATGTACTAAATATTATAGATTTTTAAATAAACAGCAATATTTTGTGTGTTTCTTACAACATAGTTTGGGAGGGCACACACGTCCTCATAGCTGGAGATCCTTTTAATGTCAGGCTGATTGAGGACTCTAAATTGTCCCAGTGAGTGAGTGACTGAGTGAGTGAGTGAGTGAGTGAGTGAGTGAGTGAGTGAGTGACCCTCTGATGGAAGTATTGCTGAATTTAGGCACCAGCCTCCCCCTTACCCCAGAAATGACGAAGTCAAGATGATGGATCGATTGATCCTGGAGTACTCCTGCATTAAACCAATACATCAGCGGTTGCAAAAAGAGTCCTGGAACCCCCCAAGGTGCTTTACAACACAATCAGCCATTCACCCATTCACACACACATTCACACCCTGGTGGTGATGGGGCACACTGACAGAAGTGAGTCTGCCCTACACATGAGCCACCAGTCTCTCTGAGCACCACCAGCAGGCAAGGTGGGTTAAGTGTCTTGCCCAAGGACACATTGACAGACTGAGCGGGGCTCGAACCTGCAACCTTCTGATTATGGGGCAAGCACTTGACTCGACTGTGCCACCATCGCCCCTAGAAAGCTAACTCTATACTACCAAACAAAAGAAGTTCATGAGCTGTTATTTCTCTGATAAATGTTCATCAACATTGACTACTGAAATTTGTTTTCTATAAGCACTGACAGTTATTGATCCACGTTTTCCAGTGATGAACTATGAGATAGTCGTTGTAACTGGAGATGTGATGTTCGCTGGCACCAACGCCAAAGTCTTCATCCAAATCTACGGAGAAAAGGGTAAGACAGAAGTCCTTAGGCTTGAGAGCAGATCCAACAACTTTGAGCGGAACACAACTGAGATTTTCAAGGTGAACTTCATGTTTTTATTAGTTCCATAATCAAATCGATTTAATAAAAATCCTAACGGAAGCTTGTTGATCTTTGGAGTAACAACATTCCAAATGATCTACAGATGGAGGCCAAAGACGTGGGGAAGATCTTCAAAATACGCATCGGCCATGACGGCTCTGGGATTGGGTCTGGCTGGTTTCTGGAGACTGTTGACATCAAACATCTAATCCTGGCTCTGGTGCCCAAAGAGAAGAAGAAAGAGAACAAGAAGAAGAAGAAGAAAAAGAAGAAAGATGAGGACGACGACGATGAAGATGGAGGAGAGGAGATGCAGGAAGTGGTGTATACTTATCACTTCCCCTGTTCGCGCTGGCTGAGCGGTGGCGAGGAGGACGGGGAGCTGGTGGTGGAGCTGGTGCCAGAGGAAGCAGAAGACCTAGAAGGTACAAACAAATGTGTAGGAGGAAAATGCTAATCTGGATGATGAATGTTGATGCTCATGCTGATGCAACCATTCCGTATAATCTGGAACATGTTGATATTTAAAACATATACTTTACTTTTTTATATCACTCTACATGCATATATTTAGAGAAAAGTACATTTAGCAATGTTTTTACTTTGCTGCATGAATGTTTTTCAGTGTTTATGAGCTACTCCTGATAACCTAAAATTTTTAAGGGGGCTCATTAGGACTTTCTTTCTTAAAGAGCAAGTCACCCTCTACCAGAGTCTTACTCCACTCACACGTCCTGTTTGATAAATGAGCCAAAAAGAGGGATTGTCCGGCAGACGAGGAGAGCGTTGATTAGGCAATGTCTGACAGAATCTCCCCGGCTACCGCTTACAGTCCCTTTCATAATGAACTGTTTCAGGGCTCTGTCACTTTAAGAAAACAAGCTGGAGCTGGCCACACCCACTCATCCCCTGCTCAGATTGCTATAAGCTGAGAAGCTCCGATATCTGGGAGGGGCTTGGAGTAGAGCCACTGCTCTTCAAGCAGCCGCTCTCTCTTGCACATGAGAGATGGTTCTATTTTTTTTCTTATTTTTCATCACAAACGGGGTCTTTTTAAAATGGCTTTTCTCCAGACACATAATTCCTAATACCACACACACACACACACACACACACACACACACACACACACACATTTATGTGTATATATATATATACTTTTTTTTTTTGACCTGGGCGTCATTATATTAATATACGTGTGTGTGTGTGTGTGTGTGTGTGTGTGTGCGTGCGTGCGTGCGTGCGTGCGTGCGTGTGTGTGTGTGTGTGTGTGCGTGTGTGTGTGTGTGTGTGTGTGTGTGTGTGTGTGTGTGTGTGTGTGTGTGTGTGTGTGTGTGTGTGTGTGTGTGTGTGTGATTTGCATGGTCTGATTTAACACCGTTTCCTGGCTGAGTACATGCCTCAGTTTGGAGACATTTTAATAATTCATCCCTTGCTTTGTCTGACAGTCTTCACCTATGAAGTGTGCGTCTTCACTGGCAAAATGCTGGGCGCCGGGACAGACGCCAACGTCTTTATTAATATTTACGGAGAAAATGGAGACACCGGGGAACGCCTCCTGAGCAACTCAGACAACATTAACAAATTTGAGCGAGGGCAGGTAAACATAAAGCATTATTTCACACATCAGGATGAAAGCAGCTCACTTGTGGTTCATGTATTTAAATTTCACTTGACATTTTTAAAACCACTCTCACATCAGTTTGGGCTGCGCCGCTTTACGCAGCTGAAAATGACCCAGCACTTAGTCAAAGATTCAAGCACTTCCAGGTAACTGGAGCCAGCACTGAGGTGTGGGTGGGAGTGTTTTCTGGTAAGATTACAAGCTCTCCTGCAGGCAAGCCAGCTGTGACTGAGAGGAGCTCTGAGAAGTCCTCTGTGTCACTCAACCTGTCCTGCTTTTACTCATTACTTTATCCACACCTGTAAATTATTTATTTCTATACCTTACAGTCGATCCTGTATGCACACACAGCTGCGTTTAGTTCTGTCTGACGAACCTAAAGCAGTATTTTTGGTAATGGTGAGTATTCGTGTTAGAAAAGTACTTGGAGAGGTTTTCAGTTCATACGTTAGTTTTTCATCAGAGTATCAAAGTCATTCTACACCACAGATGACTCACTCCCTTCCGAGAATGTTGGCTAATTATGTGTTACCAAGAATAAGGAAAACTCATAATTCAAAGGAGCAACCAATCAATTAAAGCAATAACTTTTCCCATCGTCTCCAAACCCCCGACTTAGTGGGGCTCAAGCTTAAATGTATGAGGTTTTGATTTCAACATTGTGCTGAAAAGTATTGTTAATCAATACTAAAGTGGATATATTAATACAGCATGGGCTGTGAAAAGGGTCCGTGTGTCTGTATGTGTGTAATTTTCTTTATTACTTAAATTATTATTCCATTTTTGGTTCTTTTTTTAAACACAGGGAAAGTTTCTCAGAGCGTCAGCTCTGAGGATGTTTGCAGATGCAAACGAAACTGTCAGCAAGGTAAAGAGAAACCTTTCCTGTGTTTTAAAGAAGAACCAAAAATGGAATTAGAAGCCAAACACAGAAAGAACGTGCCAAAGATGTTTATATTATTACCTAGCATTTCATAAAACCACTAAAAAAGGCAAAAATGAAAGATTTTGTTTTGCTACGTTGTTTTTGCGCATTAACAGGCTGAAATTATAATAATAGATAAGTTTATCCACATTTGTTGTTTTTTTTTGTTTGTTTGTTTGTTTGTTTCAGCAGTTAATATGGTGACTCAGTGGCGGCTCCAGAAATGTTTTTCTGCAGGTGCTATGAAGGAGCTAGTCTTTTTATTGAGGGTGCTATGAACGAAGTGGTCATGCGTACCTATTGTTCTCTAAAACACCTTCAACACTAGCAGATACACATGTGTGCACAACACCTCAACAACACCTGAAACAATCATTAATATACATCATAAACATATGAACAATCGCTGACTTTTCCATGAAATCATAAACACATAGAGCCACACAGAAAACCATCTATAGTGTTGCAAGGTTAGCTAACGTTAGCGTTAGCATTTCCAGCGGCAAAACCCTCGACCGCCGCGGCGGTTGAGGGTTGACTCTCTTCATCCAGATCCGTAGGTTTTTGTGGGTCTGAGATCACTTCCAAAGATTCACTCGTTTCTGACTGAACCCGTGGAAATGTGGGCAACAGAAACCGATCCATTTTACCACGAGCTCTACCTTTCACTCGTTCACAGGGGGAAAATTAGGTCAAAGTTTTTACTATCTATATGATAATTTACTGATTATTTTTGTTTTGTATGTTAAATATTATTACATCCACACGTTAAATTAAAATTAAATTGTAAAAAATAAAATCTAATATTTACTTGGGGGTGCGATGACTAATCCAGGGGTAGCTATAGCGCCCCCTAGCACCCCCCTGGCGCCGCCACTGTGGTGACTTCTAACATTTCTAATATACTGAGTTATTGTTTTAATGTATTCTTAGCATTCCTCATGTTTTATCTGCTTTTGATCGGTATTTTTATCTTCTGTTTTAGTTGCTTAGATTGGTTGTGTTTTGGTTTAGCCTGCGCCGCACTTTGGGCAGCTCCCATGCTGCGTTTTAAATGTGCTATATAAAAAAAACTATGGTACGGTATGGTATGGTAATACTTCCTTTTTTATGTAGAAATGACATCTCACTTACTGTGTTGAATTTAAAACATTTGATTCCTGTTTCTAGTTCATCTGTTTTCAAACATGTTTCATATCATGTTTGAAATGGGTTTTTTTTGCCAAATATTATGAATTAAAGAAAATAAATGTAACCCTAATTAATAACAAACTGCACTGTCTAAAATGAAATTCAACTCATTTCATCTAACAATTTTCAGAAAATCAAGAATGACACATTTGAGCCACTACTTTCAGTATTTTTGTGGTGTTTTTGTTTTGCAGGAGGATGTTTTCATTGTGACAGCTGTTGATTTGGGCACTTTAAAGAAGCTGCGAATTCGTCATGACAACACCAAGCCTTACTCATCCTGGTACCTGGATCGCGTTGAGATAGTGGACACGAAGGAGGACGTTACGTAGGCCAGCCCATGAGTAAACACTGAATTTAGTTAGATTTTGTACTACGCTGAATTAATCCAACTTTTCCTCTGATTTTTGGGCTTATAGATACTATTTCCCTTGTAACCGCTGGCTTGCAGTGGAAGAAGATGATGGACAGGTGGCCAGAGAGCTGGTTCCTGTTGACGAGGCATTTATGAGGCAGGATGAGGATGAAGAGGGTGGGAGCACCACTCTGGGACTGGAGCAGAAATGTATAAAATAACAAACCTGGTTTAATTAATGCAGTTAATGTCGAAATATTAACCACTTGTGTTTGTTTCAGCCATGTCCACCACCTACACGCTTAAAATAAAAACTGGGGAAAAGAAGTACGCTGGAACTGATGCCAACGTTTTTGCCATCCTCTTTGGAGAAAAGGATGACACGGGTGAGAAAAGCCACCATTACGTGTATTCTTACTGAGGATGATTGAATAAAAACTAAAATCCTCACAGGGTTCGTCAATCTGAAGGCTTGCAAGAACTACAAGAACAAGTTTGAACAGGGGATGATTAATGAGTTCACTGTGGAGGCGGTGGACCTGGGCGACCTGGAGAAGCTACGAATTGGACACGACAACTCAGGTGAGATCACCTTAAGGGGATACTGTGCAACTTTTTCATATTTTTAAATCATTTTCTTGAGCCAGTATGTGCTTTACAGATTAAATGATTAGTTAAATTAGTGAAAAACCGCTGCTGTAGACACTAATGATGGCTGGGGAGACATTTCAGCTGTTAGATTAAAGTGTTAAAAAGACGAAGGCGCAGCGAGGGGATAAGTTTCATTTTTGCTTTAACCACAGAGAATTAATAACGGGCACTAGCAAGTAAAACTGCCAAGTGTGCCTTTAACAGAAAACTGTAAGAGCAGAGCAATGTGAGTATGTTTGATGTAATATTTTGGCATCAGGAGGTTCATCTGGTTGGTTTTTGGACTGGGTGGAGATAGACGCTCCCTCTCTGGGTCAGAGGATATGTTTCCCGTGCGGCCGCTGGTTGGATAAAGGAGAAGATGATGGGGCCATTGTGAGGGATCTCTATCCTGCTGAGTTACAGACTGAATTTTATACTCCATGTGAGTAATCAGATATTTCAACTCACTGCTGAAAGTCGCTGAAAGCTGTATTTATAACATTTGATTTTGTATGCCAAAATATTTTAAAATGCACACAAAAACTTCTTAAATGTCATTTTTTTCTAATTAATTTAGGATAAATTTGTCCTGAGACCTGGATTTTCATTTAAAACAGGAAAATAATGGAAATAAAAATTCAGAGGTCAAACAAACAGGCAATATGGAATAGACCATTGATGGCACGACATTGTCGTGCAGCAGACTTGTTTCAGAAGCAGCTCTAGTTGGACAAACCCTGTCTAAAATAATGCAGTTGTTCAATTCTGCATGAAATTAACATTTTTCTGCAAAAAAAAAAGTCTTTTTATTCAGTAAGATACTTGGTAAGTAGTAAATTCACGTAAAAATAAGAATGAGTCAAATAAACCTAACATGTTTGTGTGATTACAAGATATTTCTATTTATGCCGAACTGTGATTTGGGTGTTATTCTGATGTGTTAGCACTGTAATTTTTTTTAATTGTTCCAGAAAAATCCTACTATTAAAACATGTTTTTGTGGCGATTTTTATGGCGTCCTGATGCAGGATTCTTAAATATTGCATTACATTATTTAATCCAAACATCCCAGGCACGCCATTTAAATTTATTTTACCTTTGAGAATGAAACCGTTCTAGCATTCTGTGATAAATATTTAACAAAATAATCATTTTTAGCTCACATTTGCCCAAAAACAAGATTATTTTTTCTTTTATCACTGGTTTATTAATGTTTGGATTCCCACTAGCTGTCAAAAATGTGACAGGTTATTTTCCTGGGTTCATCTCTACAACTGACTCAGAACTCACACACAAGAAAATCTAGTAAATTAACTGTTCTTAGTACAAAAAAGCATTAATAACATTGAAGTGAAAATGTTCTCTCTCACCTTTTGTTAAAATTACCTTACATGTGAAATTCGCACAACTAAATATTCCCAATAATCAGACCCGAATAGAACTTTCATTACAAAAGTACAAATAAAAAGATAATACTGGGACAAAATCACAACATCAAATCATTCGTTTTTGTCCTACAGTCGTGCCTTATGAGCTTAAGATCTTCACCAGTGACGTGTTTGCCGCGGGAACAGACGCTGATGTGTTCATCGTGTTGTACGGGCGAAATGGTGTATGCACTCAGCAGAAGCACCTGTGTGTGAACGAGAGAGAGAGACGGCTGTACTTTGAGAGAGGAGCTGAGGACATGTTCATAGTGGAGGTGAGAGCAAATGTTCATTTTAAAACTTCTGCTGATGTGTCTGTAAGCACATAACTACCTTTCACAGCTGGAGGATGTCGGTGATGTCATAGAGAAAATCAGGATTGGTCACGACAACAGGGGCACCAACCCAGGGTGGCACCTGGACAGGGTGGAGATTAGGCGCCAGCTCCGGAAGGGAAAGGTAGCAAACAGCTTTGTCCTTACACTCGTTAACAGATTTGTAATTGAACATCTTCTTAGAGACCACACCCAGCTGGGCCCATTTGTCTGTGATTAATGGCAGGGTTCAGAGACGACCATTTTCCCGTGTGAGTGCTGGCTGGCCAAGTCGGAAGAAGACGGCGAGACGGTGAGGGAGCTTGTCGCGTCTGACATCATCACGCAAAAGCTCCTCAGGGATGGGACGCTGAAGACAACTGAGACCGAGGTGGAGGATGCCTTAGAGAGTAGGTTTATAGCCAGAAGAGGAATAATTATCTGCATTTGAGTGGTAGAAACAAAACAGTTTGCTGCAGTGGCACCCCAAGGGGTGGCTACGGCGGGGGCATAATCCCCCCTGGAAAATTGCTGGCAACCCCACTCCCAAGGGAAGATTTCCCCATTTTATAAATGACATTTACATTCACACAAAACACATTCATCTTATTTAATCAAGACATGTAAGGGCCAATAAAAAATGGAAATTTTTGAGCAAATAGATCATATTTTAAAGGTGCATAATGTAAGACTGCCATCCTGTGGTCAAACCTAGGTACTGCAGTTCATTTACACCAGGCTACCATCTTGTGAGTTTCATGGCCATTGCCACTTCAGTGCTAGAAGATTCTAGATGACAGGTGAAAACAAATCGTACGCAGTAAGTCGATAAGTAAATATATTTCCCTGTAATATCAAGTTGTTGGCAACTGAAAATGTTGCTTGAGATATTTTGGAGCCGACTATTTGTTGCTTAGTCATTGTTAGCATTGCTAGCTCAACGTTAGCCTCTAGTCCTCTTTTTAGGGTGTAATGAATTAAATTACATGTTATTTAATAAGCCAAAAGGTGTAGGATTCCGTAGGAAATATGAAATAAGCTTTAGTTAGGAGGATCTGTAAGGTTAATTAAACCAGAAGATTCTAGATGACAGGTGAAAACAAATCGTACGCAGTAAGTCGATAAGTAAATACATTTCCCTGTAATATCAAGTTGTTGGCAACTGAAAATGTTGCTTGAGATATTTTTGAGCCGACTATTTGTTGCTTAGTCACTGTTAGCATTGCTAGCTCAACGTTAGCCTCTAGTCCTCTTTTTAGGGTGTAATGAATTAAATTACATGTTATTTAATAAGCCAAAAGGTGTAGGATTCCATAGGAAATATGAAATAAGCTTTAGTTAGGAGGATCTGTAAGGTTAATTAAACCAGAAGATTGGATATTTTTAATGCAGGGATTAGATAACAGCTTCGTATTCACTCAGAGACAACAGAAGAGAGAGAGTCAAGTTTAAACGTTTAAAAATGTATTACTCTGACTACAGCGTACTCTGTACCCTGTAGTCTTCTGGCACTCGCAGAGTACAGATGCTTCCCTTTTTGCTCCCTTATCTTTTTTTCCCAAGGCTCTTTGTCCTGTCTGCCCACAGAGCGCTTCTCTGCACTTCTCCTGAAAAACACTATTTTTTAGAAATGGATTTAATAAATTGGTCATTCAACGCAATTGATAAGATTTTTTCAACGATGAGAACGGAGCAGGGGGCTCCCACTTGCCCGCAAGGGACACACCCGGCGGGGTATATGCTCGATTCCTGGAAATAATGGAGGATCGTATGCCTCTCCCGGTTGTCCATTGAGCACGTCGAAGATGTGTGGATGTTTGTTCTGATGATCACTAGATTTCTTCTGACTGGAGTGGGAGGATATCTGGTTTTCTGGAAATTTGGGAAGACGGGAGTGATTGGAGGGTGTCCCGCACCCACGGAAAGCACTGTTTGTGTGGAGACCCTACAGACTGGGACGTTACTCGAGGTGAATCATAAGCTGGACAATGTTCTAGCTGCGTTACCGGTATTAATGTGCGAAATGGATGTCATCTCGGAGAGGGTCACCGGATGGTGTGGAGATGCTTAAAACCTGAATTGGCTTCACTGGAGGACTTGAATGATCAGTTACAGACTTGAAGGCAGAGAGCAAAATTATGTCTGCCTGACCCAAACAAAGTCTTGTTATCCGAATCTGACACTATGGCAGCCTTGTGAATGCCAACAACAAACCCCCACGAAGGAATGCAGACAGATGCTGTGAAAACCCGACCTACCCCCCCCCCCCGCCGTCGGATTGGTGGACTGCAGCCTGGCGAGGTCATCAACCTGCAGGTGTCAATGTGCTCTGCGCTCCTCCCAAGATCTCCCTCCCACCTGTGGCTACAGTGGCTGAGCGCCATACAGGGTTGCTCTCGCTGGGTAAACAGGATCCCCAAATCCGAAGAAGCAATTAGTTCTGATGGGAATTGAAGGTGATGTCTTCACATTAAGCTTTAGTTAGGAGATTCATAAACACATTCGACGCCATTTGCCGGTCTACCTACCCTGAGCGGAAGTCCCCGTCTAGATCAGGAGGTGTAAAGGTCCAGCTTGACCTTTATGGAGCAGGAGCCGGTAGAAGCAGCCACGGCAACCGACCACCCGTCTTGAGATACTTCCGGGTCACGACAGTTTGTTGGCATCTGGTGAGACCCGAGCCTGGGTCTTGATGGTTCAGCTTTTATTCTGAAAGGAACCGTTGCAGCAGGTGGAACAGCAACAGATTTTATCCAGCTTGTCGCTGGTTCTTTTGGCTGAAGAGGAAAGTTACGGATTGGCCACTCCGTCACTTTCTCTAGAACGCTTTGAACTGGCGTTAGAGATGACGTGGGCATAGTTTTATACTTCGGCTGTTTTGGTTTATGGTCGAATGAAAATTTGACAGATTTACCAAACACCATCAAAACCACACCTCCGTCAGATCTGTCAGATTCTGATTGGATCAGTGAAAGTAATGTGTCACGTCTTTCAACACTACGTGAGATCAGTCCTAGTGGAAACATTTAAAGTCATATTACTTATTATATTCTATAGGATTATAATAAAGTAATTAAAATTTTGATTTCACAAATCAGTCACATCTTATTTATTGACTACAGGGTATCCGTGGGTCCTTAAAAAGTCTTAAATTTGCTTTTCTAAAATTAAGGCCTTAAAAATCCTTAAAAATTACAAATAATCCTTAAATACAATTTCCAAAGGTCTTAAATGACCAAAGACCCAATGAACAAGAATTTCTAGTTAGTCTTTAGCATTTTTTGTGTACGATGTTGGCGTAAACGGAACCGTACACATTCAGTTGGTTGTGAAAGGGGGCTATTTTTAGATGAGCACATTAGCTGGTTAAGCTAGTGGGAGCTTGCGCCATGGGGAAGTGCAAGTTTAATGGTAACTGGGTGGGTAATCTCACGTTTGCGACGTGGTTAGCACCAGTTCCAGGCAATAGCTGGAAATTGTAGCTTAAATTTAAATTTAAAAAATAGCTTAAATTTGGTCAAAGTGGCCTAAAAAAGGTCTTAAAAAGTCTTGCTCCCTTAAACCTGCAGATACCCTGTTAAATAGTTTCCGAAGGTCTTAAATTACCAAAGACCCAATAAACAAGATCCTTTTATTTCTATAAAAATTTCGTGAATTTCTAGTTAGTGTTCAGCATTTTTTGTGTATGATATTGGCGTAAGCGGAACCGTACACATTCAGTTGGTTGTGAAAGGGGGCTATTTTTAGATGAGCACATTAGCTGGTTAAGCTAGCGGGAACTTGCGCCATGGGGAAGTGCAAGTTTAATGGTAGCTGGATGGCTAATCCCATGTTCGCGACGTGGTTGGCACTGGTTCCAGGCAATAGCTGGAAATTATAGCTTAAATTTAAATTTAAAAAATAGCTTAAATTTGGTCAAAGTGGCCTTAAAAAAGGTCTTAAAAAGCCTTGCTCCCTTAAACCTGCAGATACCCTGTTAAATAGTTTCCGATGGTCTTAAATTACCAAAGACCCAATAAACAAGATCCTTAAAAAGTCTTAAAGTTGGCTCCCTTAAACCTGCAGATACCCTGGACTAACACTTGTTTGGATTAGCTTTATTAAAATAGAGTTCTTTGATTAATTAAAAGAAAAGAGTTCATTCTTCATTCTTCTGTTGAGCTGAAAATAAGCAGGTTAGAAGCAAATGCATGAGACCTTGAGAACAGATCTCTGCAGACTAGTCCTGTGTCAGAGGAGGGGGAAAACAGTCATTTTATTCTGTTACAAGGGGTACAAAAAATAACTTCTGGGCTGCTCCTTTTACTGGCTAATATAATGTCCATGACTCTAGAGCATTTTGCTGGCAGGTGTACGATTGCAAATGCAGACAGTGTGACGTCAGGTGATGCAGACTTGACAACCCGGCAAACTCAGTAATTGTAAAGAAAGACTACATCCTTTTTAGATTTTTTTACAATGAAATCATGTTTGGTTTTCAAATTTAAGGTAGATGTGTTTGATGAATGTTGCTTTTTAATGATAAAGAGCATACAAGGCATTGCCACAGGCTAGACGCTCCCAGAGTCATCACATGGACCAAACTGGTGAGCCACCAAAGAATTTTCACTGCCTCCATCTTGCCCACCATGAACATTTTCTGGAGACACCACTGCTTTGTTGAGATGGAACCACAGCAAGAATAGAAGAGAGCGCAAATTATAATTTTTTTTCATTCTTTCTTCTTAACAGCTCACATGTACAAGGTGACTGTGCGGACGGGTGACATGTTCGGAGCGGGAACAGATGCCAATGTTTTCCTCACCATCTACGGAGACCTGGGAGACACAGGAGAGCGCAAACTTGCCAAATCTGAGAACAATAAGAACAAATTTGAGCGAGGCGAAGTAAGAGCGTGACTTTGTGAGGAGTGTTGTGTCTAAAAGTGTCTGAGTATGTACTTGTACCTGGGACTTTTAGGTGGACAGGTTCACCATTGAGGCTGTGGACCTGGGACAGGTGTTTAAGATCCGCATTCGCCACGACAACAGCATGCTCAGTGCAGATTGGTACCTGGATCAGGTGGAGGTGCAGGATGAAGACACAGAAGAAGTTTACATGTTTCTGTGTGAGCGCTGGCTGTCCAAAAAGAAGGAGGACAAACGGATAGACAGGATCTTCTACGTCAAGGTTTGGGAAACTCTCGTTTTCACCAGTGTCTCCATCCCAGCTCATTTTATTTACTCCTGTTGTTTTCACTGTGTTTCAGACCTGAAATAAAAGAAACTATTTAGGAAAAGGGACAATAAAACAAATATCTTGGGTTTACTATGTTTCCAACGACTTTGTTTGTGTCCTGTGTGGGTGGTTCAGGGGTATGAGGGTGAAAGGAGCATCGATCCATATTTCAAGAAGATGGCCCAGTCCAAACAAGTGCTGGACCAAAATGCCAACAAAAAGAAAAAGAAGAAAAAAGCAGTGGTGGCAGAAGAAGGTCCAAGTAAGCCAAGACAAAATAAAGTTATCTTTAAAAAAGTACATCCTATACATGAAAAACAGAAGCAAAACAGCAGAGAATGTCTAGCAGAAGCTGTTTGCATTATCAACTTCACCACACAGCAGAACTCCTCCACACTTGTGTTATTTATGGAGATAAAAAAATCCAAGTTGCAAGTCAGTGGTAGAGTCGCGTTGCTGTCCAATCCAAGGTGAGATGTCCAAATATGAGGAAACAAGACTCTAAAATCTGCCATCTCAGCTTTGATGTTGGCAACCTTTAGGTTCGAGAAATAGTGCACTATTATTTGTTTTCCCCCCGAGAACATTGTACTAGGCGTTCCTTTGCAAATGTATTGATTAAATGAGTAAACCACTTCTTTAAAGCAGAGACCAAATTCAAGCCTTTCAACTGTAATTTTAGCTCTCTGAATATTGGAGAAAACTGGGGATCTAGTGTCTTGTACGTCAATGACTTACTGGTTATTTTTTAAGAAATTAAATGAAATGTATATGGTTTTAACCTTTTGATGCATAATGGTCACTACAGTGGTCAGGTACTCAAAATGTTATTTATTTATTTATTTATTTTTGCAATTAAGCACAGCTGTTGAAGACTTTATTGCATTTGAGCCCCTCCATTTGGACTTCAGTAAGCCAAGCCAACATATTTCATGTTCAGAATGCACGCTGCCCACTGAGGTGGACATGTAATAAATTATTTGTAAATCAAATGTTACAAAAAATATTTGTTGAAATTTGTTTCATTCACACCTAAAGATGAATGAAAAAATTGCTTAAAAAATCATGGTTGAAGATTTCATAATTCATGCATCAAAGGGTATGGTGCTAGATGTGGAATAAATTAGGCTTTGACATGTCGACACCTACTGTACTTCTAATCTTTGCAACAGCTTCAACCATGAGAATTTAAACTTAAAAAAAACAACATTTTAACCTCATGTTCCCCCCCTTTGCAGTCATCCCGTATCACTTCACACTGTCCACTGGGATGGAGCGTGATGCCAGCACCACATCCAGAGCGTACGTCATCATCATCGGCCCCAACGACGTCGAGACGGACCGTCTGTGGCTGGACCTGCAACAGGGGAAGAAATCCTTTGCTGCTGGCAGCATGGAGCACTTTGTGTGCTACGGCACCGACGTGGGAGAGATCAAGAGGGTGGAAGTGAGAATCTGTGATTGTGTCTGCAGCTAAATCTGTGAAACCATCTCCTCTCTGCTGCCACTGATGCTAAAAGATTTAAATAGCACCATTCTGGTTCAGAAATAATTAAAGAAAGCTGCAGTGAGGAGAGAATGCTAATCAAAACAAAGTCAAATGACATATCTATTCCCAGCTCATCTTCCCCCTCCGTCTCTGTTTTCTCCCTTGTTTCTGTTCAGATTGGTCATAACGGTGTCACACCAGAGAGCTGCTGGTTGGTGGAAGAGCTGTCGGTTGCCGTGCCAACCAAAGGTATCAAGTACATCTTTCCATGTAAGTGCTGGCTGGCTAAAGACAGGGGAGATGGTCTGACTGTCAGACTGTTAAATGTACTGGATTCCAGCACAATCAACATTATCCGCAAAGTGAGTCACTTCATCTCAAATCAGATGTGTTGGAGAACGTCCATTTGGTTGTTTCACGTAAAAAAGACAGCCGTTTATTGTCTTTTTAGGTTATTTATTCAATCACGGTTGTCACGGGAGACACTCAGTATGCAGGGACGGATACCAACATTTTCCTGACTGTGTACGGGGTGAACGGGAGCACTGAGGAAATGCTGCTGCCAAAAAATGGAGACAGGTGGACCCAGCAGCAATCGATTATAATCTGTCAATCTACCGATAAAGAAAAAAAAATAAACACAACAAAAATCTCCAGACGGGAATCATTTTCATGCTTTTTTCTGTTTCTCTGCTGAAAAAAGTCCAAAAATAGCCAACAAATTATCTGCTGCACAAAGACCAATAAAGCGTGTTCATGTTTTCCTGTTCAGGTTTGAAAGAGACCAAGAAGACACATTCACCTTGGAGATTGACGACATAGCTCCTCTGAAGAAGATCAGAGTTCGGATTGACGGCAGTGGGTGTCGACCTGACTGGTTTCTTGACAGGGTAACAAAAACACTGCAGTGAAGTAGGCTTTCGTATCGAATCTTTCGTAACATCGTGATCAAATAGCTCAAAAAACACTTTCAGATCCTCATGAGGAACCTGACCACAGAGGAGGAGTATCTGTTCACCTACGAGAACTGGCTGTCCAAGACCAAAGGACCAAAAAGGACAAAGGTGTGTGAGCTGCCAGCGGTGGTGGACGAGGAGGAGATGGTGGACAAAACGAACTACATCATCCAAGTCCAGACCAGCGACGTTGGAGGTGAGTCACGAGTTTCATATGGTTTTGTCACATATTAACATTATTTATCCAAAAATATTTAAGAAATCTCATCCGGTTCTTCTACTGCGCCCTCAGAATTCATCAAATTTTATTTTGTTTGTGTCAAAATGTGCTAAACTCTTTTGTTCCAGGTGCTGGCACCGATGCCAACGTGTTTCTGATTGTGTTCGGGGAGTACGGAGACACTGGGATGCTGCCTCTGAAGGAGGGCAGCAACAGGAACAAGTTTGAGAGGAAATCGAAAGACGTGTTCAGAATTCCTGAAATGCTCAGTCTGGGTGAGCTGTCCAAAATCAGAGTGTGGCACGATAACAAAGGTGAGAAGGAAGCACTTCATTCGTTGTTTTTTTCATCGCAATTGTTTTCATGCAATTCGAAAAAAAACAGCAGCCATCCAACCAGTTTTCCTCTCCACTGTCGCTTTATGCTTGCTTAGTATGGGGATTGCTGTAAAGTCACTGACACTAGTCAGTGACTTGATGCAATTTGCTGGGTTCCTTATATAGGAAACATTATTTCTGATTGGCTTAATGAACTGACCTGAATTGGAATGTTTATTATGTGAAGTGCCTTGAGACGACTCTTGTGATTTGGCGCTTTATAAATAAAATTGAATTGAATTATGTTCAGAGTTCAAAGACAAGAGGACATAAACCTTTTCCGAACTTTGTTCCTTATGCTGGAAACAGGCCCGGCTCCTGGCTGGCACTTGGAGTACATTGATGTGAAAGACGAGACCATGGACCAGATGTTCAGGTTCCCCTGCAACCGCTGGCTGGCTAAAGGCGAAGATGATGGGATGATTATAAGGGAACTGGCGTGTGCCAACAATGACTCTATAGACCTCAGTGACAAAACCAGTTAGTAATAACGGATGTTTGCTAAATTTGAGCCCTGTAATTTGACCCAGAATAACAGCTTACCAGATGTGAAAAGATTATAATTCAGTTTTTTTTTGTCTCTGCGTTGTAACAGAATACGAGATCGCCACAACAACTGCAAACACCGACAACGCCTCCACCGCAGAGAACGCCTGGATCGTGTTGGAGGGGAGGAAAGCTCGTTCCAAGGAGTTTGTTCTGGAGAACAAGAAAAAGAAGTTTTTATGGTAATTCAAAGTTTGTCCTTCCACCTTTTATTCTGTTTCCAGGGGTGAAGATTCCTTTGAGAAAAGGAATCTCACCGCTGTTAATGTGAAAAGCGTTTGTGAACTTTCCACAGCGGTGCCACAGACACATTTGAGTTCTCATCCAAGCATTTGGGGGAAATCGCCGGCATCTGCCTTGGTCACATTTCAAAAGATGGAAAGAAGGTGAAGAAGGAAGTCTTCTGGCACGTTATGGAGGTGGTGGTGACAGAAATGGAGCTGGGAAACAAGTGAGTGGAGCCTCACACTGCCTACATCATCTTATATAAAGCGTCAGATTGATGAGGCTGGTCCTCTTTTAGGTATTTCTTTCACTGTGACGCCCAAATCCCTTTGACAGCCAAAAAGGACCAGTTCCTCACATTTGAGTGCTATAAATCTGTTGAGAGCTTCGCGAGTAAAGTGCGCAAACTGGTCCCTGTCAAGTATGAAATCATCATCATCACCGGGGACGTCAAGGGCGGTGGAACTGATGCCAACGTTTCCATCACCATCTACGGCGTCAACGGGGACTCGGGCAAGCGCGCACTCAAGAAAAAGTTCCGCAACCTCTTTGAGCGGGGACAGACAGACCGCTTTGTTCTGGAGATGCTGGACCTCGGGGAGCTGCTGAGGGTCAAAGTGGAGCACGACGGCAGCAGCTTGAACAACGGGTGGTTCCTAGAATGTGTCGAGGTGACCAACATGGCTAACTCTGTCACAACCATCTTCCAGTGTGGGAAGTGGCTGGACGCTCATAAGGCAGACGGAGAGATTTATCGAGTGCTCTATCCCAGGTATTAGAAGGAAAACAAACAACTCCCTGCTGTCTTTTTTACTCTGATGAAAGAGTTGGATTTACTTCAGCTCAGTGCAGCTTTTTTAAAGAGGGCATACTTCAAAAACTCTCCTTTTGCACTGCCACCTGGGTTTCTACAGCCTCTATGAACACTCCAAATGTGAAAAAAAAACCTCCACCCATTTTCTGTCAGTGATTGGTTTCAGGAATTATCAGCCTAAAACAAGCCGTTTCATAAAGTTCCTGTTTGTGATGTCACAAATGGGGAAATTAGCAACAAAAAAAACCCACCTCTCCCGACTGGAAGAGCAGCAGCTGTACTCAAAGTTGCTCCCGGATATCGGAGATTCCCAGCTAATACAGCCTGAGTGAGGAATGGGTGGGCGTGGCCAGCTCCAGCTTGTTTTTTTTAAAGTGGCAGAGCTCTGAAACGGCTCATTCTGGAAGGTACTGCAAATGTCAAGACTAAAACTGCTGAACTTCCTTTATGCGAGATGGATTTCATGCAAAAAAAAACTTCATTAACGTTTTTTGTATAGACCATGAGACTATTACAATTTTTTCAAAAAGTGAAAATAGGTTTTCTTTAAAGGACAAATCCAATGTTTGGTCTGGAATGTGTGCCAAACAAGATAAAAAGCCATATTACCAGTGGTGTGTATAGAATATTTATTCTTAGACCAACTCATCATCTATGTTTTGACATAGGTATAAAATGTATTTTGTGTTTTTGTTCAGAGAAATACATCAGTCTATTAATAAAACTTTTATGTACTGAAAGTGTTTGGGCAGGTTTTATCTGCAGTTGTTTCGGTGACAAGGTGGAGAAACGAGGGCCTGGGCGGGATTTGATCCCCAGACTCCCGGGTGAGAGTCACACGCGATAACCAGTCAGCCAACAGGACATCCCCAGAGCACGTAATCAATCGGGACACTGTGACAGGACGCTCACACTGCCACATTTTCCTTCTCTGTGCACTTTGGAAAATATTTTTCAAAATATTTCTCAGAGATTTTTGACCAATACATCAACTCAACAAAGAGGAAACTTGTATTTATTTATGTTTACAGTCTTGCTCTGTCATAGCCAAACAATAATAAGACAGTTTCTGTTGTCAAGCAGAACATCACTTCTTTGTAATTTACATCCAAGGAACCACAAATGTTTGTAACCTTTAAAGTGGTCCTGATCAGGGGCGGATTAAGGACTGAAGAACATCCGGGGCTTAACACACGCACACACATGCGCGCGCACACATACACACACACACACACACACGTGACACGCACTAGTCAACATCATATATATTTGTCTTGAACCACATCATTTTTAATCTGAAGCTACATATTAAGCATTTTCAGGGCAGAGTATTGTTCCTGTTAGTGTTTAGTGTGAGATGATAGTAAATATTCCCTTTCTTTCTCCATCAACTTTACCTGATAGTAAGCTAACTTTAGGCAAACCAGCAGCACAACAAATATTTTCAAATTAGACTCACAAACCTGAGTCAACACCAGTCTCATCAAAGCTGTGGTTCTGTTGTTGTACTTTTGGTCTAAAAAACGTCCTTATGTCCATCTTCACTCATGCGTTTCAGGCAGAGAGTGTAGAAGAAGCCAGCTGCTGAAGGGCTTCTTCTTCAGTGGTGGAGGCTCAGGCAGGCTGTATACAAACTACTGCCAGCTGCTCCCTCTCTGTTGGACTTTGGTACTGCATGTTGCTTCCGCGATTTAGATCCGGGGCTTTCCATGAAACATCCGGGGCTTCAGCCCAAGTAGCCGGGCCTAACGCCGCCCCTGGTCCTGATCAAAAATTGGGAAGGTATTTAAAGGGTTTTGACTTTGGCTGCTTTTAGCTAATTTTTAGTATATTTATCGTTGCTGACAGCATGTGCATTGCCTAAAAAAATAGAGAAAGAGGAAAAGTTGTAATTTCCATACAACTGTAATCTGCATTGATGGAATTTAATACTGCGTTACTTTACAATTTTTCTGTATATGTCCTTGAGCACGTTTCTTGAGGTCAACTTTTTACTTTTACTCCACTACGTTTTAAAGCAATTAGCTGTACTTTCTACTCCACTACATTATCAAAAATGTTTAAAAAGTAAAAGTACTTTAATTTGCTTCCAATTTTTATTGGTTCTTCTTTAAAGACTTAGACGTATAGATAGTTGATGCAGAGCTGGCTTTTACCTTCGTACTGAAGCTCTACTTCTCTGTGTATAAAAAAGAACAGATAAAAAATTGAATGGAAAAATCAACACAGAGCGAACGTAACAAAGATGGGGACCAGCAGAACACTTCGTTCCAAAGGTAATTATACTTTGTGTTTTGCTCCCTCCTGGTCCGACAGCCCACTTCTTCTATACATGCAATGCACGTTTAAATGTTAAGTGAATACTTTTACTTTTTTACTTTAAGTACATTTGAAAATGCATACTTTAATACTTTTATTTAAGTAAAAAAAAAAACATCTTGGATTCTCCCGGTTTTACTTTTTTACCTGTAGCTTTTTATCTGTACTTTTACTTAAGTAAAAACATCATGTGCTTCTTCCACCACTGGTAATCTGTGACACTTTTTTAGTTTTCAGCTAAAGAAATAAATTGTTTTTTACTTTACAATATTCTGCCTGTAAGACAAAGATTAAGCTTATCAATACTCTCTTAATGCATTATTATTAGTGGGGTGACGGTGGCACAGGAGTTAAGTGCTGGTGGTGGTCGGAGGGACCGGCGGCGCCTGTGCTTGGCAGCCTCGCTTCTGTCAGTGCACCCCAGGGCAGCTGTGGCTACATCGTAGCTCATCCCCACCAGTGTGTGAATGCGTGAATGACTGATTGTGAAGCGCCTTGAGGGGTTCCATGACTCTAGAAGGCGCGATATCAAATACAGGCCATTTACCATTATTGGTTTAGAAGTTTCATCTATTCAATTTCTATTTGAAATTATATCACTAAGCCAAAGTTTTTATCTTTTTTTCAGTCAATATATTGTAACATTTGAGAGTGCATTTGTATTTTAATCTACAGTCTAAGTGAAATGTTGAATTTACTTAACCAAGTTCTCATTACACCAGATCCATTCATCACTTAGTCTTGTTTAAAATGTTTAGAAATAAATCATCTTAAATGTTTTAAAGGACTCTCTCTCTCTTCTCGTCTCTGACTTAATACACGTGTTACATAATCCCTGCAATAAAAAGTCCCAATCTTCTGTTTAAAACAGCCCAACGGTCCGTAATATTGATTTCATATCTACTATGGAATCTTTTGTCTCACGGGTCCTGAATTAGATGCAAATTAACTTCTTTTACATAATGGCGAGCCAGCCAGGAGAGAAGGTAAATAACCTTCGGAGGAATAGCACCTCCGTCACGTTACATACTTAACCAAGTTATGCCGTCTGGTTCCACTAAACATACTTGCTTAAATATAAACAGTAAATTCACATCATTAAATGTTGGTATGCCAACTTTAATGGAACCAGATGACATAACTCGGTTAAGTAAATTCAACATTTTTTGTTCTTACAGTGTATTTTTGAACATCTTTGTATTTCAGCTGGTGCACTGTAAAAACAGGGATTAAAACATTTTCTACCAAGTCGTGTTCAAATCTTCAGCAGCTTGTTTTCACTGAAAATACATTAAATAAACAACTCTGCAGATTAGTTATCAGCATTTTAGGCAATTTATTTGAAAAACACATACAAAAAGGTCATATACAAGACAATAAATTAAAAAAGAGACAGAACAGTTTGGGTTAAGCTATGCAACTTTTTGCATCATCATTAGTAATAAATACAGTACAAAAATCCACCCAGAGTGAATCTAAAGATTTTTCCACAATATTCACTGATCATGTTATTCTTCATTATGATTTAGCTATTGCTTTCATATTATTGATACATACTTCTACATTTCTATAAAATAGTCAAGATCGTAAAACGTTGCGCGGTTACAGCAAAACAGCAGTGTGTTGTACAAAGATGGCCACTTCCCTTTTTCACTGGCAGGTTAAAAATCAACGTGTTTTTTCAGCAGCAAAGAAACATCTGAAATATTCAAGAAGGTACAGCATCATATTAAACACATCTACAGAGCTACTCCCACATACACATAGGAAAACCTGAGAAGGACATGCATTAAAAAGCTTGTGCTTTGAGTTTCTACTGTTCATTCCGGTTCATCAGCTTGAGTTAATACTATGGCTACGGTCCAGTTCAGTCTGGAGATACGGGGGGGGGTTAAACTGTAGCGGGCGCAGGGCCGAGGGAGGGGGGTCGGCATGGGGTAAGGCCAGTGAGAGCACGAAATGATATAATAGTAAGACCAGTCAGCTTCATTCCAATTCAATTCACGCTAGAATATTTTTGCAGGATTAGTAGAGGATTAAGAGGAAATGCACACCGAAAAAACGTAGTTAGCTTATCATATCGAGGTGTGGAACATCTAATATTGTAAAACCACAGTACACCAGAAGTTTGCTCAAGAAATCGATGGCTCAAGTCAGCATGTTAGATAAGTCCCATAAATCCCACACAAAGCAACAGCCAGCAACATGTAGGAACAAATATTTCAACTCGTTACGTGGGTTCCTAAAACGTTAAACACTCAAATGAAATATAATGAATATCGTGAAAGAAAATTCCCCAAAAAACTTAAATCAAATATGGGTTATTGGCGAGTGAAGCGGTCATATTTCGGGAGAAAATCAAGCTAAGACTGGCAGGGTTTGGCCCTGGAAACAGGATTAAAACATTCAAAATGAAGAGATGAAATAAGTGGAATGTAGTCTAGATCAACAGCACCACGCTGGCTAGAAAACAGGTCGGGAAACACCCCCCCAGTCGCTTTTTCCAACAGATTCTTCTTTGAAAAAGAAAACACAGACGGCATGCACAAGCATCCCCACCAACCAATGCATAATGAGGTATTTTTTTAGTATTTTGTGTTATTTTAAATAAATATATTGATTAAATTGCAAAGTTATGAGATAGAGACATTAAATATTCCACCACAATAGCTAGCTAGCTACAGTTAGTAATAAATAATGATTGTTAAATACTTAAGGCATCTTTAATCACAGCATTCTATGTGAACTAGCAAACCTCCATTTTCATCTATATGTAGTTTTTTTGGACAGAGGTTTCATACAAAAAATGAAAATAACTTTTTTTTAAAGCAACACCAACAGTCAAGTTACCCCCCAATAGTACACGAGGAAGCATGAAAATACTTTTTAAAATGAATGAAAACACAAAATCTAGGACAAGAAGTACCCACACCACCAAACCAAAAATATCAGGCAACTCCATATTATAGTGCATTTACGAAACACAAGCTACATTAGAACAACAATAAATATGTTTTTGCAGCATTGCAGCTTTTCTTCTTCACTATGGTTAAAATGGACACCGGTGTGTTGGTACCATGTCCAAATTGGCAGGTGAGAAAAAAAATAAAAGAAAAAATAAAAGAACAAACAGATATTATTGTTTTAAATGGTAGAAAAAGACAATTGAAATAAAAGAAATCAATGTTGAGAACAGTTGTTTGGTATTTTTCAAATGGATGGCTTTTTCTCCCTTTCACCCTCCTTCAAGTGAAATACGCCAACATGGTTCATGCATGATGTCGAGAAACAGCTTCTATCACTGATCACAGTTCTAGCAATACCATACACAAGCACCATGAAGGGGGGCTGGAGAGGGTGAGGTGGGGGACAATCATACACATTCTAGCACATTTCACAGGCAAACTAGTTTGTATTTTCCCTGTAACACCAGACACAGTTTATCTGTTATTTTTATCAAACGGCCGCAGCAACTTAGATTGAAATTAAAGAAGCCAACACACAACAGAGGCGATTCTAGGAATCACATGTGCTTGTTCGATAGGCAATAAGGTTCTGGTAAGAATAGAAACGTCCCTCTGATGGCGGGACTCGGGCGCTGCGTCCTCGAGCCCGCGGCGGCGGCCCCTCGTGATCATGATCAAGTGGAGGCAGCAGAGCAGAGAGTTGCCGTTAGATGCCGATCCGGCCGCAGTTCTTTGAGTCCTGACCGTTAAAAGAGGAGAGAAACGCCGCACCGACGTGGGATCAGCGTCTAAGGGCGACTCGAGAGTTATGGGGGTGATTTAGGGGGTGGGTGAGGGTGTGTGTGCGCGTATTACAGGTGCATTCTTGTTCTCCTCTATGAATGAGCGGGATCATAATAGTACGGTTCACATGCACAGACACGATCCCTGTTTCTAAACTGCTCCACAATATCAACGACACAGCCCAAGCCTGCCATACAGCATGCACATCCGAGGCCTCGGCTCCAAGGTGGAGGCCCGACTACGACACTACACACATCACTGAAAGCCATGCCTGCAGTTAGCGGGTTCAGCGTCAACTCCGATGGCGTCAACTAACTGGAAATCCATGTTAGACGTGAGAAGAGGGACTTTGTGGACTTTTTTTAAATCTCAATGCTCGTGATTTGAACACAGAATCCGATTAACCCGCGCTTGCCCCTCTCTGTGGGTTCATTTTTTCAAACACATCTCAAAAGGCTTTTAGCTTTGCTACACAACACTGTTACTCTGTAAATACTTTATCAGTACTATACTCCATGACATCACAAGCGTTCAGCTACAAGAGTTCACACCACACGACCTCATGCTAATCATTTGATAATGTTCTGTACAGATGTGCTGAGCGAGGGCTTGGGCGGAGAGCAGCTTAAAGATTTTTTCACACGCCTGGTGGGTGGGCGGGGGGGCGGGGGTAGGTAAGGTTTGGCAGCAAAACGGCCCGAATACATCACACTGAGCTGGGAGGTCAGAGGTCACGGTGGCAGTATGGGGACAGGTGAGGACTCAGCACATCTGTCCATACAACTCCTACCTTCACACGTCCAGAAATGTCCGTCCTATCTGTGCATCAACCACCCCCCACCCCACTCCCTCCTTGTGTTGTAAGTGAGTGTGCTTTGTTGATCCCTCTGTCGCAGCCGTCTCAGAAGGCAGGCTCTTTAAGAGATGCAGAAGTGTAGAGTGGTGTTTGGCTGAGCGCCCCCCCCCCCCCCTCCTCATTCAGGAGGGAGGCGATGGAGAACAAACGAGACCAGATCTATAGTCGCGGGAGTCGACAGGAGCTATCAACTCTCGGGGGTTAGCTGGGTCTCAATGTCCACTCTGCAGATGGGACACTTCCTGCTGGTGGCCAGCCACTGATCCACACACGCCTGGTGAAAGAGGTGCATGCAGGGTAATCTCCTGAAAGGAGCAAAGAGTGAGAGGGTTTAGATTTGGGATTTATTCTTAGGTGCACCATTTTTCCTGCTGAGCCACAATAATTTGCACAAGCTTCAAAGAGAATATGGAAAATTCCAGTGGCAGCTCGTCCATAGGGGGCGCTAGGGCGCCGCCCAAACGAACATGAGGAAAAAAGGTTTCAAAAATACATCACAGATGAGCTTCAGACGGCAAGTTTTGGAGTTTTATTTCCTGATATTTGGACATCTTGCCCCAAATTGGATAACAGCAATGAGACCCTACCACTGACTTGCGAGGTTGATGTTTAATCTCCACAAATAACACAAGCCTGGGGAGTTTTGTCGAGTGGTGGAGTTGCTAATGCTAACAGTTAGCTTCTACTAGCCAAGGCGTTCTCTGCGGTTTCCTGGACGCTAAAGCAACAACAGTCTTCCCCATGGCGAGTCAAGATGGGTGAGTCCATGAATGTTAAGTGACAGTGTGACGTAGATCTGTGAGAATGATCAAATCCTAGAGTTTCACCGTCTATTTTCTATCAGGAGAAAGGTGTAGGTTTCATGTTCAGCCTGCATGAAAAATTCAGAGTGACCGATTATAATCAGAAATAATCGTAAAAAATGTTTTCATTGTTCCACACCTTTAATTATTGATAATGGACTAAGAAAGGAATATTTTTCACATATAGCCTCACCGAGATTTTTTTTTCCACCAGCCACCGCTGGAAAGGTTACATTTTATGGATTGGGCAATAAAGGTGATTTTCATAGTGTTTAATTTTTTTGTTATTAGTGTCACGTAGCTATTAGTAGTAGTAGTAGTAGTAGTAGTAGTAAGTCACACTTCACCAGATATCGATTCTCATGTGATTATTATTATTATGTAGCGGTTTGAAATGACTGTTTTCCACCAAAAGTCATTTCCCCCTCTCCTCTGACACAGAACTAGTCTGCATGAGATATGGCCTCAAGGTCTCATGCATTTGCTTCTAAACTGCTTCTTTCCAGCTCAAGAGAAGAATGAAGAAAGGACTCTCTCCTTTAATAAATGAAAGAACTCTATTTTTAATAAAGCTAATCAAACAAAGTGTTAGTCAATAATAAGATGTGACAGATCTGTTAAATCAAAATATTAATTACTTTATTATAATCCTATAGAATATAATAAGTAATATGACTTTAAATGTTTCCACTAGGACTGATCTCACGTAGCGTTAAGACATGACACATTGCTTTTACTGATCCAATCAGAATCTGCCAGATCTGACGGAGGCGTGGTTTTCGTGGTGTTTGGTAAATCTGTCATCTTTTCATTCGACCATAAACCAAAACATCCGAAGTTTAAAACTATGCCCACGTCATCTTTAACGCTGGTTCAAAGCGTTCTAGAGAAGTTGTCGGAGTGGCCAATCCGTAACTTTCCTCTTCAGCCGAAAGAACCAACGACAAGCTGGATAAAATCTGTTGCTGTTCCAACTGCTGCAACGGTTCCTTTCAGAATAAAAGCTGAACCATCATGACCCAGGTTTAGGTCTCACTAGATGCCGATAAACTGTCGTGACCCGGAAGTATCTCAAGACTGGTGGTCGGCTGCCGCGGCTGTTTCTACAGGCCTCGGCTCCACAAGGTCAAGCTGGACCTCTACACCTCCTGATCTAACGGGGACTTCAGCTAAGGGTACGTAGGCCGACAGAATGGCGTCGAATATGTTTATGAATCTCCTAACCAAAGCTTAGCGCGAAGACGTCACCTTCAGTTCCCATCAGAACTAATCGTTTCTTCGGATTTGCTGGTTCTGAGCAACATTCCACACTACACCATTCTCCGTCTCATTCACCTTAGTTACACCATACATTTAGTGTTAAAGTTAGTCTAGTTTAATTTGTTTAGTAATAAATCTTTAAACTTTTAAACTTGACTCTCTCTTCTGTTGTCTCTGAGTGAATATGACGCTGTTATCTAATCCCTGCAATAAAAAGTTCCAATCTTCTGGTTAAAATAATCCATAAGGTTGATTTCATATTTCCTATGGAATCCTCTCCTCCTTGAACCGTCACCTTATCGTGGTGGAGGAGTTTGAGTGCCCTAATGATCCTAGGAGCTATGTTGTCTGGGGCACTTAGTGCCCCTGGTAGGGTCTCCCATGACAAATTGGTCTTAGGTGAAGGGTGAGACAAAGAACGGTTCGAAGGATCTTTCATGGCGGTTAAAACGAAGAGTCGGAGTACCCGGCCCGGAGGGTTACCGGGGTCCCACCCTGGAGCCAGGCCTGGGGTTGGGGCCCGTGAGCGAGCGCCTGGTGGCCGGGCTTTCGCCCATGGGGCCCGGCCGGGCCCAGCCCGAACCGGATACATGGGCTCGTCCAACTGTGGACCCACCACCCGCAGGAGGAACATGAAGGGTCCGGTGCAATGTGAATCGGGTGGCAGACCAAGGCGGGAGCCTTGGCGGTCCAATCCCCGGACAAGAAAACTAGTTTTTGGGACATGGAACGTCACCTCGCTGGCGGGGAAGGAGCCGGAGCTTGTGGCAGAGGTTGAGCGGTACCGGCTAGATATAGTCGGACTCACCTCGACACATAGCATTGGCTCTGGAACCCGAGACCTGGAGAGGGGTTGGACACTCTACTTTGCTGGAGTTGCTCCGGGTGAGAGGCGGAGGGCTGGGGTTGGCTTTTTGTTAGCCCCGAGACTCTCTGCCTGTGTGTTGGGGTTTACCCCGGGGGACAAGAGGGTAGCTTCCTTGCGCCTTCGGGTCGGGGAACGGGTCCTGACTGTTGTTTGTGCTTATGGGCCAAATATCAGTTCAGAGTACCCACCCTTTTTGGAGTCCCTGGGACGAGTGCTAGATAGTGCTCCATCAGGGGACTCCATTGTCCTGCTGGGGGACTTCAATGCTCACGTGGGCAATGACAGCTTGACCTGGAGGGGTGTGATTGGGAGGAACGGCCCACCTGATCAGAACTCGAGCGGTGTTTTGTTATTGGACTTCTGTGCAAGCCGCAGTTTGGCCATAACGAACACCATGTTCGAACATAAGGATGCCCACCGGTACACTTGGTACCAGGGCAGCCTAGGTCACAGGTCGATGATAGATTTTGTAGTCGTATCATCTGACCTGCGGCCGTATGTTTTGGACACCCGAGTGAAGAGAGGGGCGGAGCTGTCAACTGATCACCACCTGGTGGTGAGTTGGATCAGATGGCAAGGGAACATGCCGCGTAGACCTGGCAGACCCAAACGCATAGTGAGGGTCTGCTGGGAACGCCTGGCAGAAGAACCTGTCAAGACGGTCTTCAACTCCCACCTCCGGCAGAGCTTTGACCACGTCCCGAGAGCAGTGGGGGACATTGAGTCCGAGTGGGCCTTGTTCCACTCTGCGATTGTCGAGGCGGCTGTTGCTAGCTGTGGTCGTAAGGTGGCCGGTGCCAGTCGTGGTGGCAACCCCCGTACCCGCTGGTGGACACCAGAGGTTCGGGGAGCCGTCAGGCTGAAGAAGGAGGCCTACAGGGCGTGGCTGGTCTGTGGGTCTCCGGAGGCAGCAGACAGGTACCGGATAGCCAAGCGGGGTGCAGCAGTGGCAGTTGCCGAGGCAAAATCTCGGGCGTGGGAGGAGTTTGGTGAGGCCATGGAGAAAGACTATCGATCGGCTCCAAAGAGGTTCTGGCAAACTGTCAGGCGCCTCAGGAGAGGAAGGCAGCAACTCGCTCACACTGTTTACAGTGGGGATGGGGAGCTGCTGACATCAACTGAGGCTATAGTCGGACGGTGGAAGGAATACTTTGAGGAGCTCCTCAATCCCACCAATGCGCATTCCGAGGAGGAACCAGAGCTGGGAGGCCTGGGGATGGACTGTCTGATCTCGGGGGCAGAAGTTGCTGAGGTAGTCAAACAACTACACAGCGGCGGAGCCCCGGGGGCGGATGAGGTTCGTCCTGGGTATCTCAAGGCTATGGATGTTGTAGGGCTGTCATGGTTGACACGTCTCTACAACATTGCGTGGTCATCGGGGGCAGTTCCTAGGGAGTGGCAGACCGGGGTGGTGGTCCCCATCTTTAAGAAGGGTGACCTGAGGGTGTGTTCCAACTATAGGGGGATCACACTCCTCAGCCTCCCTGGAAAGGTCTACTCCAAGGTACTGGAGAGGAGGGTCCGATCGATAGTTGAATCTCAGATAGAGGAGGAGCAATGTGGTTTTCGTCCTGGCCGTGGAACTGTGGACCAGCTCTATACCCTTGCAAGGGTGATGGAGGGGGCATGGGAGTTTGCCCAACCAATCCACATGTGCTTTGTGGATTTGGAGAAGGCTTATGACCGTGTCCCCAGGGGCACCCTGTGGGGGACGCTCCAGGAGTATGGGGTGGGTGGCTTTCTGTTAAGGGCCATTCAGTCCCTTTACCAGAGGAGCGTGAGTTTGGTCCGCATAGCCGGTAGTAAGTCGGACCTGTTCCCAGTGAGGGTTGGACTCCGCCAGGGCTGCCCTTTGTCACCGGTTCTGTTCATCACTTTTATGGACAGAATTTCTAGACGCAGCCGTGGTGTGGAGTGTGTCGAGTTTGGTGGCAGGAGAATCTCGTCTCTGCTTTTTGCGGATGATGTGGTCCTCCTAGCTTCATCCAGCTCTGACCTTCAGCTCTTGCTGGGTAGGTTCGCGGCCGAATGTGAAGCGGCTGGGATGAGGATCAGCACCTCCAAATCTGAGACCATGGTTCTCGACCGGAAAAGGGTGGCTTGCCACCTCCGGGTCGGGGGAGAGGTCCTACCTCAAGTGGAGGAGTTTAAGTATCTCGGGGTCTTGTTCACGAGTGAGGGTAGGAGGGATCGGGAGATCGACAGGCGGATTGGTTCGGCGTCTGCAGTGATGCGGACGCTGAGCCGATCTGTCGTGGGGAAGAGGGAGCTGAGCCAGAAAGCCAGGCTCTCGATTTACCGGTCGATCTACGTCCCAATCCTCACCTATGGTCATGAGCTTTGGGTAATGACCGAAAGAACGAGATCGCGGATACAAGCGGCCGAAATGAGTTTCCTCCGTAGGGTGGCCGGGCTCAGCCTTAGAGATAGGGTGAGGAGCTCGGACATTCGGGAGGGACTCGGAGTAGAACCGCTGCTCCTCCGGATCGAAAGGAGCCAGTTGAGGTGGTTTGGGCATCTGGTCAGGATGCCTCCTGGACGCCTCCCCGGGGAGGTGTTTCGGGCATGTCCTGCCGGCAGAAGGCCCCCGGGTCGACCCAGGACACGTTGGAGAGGTTACATCTCCAATCTGGTCCGGGAACGCCTTGGGGTCCTGCCGGAGGAGCTGGTGGACAAGGCCGGGGAGAGGACGGCCTGGAGCTCCCTAGTTGGGATGCTGCCCCCGCGACCCGGACCCGGATAAGCGGAGGAAGACGAGACGAGACTATGGAATCCTACGTCTTATGGCTTATTAAATAACATGTAATTTAAATTCATTACAATTACGTCAAAATCAAGTACTGAGCTTGTTTTTTTTTTCTGACAGAAAGCAGCTGCTCTAGCCCTTCAGCACTTGTTAGAATATTAATAAAATACCTACATTTATAAGCCTTTCTTAGTTAAACTGTGTCATTTCCAGATGTGGTTCCTGATTTTAAGATCTTCTCTAGAACAGATCCAGTTGTCAGGTCGAGGTTTAAATTTGGTACCAGAACAAGTCTCAAGTGACCTCCAGTCAAAATTTCAAAGTCAAACCGCAACTTGTTAGGTTTCCATCTGGAAACTGTGACTGCTGCTAAAAGAAGGCACATTTGTTCCTGGAATGGAACATCTGTTTTGGTAGTTTAATGACAGTTATAAAAACATGCTAAACTGTTTTATTTAAATGCTTTTGAAATAAAACCAAATAAAGGTATTAATGTTGAAGCAACAAAACCCAGTTAGCAGCAAAATAAAGGTTATTTTACTATTTATATGCTTTTTCTGGTCTTTCTGGATCCTGCATTAGCAGCAAAAGTCACCATAAATCTTTTTTAAAGTCTGAAAACAACCAAACTACTTTCTGAGACTTTTCGGACTGTAACATAATGTTTATGCACACCTCATATTAGCAAACGCTGCACTTCCAATAAGCAAGCGTTAGAAGCAACAGTCTATACCTGACATCCTCCCCGTCTTCCAGCATCGATAGACAAATGGTGCACTTTTCATCCGTGTCGAGCTCCTCGTCATCCAGACACATCTTCAGGTCCTGTGGTATTCTCTGCAGATCACCACAACGAGCAAACACACTTTCATTTTATAGGATGCAGTATTGATGCCACAGGGGTTTCTGGCTCAGCTAAGACTGGATTAAAAAAGTCACCTAATCATCTTTCCTAGAAGGAAAATTTAAAAAATGCAGAAAATTTTCTGTCTATTTCCACAGTATTTAGGTCAAATTCAGCCTAGACGTTTTTTTTTTTAATTCACTTCACGTTCAATCTGCAGACAGCAGTATGAGTCATCGCTCCTCTTGGGTTGTGTGCACTGCAGCTTCCACTCGTTAGCTCTCTAACAGGAACTAGATTGACCTTTGAACTGCTGTAGGAGTCATGACCTTAATTCCACTCTCATCTTCACTCACTGACCCGGCAGCACTGCCCGTCTTTATGCCTTTTTTCTCTCCACATTTCCCTTCATCCCTTCCCAGTTCTTCACCAGTGCCGCCGGTCTTACCTTTTTGTACTTGTGGGGGAAAGTGAATCTCTCAATGATGGTTTGGACCGCTCCCCGACTCACACTGCCCAGTCTGTCCTCCAGCTGCAGAAGCTCCTTTGAGGAAACCAGGTCTTATTATTATTATTTTTTAACGTATTTTGGCACAAGGAAAACCAAAATAAACACATAATTAATGCATCAAGAGAAACAAAAAGAGAAAATAGCAGCTTCATGAAATTAAAAAAAGGTAAATTAAGGAATCGTTTGAAAGATCTGAATTCAGAATTTTAAAAACAAAAGAATGTGCCTGCAGAAAAGAGGGAATCGGAAGCTGTGCAGACCTCATAGCTCTCCCTGACGGCAGAGGCGTGGCGGGAAGGGTTGAGACTCTGCAGAGCCAGCAAGTGCAGCTGGGGATAAGGGTAGTTTCTGATCTCATGGACAACCTGGAAGAAGACACATAAAAGAGATTTCCATCAGCTCCACGGTGGAAATCAGGTGAATGCCCAGGGCACAGGTCTTCCTGGATCTTAAGTATTCCCAAAAGGGGGACTTCACTGAGGCAAACACAGCAGACTGTGTGTTTGGGGGGCTCACCACTTGCGTTGAGGCATTGTTTCTAGGGAAGTGGTGCATCCTCGGGGAGGTCAAGTAGTGCTGATAGTGCTGTGGCAGCGGGTGGATGTGATACTGGTGAGTGGGCATTCCAGCATCAACGCTCAGATCCCTGCAGGGAAACCGAAACTCAAAATCAGGAGGAATTCTGCGTGGTTCTGAAACACTGAGTTCTAATCATAGTGCTGCTTGTGTAGAAACTTGATGTTTGGAAAGACTATAAAAAAGGAACAAAAGTTTTAAGTTTCTGATATTAGGTTATCAAAACGCAGGGATGTGGGAAAAGGTTGAAATATTGCTTGGAATAATAAAAAGTTATAAATCAAGTTGAGCGAGTCATTTAAAGTGATACTATGCAGTTTTGACACCCCCCGAGTGTTTGTTTAGTTAAACAAAAAGTGAAACTTATCTGCTCACTGTACGTTCCTGAGGGATCAGACAAAGTGCAGCCCATAGACCCCTTATAATGAATAATTCAAATGGTAACAGTGTGCCCTCACTTGGACGCGGGTCACTGGGGCCCCCATCTGGAACCAGGCCTGGAGGTGGGGCACATTGGCAAGTGCCTGGTGGTCGGGCTTTCAAATATGGAGCCCGGCACAGCCAGAAGAGGAAATGTGGGTCCCCATTCCCGTGGGCTCGCCGCTTGTGGAAGGGGCCAAAGGGTTCGGGTGCAATGTGTGATGGGTGGTAGCTGAAGCCGGGGACCTTGGTGGTGTGATCCTCGGCTACAGAAGCTGGCTCTCAGTACGTGGAATGTCACCTCTCTGGTGGGGAAGGAGCCTGAGTTGGTGTGCGAGGTTGAGAGGTTCTGACTAGATATAGTCGGACTCACCTCGACACATGGCTCTGGCTCCGAAAACTGTTTCCTTGAGAGGAGTTGGACACTCTACCACTCTGGAGTTTTCCCCACTGAGAGGCACCAAGCAGGGGTGGGCATACTAGTTGCCCCCCATCTTGGGGCCTGTACGTTGGGGTTTACCCTTGTGAATGGGACAGTAGCCTCCCTCCGCCTACATGTGGAGAGATGGGTTGTTGTTTGTGCTTATGCACCAAACTACAGTCCAGACTATCTACCCTTTTTGGAGTCCAAGGAGGGGGTGCTGAAAAGCGCTCCTTCTGGTGACTCCCTTGTTCTGCTGGAGGACTTTAGTGCTCACGTGGGCAATGACAGAGAGACATAGAGAGGTGTGGTGGGGAGGAATGGCACATTTCTGTGCTCGTCATAGATTGTCCATAATGAACACCATGTTCAGACATAAAGGTGTCCACATGTGCTCTTGGCACCAGGATGACCTGGAGGGGTGTGATTGGGAGGAACGGCCCGCCTGATCTGAACTCGAGTTGTGCTTCGTTATTGGACTTCTGTGCAAGCCGCAGTTTGGCCATAACGAACACCATGTTTGAACACAAGGATGCCCATCGGTACACTTGGTACCAGGGCAGCCTAGGTCGCAGGTCGATGATAGACTTTGTAGTCATATCATCTGACCTGCGGCCATATGTTTTGTACACCCGAGTGAAGAGAGGAGCGGAGCTGTCAACTGATCACCACCTGGTGGTGAGTTGGATCAGATGGCAGGGGAAGATGCCGCGTAGACCTGGCAGACCCAAACGCATAGTGAGGGTCTGCTGGGAACACCTGGCAGAAGAACCTGTCAAGACGGTCTTCAACTCCCACCTCCGGCAGAGCTTTGACCGCGTCCTGAGAGCAGTGGGGGACATTGACTCCGAGTGGGCCTTGTTCCACTCTGCAATTGTTGAGGCGGCTGTGGTCGCAAGGTGGCCGGTGCCAGTCGTGGTGGCAAGCCCTGTACCCGCTGGTGGACACCAGAGGTTCGGGGAGCCGTCAGGCTGAAGAAGGGGGCCTACAGGGCGTGGCTGGTCTGTGGGTCTCCGGAGGCAGCAGACAGGTACCGGATAACCAAGCGGGATGCAGCAGTGGCAGTTGCCGAGGCAAAATCTCGGGCGTGGGAGGAGTCTGGTGAGGCCATGGAGAAAGACTATCGATCAGCTCCAAAGAGGTTCTGGCAAACTGTCCGGCGCCTCAGGAGACGAAGGCAGCAACTCGCTCACACTGTTTACAGTGGGGATGGGGAGCTGCTGACGTCAACTGAGGCTATAGTCGGACGGTGGAAGGAATACTTTGAGGAGCTCCTCAATCCCACCTATGCGCATTCCGAGGAGGAACCAGAGCCGGGAGGCCTGAGGATGGACTGTCCAATCTCGGGGGCAGAAGTTGCTGAGGTAGTCAAACAACTACACCGTGGCGGAGCCCCGGGGGTGGATGAGATTCATCCTGGGTATCTCAAGGCTATGGATGTTGTAGGGCTGTCATGCTTGACACGTCTCTGCAACATTGCGTGGTCATCGGGGGCAGTTCCTGTGGAGTGGCAGACCGGGGTGGTGGTCCCCATCTTTAAGAAGGGTGACCTGAGGGTGTGTTCCAACTATAGGGGGATCACACTCCTCAGCCTCCCTGGAAAGGTCTACTCCAAGGTACTGGAGAGGAGGGTCTGATCGATAGTTGAATCTCAGATTGAGGAGGAGCAATGTGGTTTTCGTCCTGACTTTGGAACTGTGGACCAGCTCTATACCCTTGCGAGGGTGATGGAGGGGGCATGGGAGTTTGCCCAACCAATCCACATGTGTTTTGTGGATTTGGAGAAGGCTTATGACCGTATCCCCAGGGGCACCCTGTGGGGGACGCTCCAGGAGTATGGGGTGGGTGACTTCTGTTAAGGGCCATTCAGTCTTTTTACCAGAGGAGCGTGAGTTTGGTCCGCATAGCCGGTAGTAAGTCGGACCTGTTCCCGGTGAGGGTTGGACTCCGCCAGGGCTGCCCTTTGTCACCGGTTCTGTTCATTACCTTTATGGACAGAATTTCTAGGCGCAGCCGTGGTGTGGAGTGTGTCGAGTTTGGTGGCAGGAGAATCTCGTCTCTGCTTTTTGCGGATGATGTGGTCCTCCTACCTCCATCCAGCTCTGACCTTCAGCTCTTGCTGGGCAGGTTCGTGGCCGAGTGTGAAGCGGCTGGGATGAGGATCAGCACCTCAAAATCTTAGACTGTGGTTCTCGACCGGAAAAGGGTGGCTTGCCAACTCTGGGTCGGGGGAGAGGTCCTACCTCAAGTGGAGGAGTTTAAGTATCTCGGGGTCTTGTTCACAAGTGAGGGTAGGAGGGATCAGGAGATCGACAGGCGGATTGGTTCGGCGTCTGCAGTGATGCGGACGCTGAGCCGATCTGTCGTGGTGAAGAGGGAGCTGAGCCAGAAAGCCAGGCTCTCGATTTACCGGTCGATCTACGTCCCAATCCTCACCTATGGTCATGAGCTTTGGGTAATGACCGAAAGAACGAGATCGCGGATACAAGCGGCCGAAATGAGTTTCCTCCGTAGGGTGGCCGGGCTCAGCCTTAGAGATAGGGTGAGGAGCTCGGACATTCGGGAGGGACTCGGAGTAGAACCGCTGCTCCTCCGGATCTAAATGAGTCAGTTGGGGTGGTTTGGGCATCTGGTCAGGATGCCTCCCGGACGCCTCCCTGGGGAGGTGTTTCGGGCATGTCCTGCCGGCAGGAGGCCCCCGGGTCGACTCAGGACACGTTGGAGAGGTTACATCTCCAATCTGGTCCGGGAACGCCTTGGGGTCCTGCTGGAGGAGCTGGTGGAGGTGGCCGGGGTGAGGATGGTCTGGAGCTCCCTAGTTGGGATGCTGCCCCCGCGACCCAGACCCGGATAAGCGGAGGAAGAGGAAGACGACGACGACGGCTCAAAAAAAAAGTTCAAAAATATGAAAAAGTTGCATAGTGTGGCTTTAAAATAACTCAGGTTATTGACTGCACACTGAAAAGAAAGAAATATGTGACATAGGATGAATTCCAGTTTGGGAAAACCACCTCTGGCAACCATTTAGGAACTGGATCCAACTTTGCAAAACATGTTTAGTCAGCAGTAATTTAAGACTTAAACAAATAACCACCAAAGTGTTAAATATGCAATTAATACATGTTTTTTAATGTTCTTGTCTTTCTTATAGGAATATTTTACAGCATGGTTCTACTAGGGCAAATTATGGTGTCATAAATTTAGAGAATTTCAATCAGGATAAAAAATTACCTTCTGTTTGAGCAGCAATTTGGCTTAAATATGTAAAATGATTCAATTTTCTGGTGGATTTTGATTGAAATTACTTTGTATCTCAGAAAAAGCTCAACAGAAAAACCTCCCACTGAATTTTAAATACAATATTTGATGAAACTTGCATGTTCTTAAATTAATTCTGGAACTGAAATAATGGGAAGTGTTATTAATAATGTTGTGGAAGCTCCATCCTCTTTTTGCAAAAGCCTGGATGGAAATACAGCTCAAAGTCACCAGAAACCGTGTGTGGCTTTGTCAACTTTGATCCAGGTTACAACTTTATGTTGTTGTCATAAATATCAAATACTAACTTTCCTATCTTAAAATTCAGATTATAATTGTTTCACACTTTTTCACTACATCAGCCATAAAGGAAACAAACCAAACAGCTTTTGTTTTTGTTCAAATGGTTCTAATAGAACCATTCTATATTCCAGACAGATCACTACCGAAATTTTTGCAGCTAGATGTGACTTAATCCTCCCCTCTGGAGCTTAAAACTGAACCTGTCTCCACCTGAAATGTAATCTGGACCAGAGGTGGAAAGTAACAAATTACATTTACTCACGTTACTGTAATTGAGTAGCTTTTATGCGTATTTATACTTTTTAAGTCGTTTTTTTAAATCTGTACTTTTACTTTTACTTGAGTATGTTTTTACAAAAGAAATGTAATTCGCTACATTTTAAATCATATCCGTTACTGAGTAAAAATAAATTGTAGGCTCAATAATGCACCTTCGCGCACCAGTTTTACGTCTTCAGAATTCTGCTCGGTTCGGTAGCCAAACTCGGTTCCGTGTTTGAAATGTGTTTCCCTACCACTCCACACGGAAGCGGCAAAATACTGTTTAGCGCTCATAACAAGCGGATTCTCAGCATTTTGCTCATAAAACAGTGTGAGTTAAAACATCCTGATATTGTTCAGGTGTAAACATTGTGCTCCATCCCTGTGTTTGAACTCAGAAGATGCTTCTTGATGCCACAGATATGTGATGATTTACAGTAGCTTGTTTCTTTATTTTACTCCGGAATAAGAGATTAAATTATTACAAAAGCAGTTCAGTGTAGTTAAAGAGCAAGTCACCCCTTACCAAAATCCCCACCTCATGTTTGAAAAATGCAACAAATGCTGTTGCTATGCAGACCGAAAGGGCGGAGCTGCTAACAAATACACACAAACACAGGCTCACAATGATATTGTGACATCATATGGTACCAGCTGATGTCATATGATACTTCTTAGCCATTAGCAATGGCAGATTTAAATTCAAATGCAGTGCAGAGTTTTTACCAGAAGAGGGCACAACACTGACCATTTTAGATAGAATATTTTAATTTTAACAAAGATGCACTAAAGTGCCAAATTATTGACTACGTGGGTCTACAGCACAATCAGACACTCATTTATTTAGTTTATCAGCCAAAAAAAGTTGATTTGGGGGTGACTTGCTCTTTACATTAGTCATTCAAATGATTCTAAAATGCTGCAGTGTGTGTGTGTGTGTGTGTGTGTGTGTGTGTGTGTGTGTGTGTGTGTGTGTGTGTGTGTGTGTGTGTGTGTGTGTGTGTGTGTGTTGTGATTTTGCACTACTTAGATGTAGCCATCCTTACGCTGAGAAAAATGTAACTAAGTAACTTTTACTTTGAGTACATTTTATTTATGATATTTTTTACTTGAGTAAAAATTTAGGCAAGTACTTTTACTTGTACTTGAGTAAAAAATTATCAAAGTATTGGTACTCGTACTTGAGTAGGACATTTTAGTACTCGTTCCACCCCTGATCTGGACCAGATTAAGTGTTTCATCATCTGGACCAGTTTGGGTGCAGCTCTGCTCACCAGTCTGTGCCTTCAGCAAGGTAACGGGGTTGCTGCACCACAGGTTGAGGAGGGACATGGAGAGGAGGGGCAAACTCGTAGCCAGGTCTCAGTCTGTGGGGCTGGTGAGGAACTCTCTCTGGGGTGCGTCTGCCAACACAAACAACCAGGTGTTAGAAAACATTCTGGGATTCTTGATGCAAGCTGCTGGATTCCTTATATAGGAAACTTTTTACTGATCGTCTTAATGAACTGAACTGTATTGGAATGTTTACATAGTGAAGTGCCTAGAGACGACTCTTGTCGTGATTTGGTGCTATATAAAAAAACTGAATTGAAATAAATGTAATTGAATTGGGAAGGGGGGTGCAGTATAAGAAAATCAATCAAATGCTGATGAATACATGAAGGTTTTAATTTAAAAGTTACTAGAGTTGGGGCACATTTGAGTTCATAAGGAAGCTGATGCTATGGTGCGGTATGGGGGCCAAAATTAAGACTACTGCCCAGCAGCAGGAGGAATAGCACCTTTACCGGTGTTGGTACAGGATCGGCTCGGGGTCCTTCGACTGCCGATGACGTCAAAGTAGTCGATTGGCTGAACATGAAGCTTACGGAAGTGACGTAATCACTTTGTGATTTTGATTGGTCAGAACAAATTTGCAGTTGTAGTCTTAGCGGTTGTAGTCCTGTAGTCCAAAAATCAACACTTTTTGGAGAAAATATGTTTGAATTTCTAACGGAAAAGTAAAATATAAGCTAAAGATAAACGGTGACCCTCAAAAGCTCTTGATGTTGATGAAATGGGGCAAAATAAAATATAAGAACTTTATTGAAAGACACCAAGCAATATTTAGAGTCAAAGAATGTATTTAGATAACAACTAAGGAAATATACAGACGAACTCCAAATTAGTACTAACAGATGTGGCTTCACATATAAGAACTGTTCTATTTCTTGTCAGTCCGATGTTGGTTTTATGCAGTTTCACATTCTTTACAAAACAAAGACAATATGGTGTTTTATTAACAAATTACAATTATAAAGAAAACATTTAGGTGTTAAACAAGAATTTATTAACAAAACTGCTGATGTCTTTCCAAAACGTACGTGTGAAAGCCGAGTAGATTTGCAATAATGTGACGTCATCGGCAGTCGAAGGACCCAGAGCCGATCCTGTACCGACACCGGCGTTACTACTAGATACGCTAGGGACTAGCAGGCCTCGGCTGGTCATTGACTGGTTCACACACTCCCTCTGCTGTCTATTAGCATGGATAGGCTAGCAATAGCTTGGACGGGCTGGTGTTAGCATTGGAGAGGCTAGCCATTAGCGTGCCTAGGCTGGCCACTAGCTGATTTCCTACCCCCTTGATGGACCATTAGCATGGATAGGCTGGCATTAGCATCGGAGAGGCTAGCCATTAGCATGTCTCGGACAGTCACTAGTCAGCTAGTGGCCAGCCTAGGCACACTAATGGCTAGCCTCTCCGATGCTAACGCCAGCCTATCCATACTAATGGTCCATCAAGGGGGTAGGAAATCCAGCTAGTGGTCAGCCTAGGCACGCTAATGGCTAGCCTCTCCAATGCTAACACCAGCCCATCCAGGCTAACGCTAGCCTATCCATGCTAATAGACAGCAGAGGGAGTGTGTGAACCAGTCAATGACCAGCCGAGGGCTGCTAGTCCCTAGCGTATCTAGTAGTAACGCCGCTAAAGGTGTCATTTCTCAGTAAGCAGCGCCAGCCTCTCAGTTACCGGCGCCAGCTTATCATTAATCAGGTCAGTAGTTTGCTTCAGAATTTTATAGCCTCCTGCTGCTGGACAGTAGTCTTAATTTTGGCCCCATACTGCGCCATAGATTCCATCGGTGTGCAGCATAGTAGCTAAAAGCAGCTTCACCCTGTTTGGTTCCGGCCCGAGGTTCTACCAGCTGACTACTTCCTAAGGATCTGAGAGCCCTGCTGGGGGTATACACAGGAAGGAGATCCAACATGTATTTTGGTCCCATGCCATTGAGTGATCTGTGAACCAGTAGAAGCACTTTGAAATTGATTCTGTAGTTTACTGGTAACCAGTGTAGATTTAAGAACAGGAGTGATGTGCTCCATTCTCTTTGCTCTTGTTAAGCCTCTAGCAGCAGCATTCTGAATAAGCTGCAGTTGTTTCACAGCTGTTTTGGGAAGACCATTGCAATAGTCCAGCCTACTGGAGATGAACGTATGAATGAGTTTTTCTAGGTCCTGACTGGAGTTTTGCTATTTGATGAAGATGATAAACGTGTGGATACCTGGAGGGCTGCAGGATGTGTCGGTGCTGGGCCTCGAGGATCTGCTGCTGGAGGAGGTATTGCTGGTGTAATGCCTGAGGTAGGAAGGGTGGGCCGGGGATGTCCTGGAACTGGGGAGCGGGCAACGGGTTCAGGGGCGCGTGAAGGGGAGGGCCGTGCTGGTGGCCGGGTGGGGCCAGGTGGGGGTTAATGCCTGCCTGTGGCTGCCCTGGGTGGGGCATAGGGAAGTCCATGGGCAGCTGGGCCTGAGGACCTAACTGGAAGTGCCGGCAAGAGGTAGCATGGCTGTGCTGCTGCTGCCGGTTAAAATGGGATCCTGTGGAGGATAAGCACAAGTCGTCAAGCATACCTGGGGGAAAAACTGAGCTGGAATTAATTTTTGGGTGAAGTGTCACTGTGTATGTGTGTGTGTGGCAAAGCATGTTAATGAAGCCCTGCCTCTTACCTAGGGTGAAAAATACTTCTGTGGGGGGTGGGGAAATGATGGTTACCACAAGTACCATTAACATGAAAACCCCTTCTTTTTGGGTCTGGCTCTCAAAAGCCCCAGTAGCTTTCCTTTCTTTAAATGTATTTCCGACATCTGGATCGACTTCTTTTCTTCCGATTCAGACAAGAGGAACAGATGAACTGGACCAGTGTATGAGTAAGGTCTTCAAGGCCGCTCAGATCTCCAAAAACCGGCACCCGACAGCAGGTCAGTGCACTCAGGAGGAAACATTACCACCTGCTTTACACTTTTCCTGTTCCGTTACCGTCTAAAATGCCCCTTTTTTCTAAGATGCAGTCTCTTGCTTGCACTTAATCCAGCAAACTGTCTCCATCTTAGACATCCAGTTTGCCTCTTCTATCCTTCTCCCAAAGGAGCCTTCAGGAGCCGAGGGGAAATGCTTGGGATGCTTTTTATAAACTCTAACCACAGACATTTGGCAGTTGACGCAAACAGACTGCTGTCGGGACCCAAAGTGAGAGAGAAAATGCTTGTGCAGTGAGGTTTTAACTCAACTCAAGCTAAAAGAATTCATTACATATATATATCTGACAAAATCGAATGAAAATTTTCTCTTGAATGAAGACATTTCGGCAATTTTTTAACTAACTTGCTGTGATTTAGTCTAAAATGTGCACTTTTTAAAATAATTTAAGTGATAAACAAAGTCTACATTGCATTTACTGGGACAATCAGAACAGATGAGCAGAGCGTCCGTTCCAAAAATATAGATTTCAAGCTTGGCAGTTTGAGAGTGCGCAGCCAGGCAGACGAGCGATGAACCTGCTGGTGTAGGTCAAAGCTCGAGTCTAGACTACGGCGTTTTAGAGAAAACGATCACCACGAATGACAGCAGATAGACTCATTCAGGCCCTGTGATGGAGGAAGCGTGGACATTGTCTATCTTTGTTGGAGCAGGAAAGGGGGGGGGGGGGGTTGGAGGAGTGGAGGGGGGAGGAGAGGGGGGCAGGAGGAAGGGAAGGGGGGGCACAATAAATGGAAATCAGCAAGAAGCACACTGAAGGTTAGGATAAACACTATGTTCTTTATTGAAAAATATTAGTATATGTGGAATTTGTGTTTCCTTTGTTGGTTTTTAATAATAGTATAAATCCATGCAACAAAACTAAACAACATAGACTGAAGGCAAGGCCCACCATGCTCCATATAGGGTTAAAAAAAGAACAAAAGCAGCATCCAATGAGCAGACGTGTTGGCTACAGCACATGATTTCAGTACAGCAAGGGTACATCTTTTCTACAGAAAGATTACATTGGATTTTCACTAGTCAATGTAGAAACAAAAACATAAAACAAAAAATAATTATGAATCATAAAAACGTGACCATGCACTGAAAGTACTATTACCAGAACCAAAAAGGTAAAGAGAGACCACAACCAAACAATAAAAGACGTTATTACTAATAAGAGGATCTCTTTTTAGCAGTGCAGGAAAAATAGGCATCCCTGTGAAATGGATAGCATTTTGCTCTTATGTTAGTGGAGGGGCAAACTGCGATGAACCACCAGTGAGCACTTTTCCTGCTTTGGCATTTTGAATATTTCTATTTCAGCCCACGAGGGTGAGACGCCCTGACGGTTCAGTGTGATTCAAAGCTTGGAAAATTTGCAAAGAGAAACAAAATAAAAGATTACACAAAAAAATGGAGACAGTTATGGCAGGTTGTTGTGCGCAGGTGCAGTGTACTTTAAAGTCATGACAGGAAAAAGGAGCGGCATGCATGCAATTCCAATCTGCACGTTAATTTCTTTTTTTTCCCCCTTTAATTTTAAGTCACTTTGATAAATGTACATTGCACCTTGTGTGGAGAGAAGGAGGATGAGCCGAATTCTGGTGTTCAACGATGCGAGTGCAGAACTTGAGATCATGCAAAATGTATCCACTTTACAGGAATTTACAGCTAGTCGTCTAACAAGACTGGATGGGAGGTACACAATGACATTCAACTGATATCTAGAGAGAAACTAAAAATGTCCACTCAGTGCTACAGCAATTTGACAGGAAAAAGACAAAAAGGTGCTCTTTTTTTTTTAAGTGTTAGCTATAGTTTTAGTCTGCTTCACATGAACAGTCTATAGCTGAATACATCTTGGGAAGGGGGTGCGTTTAATACCAATGTCGTCTTCTGATGGAAAGAGGAAATGAAGAAGGGATTCACAATACAGCTAAATGCAGAGAACAGGCAGAGGCCACGCCACACCACACAGCAGCAGATGATCATTAGCTACACAATGGGGGGGACGACAAAGATCTGATAAATGCAGAATGTAGAGCCAGCCTCCATACTATGAAAACAGGGAAATAAGAACAGAAATAAAAGCACAATGAAATCACTGATGCCACTGTTGTGAAATTAATCTTACACTGTAGCGTTACCGATGTTCAGTCTCTGTAGTGCAGCTTCGAACTGGATTAGCAAATTTAAAAAGGCGACAAATTGATCCGATATCCAGGCTAGCCCGAGCAATTAGTCTCGTATCGATTGGTACCGATTTACACTGATAACAATTAGAAGAAATCGCAATGAAAATCGGAAGCGGCAGCGGATGATCTTCAAATGACATCATCCAGGCACGGATAAAGCTGACTGGCGGAAGGGGGCTACGTCTATTTTGCGGTATTCCGACACTACAAATAAACGGCAGTTACGTGCACAACTGTGCGAAATGGTAAAATTAAACTATGAAGGGGGAAAGGGGGAAACACAAAACATTAGTTTAACACAACTGCACGTGCAGGGACGTGTTTGTGGCAGGAACTTCCGAGCCGCACTCTTCCAAGCATGTGGAAGCCTTTGTGAGGAATGTTTCCGTTCCAGGACTTAGCCGTGACCAAACTGCCAGTTAGCTTCTCCGTGACAAGGACGTTTCTTCCTTTTTTTTTAAATTGCTTCGCGCAAATTTAACGCGGGGCCTCACATCATTCGGTGACTTTTGATAATCTATAACGAACTAAAATCCACGTATTGTTAAGAATTGAGTCAATTCGCAACCGAACTGACCGGTAATTTGAAGCAAGCTAGCAACGAGCTAACCCGACGGAGCAACAGCTGCAGTGAATATTAAGATAAACAGGGCACATGTTTTGGATCGATGTGAGTATTAATTAGTACCGTACCTCTGTTTCTTACTGAGCCGAACACGGGAAGAACCAGATATCCTACATGCACTAACACCATCCTGGGATCCGTATCCTATGATTAAGCCGGGTATTTCAGAGAGATGGAGCTGTAGCAGCCCATGCGGATCTACATTCAGGCGGCTGTTTGTTGCTGGCTGGCTAATAACGACTGTCTGCCTCGGCTGGTTGTTGCTGACAAAAGCAGACATGTCATGTGTTGTCCGGGGCAACAGGGGGCGATGTTGCGGTGCTCCACAACCGCAAGTCTCTCAAGGTTAACCTGTCCCAGTCTGTCAATTCTGATTCATTAAAAGGGTTCGACCGTTTGAATCGGACCCTTGTTTATAACCTTTTTGATTTTTATTCCCTATAAAGGACATAAATAACACAAACTGATCAAATGACAGATAATCAAATATTGAGATGGATTGTTTAAACTTCAGATTGACTCCCATGAATCGAAATCATGGTCCTGCCATCAGGGCTTCTGCATCAACACACTTGGTTTGAATGAGCGGTTAATAAACACATCTCTGAATCACGTGGGGACCTGCTGAAGGGGTGAATTATGTCATTTAATCAGGTGTGTTGGAGCAGGAAAACAGCTAAAACATGTAGGACAATGACCCTGCTCTAAATCCTACATTTCCCATGATGTTTGATAGAATTATCCCACACGGACTGAAAATAATTTTTATTATTCTCTGCTAGGAAATGTCTATCTCATATTTATTACTGAGCACTTATGTCAGATTTCTCCCTGTGTATTTTGCATTTTCGTGCGTTGTTGCAATTACATGATGATGATGATCTTGTCTGCTGAGAGACAAGTAGAGGAAATACAATTATTCCTGGTTAAAAAATATATATAACATGGACCTTTGGCCATGACAACAGTTTCGTTTAGAATGCAGTTAATTCCGGTGAAGAGACTTTTTCACACGTCATTACATAGTTAGATTTAAAACTTGAAAAACATTTTTCAACTGTGTTACCAAGAGTGTTTTTTTAATTAATTTAAAAAAACATTTAATAAATGAACACAAAATTTGATAAAAATCGCAACATATAAACAACAAAGTGTTCTAGTTGTTTTAAATTATTTATTATGAAAACTTTAAATTCAATAATTTACAAGACTGCAAAGTATTTAAAGCCATTTTATTATATTGTGATTTATTTATTTATTTTTTAATTATATCTTTTCGCACTGATCCTGGAAAACCATGTGGAAAACAGTGGTTTTGGGTAAATGTGCAATCTCCTGTCCAGTAGGGGGCGCAGCTAAGCACTGAAGCAGGACATTTCACAAATGTGGAACAAATAGAAGAAGACTTCATTCAGCCATTACAGGCAGGTCGGAGCCGCTCAGTGGAGGACAGGTCATTAGCAACCCGACAAAATGTTATCTGTGAGAGTTGCAGCAGCTTTGGCCCGAAGCCTGCCCAGAAGAGCTGGATTTGTAAGTATTTTACCTGAACATGTTGCAGCTAACGAGGCTGTAGCGTAAAATATTTAGTACTATTTTAAACCGTTTTCTGTTAGCTAACGCTACACGGGCCCTAACGGACTAATAGTGTTGTCTCAACTCATCTCTAAACGTAAGCTTTCTGCAGTAATTCAACTTCATAGCCTTTAATTTTACTAGCTAAGACATAATTATCCGAGCTGTCCTCGCGAAGACATAATCTTTGTCCGGCAGGTGCTAACAGTTAGCATTACAGCTAACGCTGAGCTCATTGAGCCACGCTGAAGGTCAGGAAGTCCGACAGCGCATGTTCTTTGAGCTTAAAAAATGAGTTCAGTATTTCCAACTCCGCGTTTTCGGTTGTTCCTGTAATATTTGTTCAACTCACATGTTTGCAGTCAACGAATTATTAAATCTGCCTGTTCTTGGTTCCAGGTGTCCAAGACTGTCCCAGCTGCTTGTGTTGGGGTCAACCACCTCCACACACACAGACCATGTCTGCAGAAGACAGGTGAGACAAAAACACGAGGCTAACTTTGTCCTCCAGGCGCAGCGTTCTTGTTAAAGTAGGATTTAATTGTAATTCTTATATTTCACACAATGCATTTGTCAGGATTAGTCTTTCTAAAACTAATTTTGCACTTGCATAACAGTGGTGCTTCCATTTAATTTCAGCTAAGATAAAATGTAATTTACCATTTCAGATTTTACAAACCAAAACATATCTGGGAATTTAAATGGCAACTTGGTTCTCAATAGTTTAAAATGGGTTTTCTTTTTAATGCATTTAAATTAAGAGCTTTGCATGTGTGCTTTTTCACAGGCACAGCAGAGGTGTCCTCAATTCTGGAGGAGAAGATCCTGGGTGCTGACACCTCTGCTGACCTGGAGGAGACAGGACGTGTGCTGTCCATCGGTGACGGTATTGCCAGGGTGTACGGTTTGAGGAATGTCCAGGCTGAAGAGATGGTGGAATTCTCCTCTGGTCTCAAAGTATGCATAAAAAGTTTAGACGTTGTGTTAGTTACATTCAGGTTATAACTGTTTTTTTATTACCCGTCTTTATTTACACATTTCTAAGATCACTGACCAAAAACTTGTTTTTGTCCTCCAGGGTATGTCTCTGAACTTGGAGCCTGACAACGTTGGTGTGGTGGTGTTCGGTAACGACAAGCTGATCAAAGAGGGTGACATAGTGAAGAGGACTGGGGCCATTGTGGATGTTCCTGTGGGCGAGGAGCTGCTCGGTCGCGTGGTGGACGCTCTGGGAAATGCCATTGATGGAAAGGTTATTTGAAGTTTTGCTTCTTTAAAGCAAAATGATCCAAGTTTGATTTTACTTTGCTTCTGGCAGTTTGACTAAATGAGTCCTTGTAGGTGTTGGTGAATTATTTGAGTTTGTATTATAAAGAACACATCAAATTTATGGTTATTTTAAAGAAAGTACTGTTTTAAAAGTGAAGCAACTCTTACTGTAGCTTAAATGTTTTGTTTGTTTTCTAGGGTCCTCTGGGTTCTAAGGTCCGTAGGCGCGTGGGTCTGAAGGCCCCTGGTATCATCCCACGTATTTCTGTGAGGGAGCCCATGCAGACTGGAATCAAGGCTGTGGACAGCCTGGTGCCCATTGGCCGAGGCCAGCGTGAGCTGATCATTGGTGACAGGCAGACTGGGTAACTATAAGTGGAGATGTTTGTTTTTAGCATTTGAGACCAGCTTTAAGGTCAAACTCTGCTTAATCTGTATTTCAGTAAAACTGCCATTGCCATCGACACGATCATCAACCAGAAACGCTTCAATGATGGCACTGACGAGAAGAAGAAGCTGTACTGCATCTACGTTGCTATTGGACAGAAAAGATCCACTGTGGCTCAGTTGGTGAAGAGGCTTACTGACGCTGATGCCATGAAGTACACCATCGTGGTGTCTGCCACCGCCTCCGACGCTGCTCCTCTGCAGTACCTGGCACCCTACTCTGGCTGCTCTATGGGAGAGTATTTCAGAGACAACGGCAAGCACGCCCTGATCATCTACGACGATCTGTCCAAGCAGGTTTAGGCTCTACGCTAACTTTGAAGCACTGTTTTAATTTTCTGGGGTTCTGTACATGGATTTATTATTCTGACTCTTCTTTCAGGCTGTCGCCTACCGTCAGATGTCCCTGCTGCTGCGTCGTCCTCCTGGTCGTGAGGCCTACCCGGGTGACGTGTTCTACCTGCACTCCCGCCTGCTGGAGAGAGCTGCCAAGATGAACGACAACTTTGGAGGTGGTTCTCTCACTGCCCTGCCTGTCATCGAGACTCAGGCTGGAGACGTGTCTGCCTACATCCCCACAAACGTCATCTCCATCACAGATGGGCAGGTCTGTTTTGCATTGCCTTCGTTTTTCATAAAATTCTCCATGTTGTTGTATTTCATTGGGTGTCTCATATCCTGTTGGTTGCAGATCTTTTTGGAGACTGAGCTGTTCTACAAGGGTATCCGCCCAGCCATTAATGTGGGTCTGTCTGTGTCCAGAGTGGGTTCTGCTGCTCAGACCAGAGCCATGAAGCAGGTAACATCGGAATATCCTAATACGCTCACCTAAAACTGGTAAGTTCAGAAGGATTTACATGAACCTTTTCCTCTTGAGGTGGCTGGTACCATGAAGCTGGAGTTGGCTCAGTACCGTGAGGTGGCAGCCTTCGCTCAGTTTGGTTCTGACCTGGACGCCGCCACCCAGCAGCTCCTTAACAGAGGCGTCAGGCTCACTGAGCTGCTGAAGCAGGGACAGTACTGTGAGTATCACTGCCATGTGTAACTTTTCATTAAAATGGTATTCCTACCTTGTTCTGAAGTGAGTTTGCGTCTATTTTAGCTCCCATGGCCATTGAGGAGCAGGTAGCAGTCATCTACGCTGGGGTCAGAGGTCACCTGGACAAGATGGAGCCCAGCAAAATCACAAAGTTTGAAAAGGCTTTCCTGCAACACATCCTCAGTCAGCATCAGGACCTGCTCACCGCAATCAAGTGAGCCACATCTCCTCGACTTGTTTTTTTGTATATATATTTGGGTTTAAAAGGAATTAACTTATTCCTGTTCTGTTTCAGGGCTGATGGCAAGATCTCAGAAGCGTCAGATGCTAAATTGAAGCAGATTGTTTTGAACTTCCTGTCCAGTTTTGAGTAATGAATTGCACTTCTCTCAATCTTCAGTGTCCTCCTAAAGCTTAACTATATGTGTGAACATCCCAAAGGCCAAAACCTCCATGTACAGACTTCTCCAAATAAAAAACGTACAACCCTGCTGTTCCATTCTGCTCTTTTGATTGTGTTGGATTGATGGAGCACATGAGTTTTAACCCCTTCGATGGCTCATTTTCATTTAAAACATCACGTTTCAGAATTTTAGCGATCAGGGTTCCTGAATAGTTTTTCAAAGGACCATTGAAAACAAACTTGCTCTTCACTGGTTTATTGTGTAAGGCGAGCTGTAACTCCTGCTGATCAACTGGATGAAATGATTGGAGTAAAATGTTTGATAAAGTAATAAATCTGTGACGCTGTCACAAATTACATCCTCTAGTCCTGTCTTATGTTTGGAGGTTAGATCAGGAATATGTCCTCGTTAATATGGTTCTTATGAGACATGTCTGGTAGATTCGGCACATGTTCAATTAAATGTTTTACTGGCTTGCCCTACATATTTTCATCTGAGAAAATTGCAAGATTTCCAGATTGGCGATTAAAAATGTATTTTTCTCCCCAAACTTCATACTTTCTAAAATAGAGCACTCTGCTTGACAAAAAAAATCTACAAGTTAAATTTAGTCATGAAAAAGCTAATTGCTAATATCTGATCATTTTCATATTCTTGCACATTTTATATTTTTGTCCAGCAGATGGTGATAGATGTTTAAAGTAGGTTTGATGACATCAGACTCAGCATGAAAATTGTAGAAATTTAGTTGAAAGGGATACTTTGCAACTTTTTCATATTTTCAAATCAGTTTCTTGAGCCAGTATGTGCCAAAATAACTCTTTACACAGTTAATGGAAGTCCACCAGGACCCTGTGGCCAGATTATTTCACTTCCAACTTCAGACTGGCTGAAACTTGAAATAAAACCAAATTAAAACCTCTTCACTCTTTGCCAGTGATGAAAGGGAGTCTGATGTGTCATTTAGCTGGAGGTTGCATTCCCTGGGATTTTTTACCCTAATGGTCATCCGTTGGTAAGATCTTACTCGAACACAAAAATACTGCTTGCTTGTAATGATTTACGTATGTATTGCCCCCATCGCCAATTTAATGTAATGCATGTTAACGTGGCATACTGTGTTTTGGTAACTTAAAGAGCAAGTCACCCCCAAATCAGTGTTGTGCTGTCTTCAGGTAAAAGCTCTGCCTTTGCAATTGGCTAAGAGGTACCCTATGATGTTAGCTAGTACATTATGACGTCACAATATGGAGCCTAACGCTTGGTTTATGCTTGACGCATTCACTTTCCGCTTGGTGATGCGGCTCGCGGATGGAACGCGCTTCACAACTTGCAGCGTTTACGGTTCATGCGGCTTGTCTCTGCGGTGAGCCAATATTTCCCAAACTGTAGGGGGCAGCATGGAGCTCTACGGCATTTTTTAACAGCGTCCTCGTCTTTTCCGACAGTGCGAGCTATTTCTCTCCAAGAATTATTAACAACATGTTGATCACGGTGATCTCTGAGAGCTGAATCATACAAATATCTGTGTTTACGAACCTCTGCCATACTAGTTCTTGCCAGTCCGCCATGTTTTTCCGCGTCCGACCGTCCGCGTGGTTAGAAAATTTCCTAGGTGCGCGGTGCGGAAATTTTGGGCCGTGCAGAGACACGGTGGAGGGGCGTGGTTGTTAAAATGACGCAATTTAGCCGCGCGGAGCCGTGCGAACCTCGTGGACGTGTCAAGCATAAACCAACCTTAAGAGGTACCCTATGATGTTAGTTAGTACATTATGATGTCACAGTATGGAGCCTAAGTCACCCCCCTTTCCGGTCGGCTCATAGGTCCCCGGAAGAACGAAAAAATGTCAACGGGGCTAAAAACGCCATTTTCTAACTTGCTTTCCTTACGCCCTGGATCGCTCGTGTGTTGTACTGCAGTTTAAATGAAAAGTATTGATGGGTGTTTCGACCATGGCAGTCATGTACTTTGAGATTTATAAGCTAGTAAAAGTTCGTAATTAGTAAGTAAATTTTATGTATAAAGCACTTGTCACAGACATAGAATCACAACGAGCTTCACATAGATCAAAATAAAATAAAACAAAGTCATAAAATCATAATGATCTCAAGACAGAATTAGATTAACATCAGAAAAAAATAAAGTCATAAAATTATAACATTTCATAGACGGATGAAAGATTAAAATTTTGAGTTAAAGACAAGAAAATAAAAGGTTTAGGTAAAAGCAGCTTTAAATAAAAGGGTCTTTAGCTGTTTTTAAAGGTGTCCAGACTTGCTATGTAAGGATAAAGGAAGATCATTCCAGAGTCGGGGTGCAACAGTCTGGAAGGAGCGATCACCTCGACTTTTATATCTGATCTTTGGAACGTCTAGAAGGTTCTGGTGGGGTTGGAGCATAAGGCTTTAACAGTTCTGTAATATAGGGAAGAGCTTCACCATGTAGAGCATTGAAAGTTATAGTCAGGATTCTAAAGTTAACGGGTAACCAGTGCAGAGACATCAGAATAGGAGTGATGTGTGCTCTTCTGTTTGCTCCAGTTAGGAGCCTCGCTGCAGAGTTCTGGACAAACAAATATTGTTCTTTAGGGTTAGGGTTATGGAGTTATGGAGTGTAACCTTTATCCGAGTTTGTTCTTGCAAAGCTGCACCATCAATTTGCAACAAATTCACAGGAGAAAAAGAAGCAAATGTGCCTTTAAAGTAATTTTAAATGCATGAAGCAGCTGCAAAAAGAAAAGCAAATAAAATACGTTTTAGGTTATTTATCCAGTACTTACAGCAAGGAACAACATACAATACATGGAAAAGGATGAGTGACCAGAGAAGAAGGACAATCTGTGGAAAAATACACAAATCAGCTTTATTAGTCATTTTTTCATCACAAGCAGTCTGAAATGATGGATTTTTATTCAAGATCTACCAAACATTTTATTAGATTTTTATTCTCTGCTAGGAAGTGTCTATCTCATATTTATGGCTGAGCACTTATGTCAGATTTCTCCCTGTGTATTTTGCATTTTCGTGTGTGTTGTTGCAATCACATGATGATGATGATCTTGTCTGCTGAGAGACAAATAGGGGAAATACAATTATTCCTGGTTAAAAATATATATATATAACATGGACCTTTGGCCATGACAACAGTTTCGTTTAGAATGCAGTTAATTCCGGTGAAGAGACTTTTTCACACGTCATTAACATAGTTAGATTTAAAACTTGAAAAACATTTTTCAGCTGTGTTACCAAGAGTGTTTTTTTTAATTAATTTAAAAAAACATTTAATAAATGAACACAAAATTCGATAAAAATAACAACATATAAACAACAAAGTGTTCTATTGTTTTAAATTATTTCTTATGAAAACTTTAAATTCAATAATTTACAAGACTGCAAAGTATTTAAAGCCATTTTATTATATTGTGATTTATTTATTTTTTTTTTTTTTTCATTATATCTTTTCGCACTGATCCTGGAAAACTGGTTTTGGGTAAATGTGCAATTTCCTGTCCAGTAGGGGGCGCAGCTAAGCACTGAAGCAGCAAATTTCACACTAAATGTGGAACAAATAGAAGAAGACTTCATTCAGCCATTACAGGCAGGTCGCAGCCGCTCAGTGGAGGACAGGTCATTAGCAACCCGACAAACTGAAGGCGGTCAAGGGCTTTTTTGTTAAAACGTGTGAAAAGTGTGTTACAGTAATCTAGACGGGAGGAGATAAAGGCATGGAGAACCATTTCAAGTTCATGTTTTGAAACCAACCTTCGCAGTTTGGAGATATTTCTTAAGTGGTAAAAACTGTTTCGGACCAACGTTTTTGAGTGGCCTTCAAGAGACATTGATTGGTCAAAAATAACACCCAAATTCCTTAAGTTTATCTTGACGGCAGAGGATAAATGACCAAGTTTTAGACTAGTCAGGGGAACCATGCTCTCAGGGGCAATGATCAGACATTCAGTCTTTTCAGAGTTTAACTGAAGGAAGTTTTCTAGCCAGCTGGTGATCACTGATAGACACTCTAGTAATTCAGACAGTTTGTAGATCTCAGAATCCTTAAAGGAGCAGTACAGCTGAATGTCATCTGCATAGAGGTGATAAGAGACATTATGAAATGAATCACTTATCTGTCCAAGAGTACGTCCATATGTACAGTAGAAACAACAGCGGACCCAAAACAGAGCCTTGGGGTACCCCACAGAACAGATCGGTAGAGTCTGACAGGACTTGGTTCATACAGACATTGTAACTTCTGTTAGAACGATTTAAACCAGTCTAGCACAGTTCCAGAGATCCCCACCGAGTCACCAAGTCTGTTAAGGTGTTGTGATCAACAGTGTGAAAAGCTGCAGAGAGATCTAACAGTACTAACACTGTGAACTCCCCGTTGTCTGCAGCCATGATGTCACTGGAAACTTTCAGCAAAGCCGTTTCTGTTGAATGCTTTTTACGAAAACCGGATGGGAATTTATCTAAACTGTTGTGTAGTTCCAGAAAAGTAATCAGTTGATCTGCCACAACCTTTTCCAATATTTTTAGAGATAAAGGGTAATTTAGAAATGGGTGTGTAATTTTTAGGCTGAGATGAGTCCAAACTTGGTTTTTTAAGGATAGGTTCAATAACTGCAAGTTTGAAAACAGATGGTACAGAGCCATGTTGTAGGGATAAATTAATAAAATCTACAATGCATGGGCCAATTTGGTCAAACATCCTGATTAACAAGATAGTGGGAATGAAATCAGCAGGGTTGGTGTCATGTGTTTCTTTCCTCCTGTGGGAAGTTTGCTGAACTTACTGCCCTTTCTCCTCAGTTTTCTTTGCGTGTGGTTCGATGACGTCACTCTCGTGAAGCGCATTTGTAGTCCTGGACTTATTTTCACACAAAACCTAAAATAGCATTTCCCCCCCGTTCGAAAATAAGCACGTTCTTGGTATCAAAATGCTTCTTTTAAATTCACAGACATCATAAGTGAAATCCATGGTACAAAACAAGCACAATTAGAACATGGAGTTTTTATCCCCATTGACTTGCATTCATTTTTTCGTTCTTTTGGGGACCCGTGGTGCGGAAGTAGATGGGCGTAACTTAAGCTCACTATGCTGTTTTGTGTGTGTGTGTGTGTGTGTGTGTGTGTGTGTGTGTGTGTGTGTGTGTGTGTGTGTGTGTGTGTGTGTGTGTGTGTAGCTCTGCCCTCTCGGTCTGCCAGGCAACAGCATTTGCTGCATTTGTCAAACAGGAAGTGGGAGTCTGGTAGGGGGTGACTTGCTCTCTAACTTTTTTAACGAAACTTCGCATTTGTTAACATTTCAATTATGCTACTATTCAACCTCAACTTTAAACTGAACTTTCCAAATTTGTACATTTAAATTCTAAACGTACAATGCTGTACATTTTCAGCCAACACCTGCCTTTACTCTGTTTTCTGACTCCTTTAAAGTTAAACTGTTCAAAAAAATTTTCCATTTTCTCGGTGTTGGAGAAAAAGCAGCTGAACTTTATTTCAAAATCAAAACGAAAGTATTTTCCTCAATACCTCAGTGTTCATTTTGCTTTTATCCCAGCAGCTAAACAAATGACAGCCATTGGTTTTCAAACCAATGCATCACCTCATAAATGAAATGGCTAAATAAGGTCATTCTTCAGCCATTCTGCTGCTGACTGGGCTGTGGCTCTCATGTTTCTCTCCAGCAGCAGCAGCAGCAGCATCATCGTCTGGCGGGATAAAGTCAGACATGTGACAGAGAGAATGGAGCAGCATCACTATTGTTGATGACAATAAGAGCTCTGTGCAGCCACAGACACAACAATAATCAGCCAGAAGGTCGTGAGCTTCTTTTAAACAGCAAATCTGCATAAAAACATGAACTATTTAATAAGTTTGCTTCGGTAGCCCCTTCCCTATAGTCACATCTGACTCCTAATCTTTTCTTCTTCTACTTTTATCAAATTTAATCAGTCAGGCCAAAGTTTTAGAAGAATTTCAAACATTGGTGCATCAAAATAACATCACATGCCAAAAACAAACGTTACCTGGTGGGCATTGTTTGCTGATAAAAGATGAAATAAAGGAATCCCTTTCACAGCAACATTCTTGATCCTTTTGACTTTTTAACCTTTATTCGAGCTGCTCAAACAATGAAAGACAAACTCGCTGAATCCCCACTGAGACCAGCTGCTCGCCTCATTAACTTACCTTTCAGCTCTTTTATTTTCTGTGAAAAATAAAATCAAGTCTCCACTTCTCAGTTTTCTACCATCTGCTTTGTATTTTCACACAAACAAAATAAACCAGTTATTTAAAATTTTAAAACAACAAAACAAAAAAGGGGCATTTGTTTTTCTTTTTTTCCGATTTTAGTTTTTTTGACAATAAAAGCACATTTCAAATTACAAAATAATTGCAAAAGTCATTTGAGTTTACATTAACCCTCCCACTGTCCTATCGGGTGACCTCTCCAGGAAAGGTGACCGTTGAGCAGGGTTGGTGGTTTATTATTGTTTTGAGTTCAATCTCCATTGTTTAAGACTATCCTGGTTTTCTTTTGATCAATTCAATTCAAAAATACTTTATTAATCCCAGAGGGAAATTGTCACAGGTTTTCTACAAGCCTGCTTTCAGTGCTCATTATATTCTTGGTTTTATGAATTACATTCATCCAAGAAGGCGATGTGAGACTAGTGTGTGCTAGCACAGTTTTCTGTAGGGCACTTTGTGAGTCTAATCAGTTCCACAGCTACACCAGGTAGCACCGTTGGCTCCATGCAGGCGAAGCGGGTTCAGAAGCTATTGTCAGAGATCTGCTGTTTGTTTTATGTGACTAAGACCCACGGCGACAATCTTCTGGGAAAGAGCGCGGTCCGAAAAGCTGCGATTTCAGTCCGTGCTGCCGTAGTGGTTACCAGCGGGAGGGCTTTCCTGTAAACTGTGTGAAGCCTCTTCGGCCTGTGAGACAACTGGTTCCAGCGGCTGTGCAAAGAAATTTGAGACGCAGGACACCTGCAGAAAAGTAGAAGCATAAACTGTAGAATTCTGCATTAACTGGTAAGATTCATAAAATAAATCTGAGCTCATACTGAAATAATTTCAGCAACTTTTTAGACTGCAATCAGGAAATATCACGAAACTTAATAGGACTAAACAGCTCTATCATTAAGAAAAAATCGTGGACCCATCCATCCTTCCATTTTCATCCGCTTTTCTGGAGTCGGGTCGCGGGAGCAGTGGCCTAAAGCCGGGCGTACACTGTGCGACTTTTTCACTTTTTTGAGCCGATTTTCCAGTCGTGCGAGAAGCCACGACATCGGGGCGAGTTTTGCGCCGAGCGGTCGTGTAGTGTACAGGGGGTTACGAGAGGCGATTAACACCACGTGACCAGCTGCCGATCAGCAGTCGTGAGGTCGCAGGGACTTCTGGCGTGTTTAATATTTCGCTCGTCCCTCGTGAGGGTATCGCACTGTTGAAGCGGCGCTGCGAGCAGCTGCGAGCAGCTACGATCCAAAAAGTATCAGAACCGCTCACGGCGCGTGCGCAATCCTGCATCAACGCCGGCCGGTCGCTCGCTATTTCCCTAATAACACACGCTGTTCGTTTTTGTTTCTACACGTTTTTTTACTCACAAAGATTGTCAAGAAAGCGTGTTTGTCGTGTTCATGTCAAATTAAACTGATCACTAAACACAGATTTACTTTCTTTATTTCGTTTTCCTCATCCAACCCCCATAAATCCCTGTGTGTCCTCCTGCAGCACTCCCGAAGGACAACAGGCAAGACAAAAAAGTCTGACGTGTTGAGTAAAAACTGCTATTTTTAGCACATTTTTAGGGCCGACGTGTTGCTACCAGACGTACAGTGTGAGCAGTCAGATCACATGCGAGAACTGGGTCGTGCAGTGCGAGCACATGACTCGTGAGATCTGCCCTGCGAGGAAGTCGTACAGTTTGAGCTGAAACTGAACGCTGCGAGTGAAAAAGTCGCACAGTGTACGCCCGGCTTAAGGCGAGAGGCCCAGACTTCCCTCTCCCCAGCCACTTGGGCCAGCTCCTCTGGGGAAATCTCAAGGCGTTCCCTGGCCAGGTGAGAGACATAAACCCTCCACCGTGTCCTGGGTCTACCTTTAGGTCTCCTCCTGGTTGGACGTGCCCGGAAAACCTCACCAGGGAGGCGTCCAGGAGGCATCCTGACCAGGTGCCCGAGCCACCTCAACTGGCTCCTCTCAATGTGGAGGAGCAGTGGGTCTACTCCGAGCCCCTCCCGGATGACCGAGCTTCTCACCCTATCTCTAAGGGAGGGCCCAGCCACCCTGCAGAGAAAACTCATTTTGGCCGCTTGTATCCGCGATCTCGTTCGTTCGGTCACTACCCAAAGCTCATGACCATAGGAGAGGGTAGGAACGTAGATCAACCGGTAAATTGAGAGCTTCGCCTTCTGACTCCGCTCTCTCTTCACCACGGCAGACCGGTACAACGCCCGCATCACTGCAGATGCAGCACCAATCCGCCTATCGATCTCACGCTCTAGTTTTCCCTCACTCGTGAACAAGACCCTGAGATACTTAAACTCCTCCACTTGGGGCAGGACCTCATCCCTGACCCGGAGAAGGCATTCTACCCTTTTCTGAATCAAGACCATGGACTCAGGTTTAGAGGAGCTGATTCTCATCCCAGCTGCTTCACACTCGGCTGCGAACCGCTCCAGCAAAAGCTGAAGATCACGTTCTGATGAAGCCAAAAGGACCACATCATCTGCAAAAAGCAGAGACCTGATCCTCAGGCCACCAAAACGGATGCCCTCCACACCTTGGCTGAGCCTAGAAATCCTGTCCATAAAGGTTATGAACAGAATCGGTGACAAAGGGCAGCCTTGGCGGAGTCCAACTCTCACCGGTAACAAGCCCGACTTACTGCCAGCAATGCGGACCAAGCTCTGACACCGGTCATACAGGGACCTAACAGCCCGTATCAGAGGGCCTGGTACCCCATACTCCCGGAGTACCCCCCACAGGGCCCCCCAAGGGACGGGGTCAAACGCCTTCTCCAAATCCAAAAAACACATGTAGACTGATTGGGCAAATTCCCACGCACCCTCCAGGATCCCTCTAAGGGTATAGAGCTGGTCCAGTGTTCCACGGCCAGGACGAAAACCACATTGCTCCTCCTGAATCTGAGGTTCAACAATCCGACGGACCCTCCTCTCCAGAACCCCTGAATAGACCTTACCAGGAAGCCTCAGGAGTGTGATCCCCCTGAAGTTGGAACACACCCTGCGGTCCCCCTTTTTAAATAAGGGGTCTGCCAGTCCAGTGGGACTGCCCCGATGTCCACGCAATATTGCAGAGCCGAGTCAGCCAACACAGCCCAACAACATCCAGAGCCTTAAGGAACTCTGGGTGGATCTCATCCACCCCTGGAGCCTTGTCACAGAGGAGCTTTTTAACCACCTCAGTGACCTCAGCACCAGAGATTTGAGAGGCCAACCCAAAGTCCCCAGACTCTGCTTCCTCACTGGAAGACGTGTCGGTGGAATTGAGGAGGTCTTCGAAGTATTCTGCCCATCGATCCACAACGTCCTGAGTAGAGGTCAGCAGCACACTGTCCCCACTATAGATAGTGTTGGTAGCGCACTGCTTTCCCCCCCTGAGGCGCCGGATGGTGGACCAGTGATCTAAATTGGAAACAAAAGCTCAAGGTTGAGGGCAGTAAAGGGTTCTAGGCCCAGTCTCAGTACTCACAGAATTCAAAACCACATTTACCTTGTTGTTTAATATAGAAACATTGTCTGTGTTGTCTCTGACCTGTTTAACTACTCAAATTAGTAATGTTGCAATGGCAATGATGAAACGGTTGGTACTGACAAAAACAGGTATGTCAAATCATAAGATTAGACACACACACTTAAATCTGCATACGCCAGCAGTAGCAATAAATGTTGATGGCGCCGATGCTAACCTGAGAACAACACTAGCTTGAGCTACTTCTGACGTGAACTACTGTTAGCATAAACTACTGCTAACACTAGTGCAAGCTGCTGCTAGCGTCCTTGCTGAATGAGAGGAAAACAAAGAAGAATGTCGGAGCACACGTGACATTCCAGGATATACTGGTAATATGGCACGTCTGTTGAGTTATCCATACATTAAACACATCTGTAGACATAGTTCAAGTCCCAATAATCGCACTTCCACCCTTGCGCTCTTCAATTGTGCGTTCCCGTCCAGGGGTGTGAGTGTGTAGTGCAGTGGTATTCAAATACAATAAAACATTTCTTATGGGTTGGAGGGCCAGTCCGGGGGGTGTGGGGTGCTAACAGAAAGGCCTGACTGAAAGGTCCTGTCCAGGTGGTGGGGGTGGGGGGTGTGATTCAAAAACGTTCAGAGATGACTGAACTGGTGATATGACCTCTTGTAACATTCTAACCGAGTCAACGATTCAACAGCGAGGTCCGGTTCGGAGGGGAGTAAGTGGAGCCTTAAGCCTGGAGCACACCGGAGGGGGGGGGCGCCGCACCCGTGCCATCATTTTAAATAGAAACCATTATAGTTACTGAGAGTGGGCACATGGGGAGCGCCGCGACTGTTTACAACACTGTGGAGTACTTCACACCAGACATTACAAAGTGGAATGGCTTTACGGCACAACCCCAGCCGCAGTTTTGATAACTTTAAAGTACTATTGATCTTAAAATATTTAATAAATAGCGTACTTACCCCACAGTTGAATTAAGAGTCTCACAAAACACAAAGATAAGTCTGATCACGTATAAACAATAGTCACTTCCTGCTTTCTGTTCTCAAGTCCCGCTTGATGTTGTGACTATCGCGCGTCTTTCCAAGAAGTGCTCAGCGGCGCGCCCTTATGTGACCACTTGATTTATCAAAACCGCGGGCGCGACGCTGTATGGCGCGTCACGTCCGCCTCCGGTGTGCCCCAGGCTTAAGACAGTCCTCCTGTTAGAACTGTAACTCGCGGGCCGGGGTTGCCTATTGAGTACCAATGGTAGGGTGTCCCGATTCTAAATTGTGGAAGTTGACCATGCTCCTTTTGCACACTTGATCCATACTTCGCCAAAGTCCACATTGATGCGGACTGCATCAGCATAGGGTAATACCCACAATCCATTGCTGTGTGGGAATTTTGAGAGCACAAACAGTAACCGGCATCCCGCCATGCATCATGGTCGATGACGCAATGCTTCCTGTCCCAATTCGGCAAACTTGTGTACTACGCACTCGCAGCCTTACTGCACACTTCCTTCAAGTGACCTTCACTAAAGGCCATAGGGCGCAGTGCGAGTATTGGGATTGGGCCAGAGTTTCTGGCTTCAGGCAGCACCTTAGAGCCATCAAGGTAAACTGGCCAATAAGCACGCAGTATGTAATATTCATGTCCTGGCCAACTGGGCAGGGTTAACTAGCCTTTTCATTGCAGGGTTTTATTATGGTTGTGTTTGGCCATTTATTAGGGCTCCTGGGCCATTGTGAGCCCCAACAAAATCACGTAGTAAACAAAGGCTCAAAGAACAGTTCTAATTGCAAAAAATTTTGTTTCTAGAAGCCGCTTAAGCAGTCAGACTTGATCTGTCCATGCACCAGCTAATGCCAGCTGTAATCAAGGTAATTTACTTCATCATCATCGTAACGACACACGAGAGAAAACCTACGGTGAAAAACGCCATCAGACCCCCCTGCAGGAGGCCGGTGAGCACATCACTCCAGTGATGTCTGTAGTCAGAGACCCGGGTCAGACCCACATACACAGCAGTGGCAATCAGGAAGAACTGGAAGGTGGGCCGCAGGAGCCGCGCCCATTTGGACTTCATTCTGGCTTGAATGTACAGCTGCAAAAAACAGAACGCAAAAAAAGAAATGCATTTGACTTTTGGACAGAGTTTCTTTCAGTGAAAGAAATGAAAAAAAATCTGTAGCTGACAGAAACCAATAAACACTGGTTTCCCTAATAAACAACTCTCACGCACACAAACTAAATAGTCATGTAGTTGAATTGCAACACAACTAAAGCTCAGCTGAAGACATTTCAGAACTTGAATCTAAAAGTTTCATGTGTTGCTAAAATAAATATTCAGGCATAATAAGCTATTTAATATACAGATATTGTTCTTTATGGGTTACGGAGTGTAACCTGTATCCGAGTTTGTTCTTGCAAAGCTGCACCATCAATTTGCAACTAATTCACAGGAGAAAAAGAAGCAAATGTGCCTTTAAAGTCATTTTAAATGCATGAAGCAGCTGCAAAAAGTAAGGCAAATACAATACGTTTTAGGTTATTTATCCAGTACTTACAGCAAGGAACAACATACAATACATGGAAAAGGATGAGTGACCAGAGAAGAAGGACAATCTGTGGAAAAATGCACAAATCAGCTTTATTAGTCATTTTTTTAATCACAAACAGTCTGAAATGATGGATTTTTATTCAAGATCTACCAAACATTTTACTAGTTTACTTAAATGTGATTCTTAAATCTGATTACATATCGTGTGTTTGCATAACGATGTCATGAATGGAAACAGGTGAGTCATGCAGTAATAGTATACAGGCTTCAGCTCCAGTGAGGTGGTTTTTATGCACTACAGTTAGTATTTATGCAACAGGTTTCCTAAAGCCCAGTTTTGTTGCCATGGAGACTCATGACTTCACCACTGAATGACTCTGGACAGACCACGTTTTTCCTGTGTCCTGCACTCTGACTGGTTTTATTGTGCCGGTTCTCCGGCCGCTTTTGGCTCAGCAGCTCTGTTCCTGCCTCTGCACTGGTTCTCTGTCTCATCCTTCCTCACCTGTCTGCTGCCCTTGTTCCTCATATGTGCCCTTAGGCAAATTTACTTTGTTTGTCAAATGTGACAAAAAAATAATAAAACTGAACTCCAGCAGAGCAGGAAGCAAAACTTCTGAAATGACCACAAAAAGGGAAATAAAAAACTTCTTTTTTTTGTTCTGTTTTAGAACCGCACCTGGCCTCTTCCACATCAAACCTGTCTCCAGTACAGGTGACGTTCTCGATGTAACCTCCCGTTTTGCAGTTGATCCGCTCCCAGACTGGTTTGCATACGGCCAGGAAGTGCGGCCTGAGACGGCCGATGGAATATTTGGCGATATCAGTCAGAGACTGGCTGGCAGCGGCTCCGAAAACGTAGCTCCCCACTGCTTTGTACAGGCACCACAGGTACTTCTTACCCAAAGGCTGGGTCTTGATACGAGACAGGTAAACTGAAAGAAACTCTCCGCAAAGGAGCTAAAATTGTAGAGATAAAAAAAACTGTATTTGTTAAAACTTTGATTTATAAGCAGAAAGCTGAATGGGCAGATTAAATTAAAAAAACATACAACTATGAGACAGAAAGGGATCATGACTCCTCCCAGCAGCTGGTAGGATATGGTGTCGTCCTTCAGTGGGTATCTGATGGACTCATCGTTGCAGAAGAAACCCCGTTTGAAGGGGTTATGCTGAGGAGTTAGGATGAAAAAGGGAAGTCCAACTGCAAAAACACAGAAAAGCGTTTTAGTTTTGAATCCCAAATGATCAAACTGGCCTCCCAAAAAAGAGCGACGACAGAGATGAGGTCGTTTTGAGTATCATTAGGTGGCTTCACGTCATCTCGCTCGCCTCTCGTATGCGGGGTTCCTCAAGGATCAGTGCTGGGCCCGTTGTTGTTCTTTTATTTGCTGCCTCTGGGTTCTATTTTTACGAAACATGGATGTTCTTTTCATCTATATGCAGACGACACCCAGGTTTATATTCCCATTAAACATGGCCTACCCAGTTCTTTAGATCCTCTTCTAAACTGCCTCGGTGAGGTTAAAACCTGGATGTCTGCAAATTTTTGACATTTTAATAATGACAAGACTGAGGTCATGCTTTTTAGTCCTAGTGTGTCCAGTGGGCCATGTTCTGCTGACCTTGGTCCACTAGCCCTATTTTTGGAAACCTGTAGCGACCAGTCTGGGAGTCCGGCTTGACAGCGATCTGCTTCTGGAAAAGCAAATCAGTGCCGTCACCAAAGCCAGTTTTTATCAGTTAAGGAGGATCGCCAAGGTTAAGTGTCTGCTCTCAAGTCATGACTTTGAGACGGTGATTCACACGTTTATTACATCACGCCTTGACTATTGCAACGCACTGTACCTTGGTCTTCCTCAGTCTCACCTCTCTCGTCTTCAAATGGTGCAAAATGCAGCAGCACGCCTATTGACGGGTTCGAGAAAGAGAGAGCACATTACCCCAATTTTAGCTTCGCTGCACTGGCTGCCTGTGGATTTTAGGGTCCGGTGCAAGGTTCTTTTATTGACTTTTAAAGCCGTACACGGCCTTGCTCCGCAGTATCTGTGTGAACTTTTAGTTACTCACTCTCCGTCTCGGTCACTGAGGGCAGCCGACCCGTTTCTCCTGGAGGTGCCGAGAACAAAGAGAAAGCTCAGGGGTGACAGAGCTTTCTCAGTAGCAGCTCCAAGGTTGTGGAATGCACTCCCAATTCAGATCAGGATGGTTTCGTCACTGTCGGGTTTTAAAACACTTTTAAAGACTCATCTGTTCTCAGCTGCTTTTAATTCAGTTTGAGGATGCATCTGTTTTTAGTAGCTTTTATGTCAGTTTGATACGTTTGTTTTTATCATGTTTTTACTTTGTGATGAACTTTTTATCTCTTTTTTAGAATTTTTAGGGATCTCGTGTTCTTTTTGGCTTGTTAAGCACTTTGGTCAGCTTTTATGCTGTTGTAAAGTGCTTTATAAATAAAGTTGACTTGACTAATGTTCGATGAGGCCGGCTGTGGAAGGGACTTCCTCCCGCAAAAAATACAATAAAATAAAATAAAATAAACCACACAAAATCTCCTGAGAATTATGAAGCTTCTCCTCCCCTCTGCATCACAGACTCAAGTTACCCGAGGCGTAGATTTGCTGCAGCATCATTTTGCAACAACAGACAGGAGTGAGCCACAGATGGTGAGTCAGTGCAGGCATGACTAGTAGGAACATATGATCCTAATCCGCACAAACATACAAACGTGTTCTAGCACAACTTTGACTGCATGTTTTCTCCTCACCTCTCAAAAGGTGGGTTTCCTTACACAATCAGGTAGGTTGCACTAATGCAATAATGGGCATTCCTCCAGCTTTAATGCTTTTAGGCTAAACGAGTTATCGTGCAGTCGCTGCAGCACAAATGAGTGTCTGCTGGTGATTTAACTCTGAATTAACTTCTAATGGACTCTGTTTAATCATTTTATTATTCTTTAGAATTGTGTAACTAACTACAGAGATGTAAAGATAAAAATGTTTATAATAGTGTAAAAAAATTCTCATAAATATGCATTTGAACATTTAAGTTTGAAGTCTATTTATTTATGTGCTCCACAATATGTGGGCTGAGCTTGTAAAACTGATGGAAATAAAGTTCTGTTCACATTCAAAAATTAGCCGATGAAGCCAGAAAGGACATTGAAATAGATAACATTAGTAGAATAGAGCTCCGTACTGAGCAGATCTGAGCGCTGTATGGAAGCCCATTCCCGCCACTCAGATAATAAAAAAAATTATTATCTCATAATTATGACTTAGCTATCTTATAATAATGAGATAGTATCTCAGATAGTACCTCATTATTATGAGATAGCTAAGTCATAAATATGAGATTATATATATATTTTTTTTATCTGAGTGGCGGGAATGGGCTTCCATACTTATGTGAGAGATAGAAAAAATAAAGATGAATGGGGATTGGCTCAAAATTTAAGCTTTTTCATCTAGAATCTGATTATTTTTATTCCACTTTAAATTACAGACATTTCTTGATTTTATTCAACTTAAATTAACAGTTTTTATTTTAAGTCAACAAAATAATTTACCATCATAAATAGATGATCAAAGCATTAAAATTATAATTTATTTTTTCCCAATAATATCAACTTTTATCGTTTCTGAGTGCTTTCATGGATGTTTTGGATCGGTGTGTGTGTGTGTGTGTGTGTGTGTGTGTGTGTGTGTGTGTGTGTGTGTGTGTGTGTGTGTGTGTAGCAGAGACAAACCACAGGACACTGACTAAGCAGTGTGGATTTAATCTGAGGAGAAGGTTTCTGGATCTAAATCTGATCACACACTCAGCTGAGTGTTAATTCAACAACCAACCCTGCACCATTCCTCTGTGGTGTCCCACGCAGTGAGCTAAAAATACAAGTTTGCTTGGATAAAAAGAAGAAAAAAAGCATACAGGGTGGGACTTTTTCCATCTTCCTGTCTGGTTCCTGTAACCTAAAGCACTTTTATAGATGTATAAAACATGCAAATAATCCATAAAAACTGGGTTAGAATAATTTATATGGCACATCTGCAGGAAAACAACCTTAAAAATGAATAAAATGTGTGTTTAGAAGAGGCGTACATACCAAGAATGAGGCAGGTAACGTCGAGAAGGATGAGAGGGACTCCGGAGGGTTCAAACATGATTCTGGCGTCCGTGATTTTGGTTAAAATAAAAATAAATAAACCTTTAGACTTTCCAGGCTCCACCGGTGTCTGAGGCGCACGCTCTCTGCCGCACATGCGTCTCTATTCCAGCACAGAGTTTCTAGACACCGGTGTCATTGTCCCGGGAGAGTCCGAGCGGACCAAACCGACAAGGAAGCGGACTAAAACGGGTTAAAATCGGCTCTAAGAGCCTAACTAAAGCAGCAAACAGCACCACAAACAGAGGAGGCGTTCACCGACCAGCACAACACGGGATTCCTTCTGTTGACATGACAATCCGCCCCGTCAGCGCATCAGACATTACCCGAGAGACACTGGCACGAGCGCTCCTCCACTGCACTGATTAATGCTGCCTTCAGTGACAGCTGGGAAACCGTACATACGAGCTCAGTCACTTTTAAACGTCAACAATCACGAGTTTACAACATTTGAAGGAGACACATTATGACTCCATTTTTTTCTTAAGTTGCAATAGTTCTATTGTTTATGATAATAACATGTTAATGTTGCAAAATTTCACGCACATAAGCAGTTTTATTCTAGATAGTTTCAGTAGCTTCCAGAATGAGCCCTTTCAGGGTTCTGTCATTTTAAGAAAAACTGACCACAGTGCTGCCCCTGGCCAAAGTGGGGCCCTGAGCAGAATTTTATCAATGCATGCACACTGTTGTGCAAGATTACTTGGCTCTTTTTTTTCTCTCTCTCCCATGGGCAGGCGGTGCTCTAAGCCTGGCACACTTCACAGAAGCGATAAATGCATACAATGGAGGCGCTTAATGGAGGAGGAATGCACATATGTCAGACTCAAGGCCCGTGGGCCAGATGCGGCCCGCGGAGCATTTTTATGTGGCCAGCGAGATAAATATCAAAAATATATTAAAACTGGCCCGCTGGCCGATTTTACCGCAAAAACTTCAACTCCCATGATGCTTTGCTGCGTCAGCACGGAGCCGACGCGCCCCCTCCTTTGTGTTTTTTCCAGCGTCTGCTGCCGGTGTCTGCAGCCCCGCTGTCTCGGACAAACTACACTCCTCTCGCTCAGCGCCGAGTTCACTCAGCTGTTTTCTGACGTTGAAGCCCAGAAACGGAGATTCTAGCCGCTCAGTAATGTGTTCACAACTGAAAGAGAAAGTTTTCCAACTAACGTCCAGACAGAGCTGATATAACTCCAGCGAACAGCGACACGCTCATACCAGCACGGCTCTGTGGCTGCTGTCGTCGTGTTTCCTCCCTGACACACAACAACGTGGTCAAGCTGCTCAGACATGTTCACCAGCACAAACCTATGTGAGCACCTGTTGTCATCTAATGCTGTCATTATTATGATGAAGATGAACAAAACAACAGGAGTCTCCTCCTCAGCTCAGATCAACCCCATGATGCAGGTATCTGGCTGGAACAGGTGAGCATCACAGTAAACCAGTGGAGCAAACTGACCTTTAAATATGTTGGTTTTATGCTCTTTTTCTGCTCCAAAACATGAAAGTTAACAGGTGAGATGTTGCATTTTCATTTAAGGTAAAATGATATTTTTATTTTGTTGTTGGCCCGTGAGAAAAGATTTAACCTACAGTAAACAGGAAGTGGAAAGGCTGCAGATAGATGAATAGAATAGAAAATCCCTTTATTGTTCCTCAGTGGGGAAAGCTAGACGTTAGCAGCGATGACACGTATTACAGGAGAAAAAAGGAGAATAAAAAATAAGAAAAATGAATAAACAAGAAAACATAAATCCTGAATAGATTATAAAATGCTGATTATACCACAAGTAATGAATACCACTGATGCCTTTTATTTAAAACTGACTTGCTCGTGTGTAATTTGGTTATTCCACATTCAGTGTTAATGCAGAAATAAGTTTGTTTCCAAATTTAAAGGTTCAAAATTGCATACATGTTGATAAAGAAAATGTGCAAATTTGCCATCACTTTTTCAAAAAATAATAAGTTTGGCCCTCGACTCCGTCCCAGATTTTCATTTGGGCCCCGTGTGAGTTTGAGTATGACACCCCTGCACTAGAGCTAAATGCACCAAATTGAGTGTACTAAATAATTATGAAAATGTAAATTAAATCAATGATCATGATCTCACTGGAATTTAGAACAGGAAACAGTTTAAAATGAATCTGTATGTGTGTCTGACAACTGGTAATTATATATAAATTGATAATTTCTTCTGGAAAAGGGGGCAGAAATTATAAGATGCTTTTCTTCATTCTGCTCCTTTTTGTTCTAATTTGATTTTTTGTTATGTATTTCTTATTGTTTATATGTTTTATTTGTTTTTATTTTGAATGAAATAAAAGAAAAAAAACATGCACAAACACTTTTAATTCTCCACTCAAGAGAATAACACAAACACAAATTAATTGTAATAGAATAGAACAGACTTAATTGGTTCCACAGTGGGAAAATTCACTTATTACAGCAGCACAAACACTTAAGAAAATAATATGAAGAAAAATAATAACAAAGGTAACATGTAAATAAATACACATAGGCAGTATATTATTAATATACTATATTTTTTCTGTTTTTTTTTTTGTATTTATTTATTTATTTTTGTTTGTTTTTTTGTTTTTATACCACATAGCTAATTGGACAGTCAGTGACTCGATGCAATTTGCTGAGTTCTTATATAGGAAACTTTTTACAGACTGACTTGATGAACTGAACTGTATAATGTTTGATGTGTGAAGCGCCTTGAGACGACTCTTGTCATGATTTGGTGATATATAAATAAACTTGAACTGAATTGACAAAACAAACTCATTATTTTTATATTTTTGTACCACCTACTGACCACATATGGAGTGATACACTACTGTGAAACCAATGCAGTAATGTGATTTATGTGAAAATATACCAATTAACATTTACAATACTGTGAATATTTTTGTTAGAGCTGTCCACCACTATGGACTATAAAAGGGTTAAACTTCTATAGAATGAGAAATAGTATTACCATTGTCACTTTTCACGGCTGTATTTAAATTATTAGAAGTTGTTTACAAAGTTACTCAGGCCAGCACCGTCCCGAGCGTCTATGAAATAAGAACCTTTAAATTTCCGAGTTATCCATGAAGGCATCACCAGACAGGGAAAAGGAAATGGGAGTCTGGGGCCAATCGCCAGGCCGGAAGAGCGCTACGACAGAGGTCTGCTGATGCAGAGCTGCTCCTCCCTCCGCTGTTGCAGCATCAGCTATTAGTGGAGGAGATTCCACTGATTATTAAATAAAAAGTCACTGATCGGTTTAAAAAAAAACATATTTACTACATTCATCAATGATGTCAATAAGTTGTAACATTTAAAAGGATTGCAGTTAGCTATTTAATAACTGCAGATTAGTTATCAATGAACACATTAAACACAAATGGAGGAAGTTTTATTTTGTGACTTACTGTATTTGAATTAAAGTTGACAAATACAAACAATCCCCAATTATACTTTAGTCACACATGCTTTGCTGTTTTTGGGTTTTCTATTTTAATTTAACTTCCGTTTATCTAACTGTAGTACTGTTTTCACCTTTACTTCCTACTTGTTATTCACTTGCTCATCATCATCATCATCATCATCATCATTGACTTACATTTTGTCCTCATTTGTTGTTTTAGTCTTCCTGAATATTTTTATTCAGCTTTTTTGGCTTTTTGTTTGTTTGTTTTCACTAAATAAATTAATTCTACTAATTTCCTGTTGGAAAAACATGGGTAATAATAAACCTGTCACCACTATGCTCTGGAATCATTTAATGAATATCTACTTGTTTATCCAAGAAAATATTTGTTCTCGATAGTCTTTTGTTTTGCATCAATTTTATGTTACTAGAGCTGAGTATGGATATAAATCGGGCGATACAATATAATCACAGTGCAGGAAGAAACACAATATGGTACATTTTGATGCTAAAGGCCAGACAGTATAAGCGATTTTTAGACTGAATTGAATTAAAAAATTCAGGCCAGCATTTCTAAGACACATCAAGTGTTGGCGAGAGTCCTCGTTGTTCCATCAGGATGAACCGTTAAAGTTTGTATTGCACCACACATAGTAATAGGCAAGATTTACATGTAAATTCTCAATAAAAACCGATTCACTGGTTTTAGTTGTTCAGTATCATAACATAAGGTATCCTGATATTTCAGCATATCAGTATTTTCTTACATGTTGTTCCTTTGTTGCGACTTCTAAATTTCAGTTTTCTGTTTCAAAAGCACTTCTTTTTTAAACTTGAAAATATTTTTAAATGCTGAAAACTAGTTCATGCATTGATTACCTCAAGACTGGTTTAGTGTAATTCATATCAGGAAGTCCATATAATGTACTTAAAAGTCTGATCCAAAATGCTGCAGATAGAGAATTATAGAGATCACATCTCTCCCATCTTAGCTTCCCTACATTGGCTGCCTGACTGTTAGATTCTGAAATGATTTTAAGATCATCCTTCTCACTCCTTCTCTTAAAAATCGGACTCCATCAGTGATCTGATTGTTTCATGTGTTCTTAAAAGAGCACTTTGCACTAAGACTGCAGGTTTACTGGTTATTCCTAGAATATCTAAAAAAGGATGGGAGGCAGATCTTTTAGTCATCAGGCTCCTCTCTTGTGGAACCAGCTCCCAGCTTTAATCTGTGTGGCAGACACCTCGTCTACTTTTAAGACTATAGGCTTAAAACTTTATTTTTTTATTTGATAGAGTTTATGGTTAAATTCTGTTAGCCCAGGTTTGAAGTCAGAAAGAGGAAATCAGACAACAGCATATTCAATTCATGTTTCTCTGCTTTGACAATTCTGAGTTAGACTTTAATATTTTTGTGCAAAATGATAAAAGTTGACCCCACGTCCATAAGAAACAGCAAACACTTTTATTTAAAATCCTCTTTTTTCTGCGTTTACTCAAAAACTTTCGTAGAATAAAAATGTGTGCTTCAGTATTCAATTAAAATGTCCTGATTTATGAAGCATTTAAATTATTACATTATAACATGTTAAACAATAGAAATCCGTCATCTGAATTCACGTGTCCCATCAGATGCTTTCAGATTTCTGTTTCTGGGAGTCCAGATGGTGCTCTATCTCCTGTTTGAAGAACAGCTCCCCCAGCTGGCCATGTGAGGCTTCACTCATGGCTTTCGTCTGCATGCACATCTTGTATTTGTCTGCAGGAAGCTCGTCTGAGCAGCTCTTCTCGTGCCACAAGTGGAAAAGGCCGCGAGACGGAGCACGAATCACCATCATCTTACTGTGAAGGTACTTTCTGTAGACATGCACGTCCTCCAGACCCCAACCTTTAATGCTACGGTCAAATCCACCTGGTGGGACACAGACAGGTCACATCTGGATTAGACTCGCGTAGATTATCTGGCTCCCACTTCCTCAGACAACAATCACTAAAACTCTCAAGAGCTACAATTATTGAATCAGTTGTGAATAAATGCATTCATTTATCAGTTTTAATGTATTCTCTGTTTATTATTTTCAATCACATCAAATATTTCAGTGACTTTGCGTTACTTGGAGGCAGTGGCGTGTCCAGATCTTTTAGAATGGGGTGGCCCAGATGAGGCACTACTTTGTGCATGGGTGACACCAATGGTTATGCTTTTTTTTTTTACCCCAAGCCTTTTGTGGACAATGAAAATACTATTTAAATGGAATTCAGTGTGGTGACACATGGGGTGGCCATTCAGATTCCAAGGGTGGCATGTGCCACCCCAGGCCACTCCCTGGACACGCCCCTGCTTGGAGGTAAGACGTATAAAACTAGACTGGAGTATCTATGTTTTAGTTAATTTTTCAGGCAAAATATTACACATTTTACACTGAAAAGACACACAAATACTAATTTATGTGAATGTTTAATGTTGCAGAAGAAATGAAAAATACGTATGAAATAAAACTATTCCTGCGATCTTGTTTTGGACGTTTCTGACACGTGAAGACAGACCTTTACCTATATTGATGAAATCTGATCTGTACTGACACGTCATCCCAAACCCAAAGTCCCGCCAGAATCCATTTTCCTTCCTTATCACCTGAAACATAAGAAATTATTTAAATGTTTTCTGTCTAACAGACATGAACCCAGATTTTTACCCACCAGCTGCTGCTGAAGAGAAGGTCGGAGAGTTTGATTGCTGTAGATGATGGCTGGATTATACTGACTGAACAGGACTGGGTAGTACACTTTCTTTCCTTAAAAAGATGTAAAAATAAACATGAAAACTGTCAAAAATAAAGCATCCCAATTGTTCAGTTAAACGGCATAAAGTGGATCAGATTCTCACCAGGTTCTGCGTTCAGGCGACAAGAAGTCAAGAAGTCGGCGGTGAAGTGGACGTCCACGTCACAGAAGAAGAGCAGGACGTTCTGTTTGTGCCGCCAAGCCCTGGCGCCTACCTCCAGGCCTCGGCCGCGGGAAAACTCCTCGTTCACCTGAATCAGCGTGAAACTCCTGAACCGCGTCTCCCTGAGAGGCAAAAACAAGACATCTGACCAGACAACTTCCGAACACTTCTGGTTCATTGTGGTCATCAAACCTCATCAGACAGCTGTTGCAGCTTTACGTCATTTACTAACAGAACATCTGGGGAGAATTTTCTAATTGAAACATGAAGCAAAAGAGACTGAATTATTTTGTGATTTGAGCCAATTTTTTCTGAAAATAAGATCGAAAATTGATTTTTACAGTGCATATTACAGTTTTACACACAAAGAAATTTAAACTGCAACGTTGTTTAAGTGTGCTTACTATTTAAATAAAAAAATAATAATTGGTTGAAATTCCAGAATAAAATTACAAACTGTTTCCATGCCCTGTAATGGTTGAATTAAGCTTAAAATGAGCTGAAATATCTTATTAAGAAAAGTTAGACAAATGTTCCTAGAGGGAGCTTAACCCTTTGATGCATGAATTATGAAATATTCAACCATGATTTTTTTAACAATTTTTTTCAGTCATCTTTAGGTGTGAATTAAACAAATTTCATATTTACATATTTTTTGTAACATTTAATTTACAAAAAATTTATCACATGTCCACCTCAGTGGACAGCGTGCATTCTGAACATGAAATATGTTGGCTTGACTTACTGAAGTCCAAATGGAGGGGCTCAAATGCAATAAAGTCTTCAACAGCTGTGCTTGATAGTAAAAATAAATAAATAACAATTTTGAGTACCTGTCCACTGTAGTGACCATTATGCATCAAAGGGTTAATATGAGTAAAACCTGCTAATTAGGAAAATGATTTCTTTTTAGACAAATTAAGAAAACGTATGGAGGATTTATCTTTTTATTTTTCATTTTACTTTCTTTAAAAACATTTTTTTACAGTGTATAATCTATGGATGAGTGTGTGTGTGTGGGGGGGGGGGGGGTAATCTGAAGTTTAGCACAAAAGAATCTTTAGAATGTTCGGAGTACGGAGAAATTTCATTCTCATATCGTCGGTGTGAAAGATGGATGTGTCTCATGCTTTAAATTCAATAATGGAAGATCTGACCTGAAACTACATGGGTCGATACATAAACGCAACACTAGATTATGATTAAAAACTGGAGGGTCGTTAAGGTTGGAAATGACAGGAGACTCCAGGTTTATAAGAGGAATCGAGTAAAGAAACGAGCTTTAAAATTCATCTGGAAGCTGTTCCGTGTTTCTGTAATTGTAGAGTGGATTTACATGGAAGCATTTCAGGTTAGTCATTTTGGTGGTTGTTAAAAACTTCTTAATAACTCAAGTTGTGCAAAAACTCAGGATTTTTTTTAATTCGACAGTTTTACTTGCAACTTTTGTTTATTTTCAGGTGTTACCTGGTGGTCCGATCCATTAAAGCTTTCACCTGCTCAATCTGATCTCGGCCAAAATACACCACAGTCAGATGAACCCTGCCGTCCTGCTGGATTCCTGCTTCTCTAAAACAGAGCAAATGAGGAACCACATGTCAACAGCTAAATTTCAGCCCAGTGCTTTAAATAAATCAATCTGACCACAGTGGCACAGGAGGATTGGACCCAAAACACAGAACACCACAACTCAAGGCTGGAGAGGTTGCATAATTAAAGAATCCTTTTATTAGGGGTGAGAACTAAAAAGCAAAACCTGCAGGACTCAAAACCAAAGTTCAAAAGTTCCAAAAAGTCAAAAACAAAAGCTCACACATGAGCCAGGATCTGTGTAAACTAGATGGGGACAAAAACAACGGACAATGAACCAACAAACAACGGAGACACAGACAGGGTTATATACACAGGGCTGGGGTGATAGGAGAAAGGAGCAGGTGCGTGGGGAACTGGGCACAGGTGAAACCAATAACAGAGAGGAGGAGCAGAATGGAGCAGGGGAGGAAACCAGACCTAACTGGGGAAGGGAACACACACACACACACTAAAGGAGACTAAGGAACTAAAATAATAAACCGATAGAAACTACAGTGGGGAGACTAAGGCCTAGTCCACACGTAGCCGGGTTTTTAAAAAAACGAATATCCGCCCCTCCAAAAACTTGCATCCACACCACCTCGTTTTAAAAAAACTTTGTCCACACGTACCCGGATAAATACGTTGTTAAGGACATGCCAGACCTGTAGGCGGCAGTACTTCCCCCGTTCTTAACCTCGTCCTTCGTCTGTGGTCTTCCGTAAGGAGCAGTAATTCCGCTTGCAAAAACAAACAAGCAGAAAGCGCTTGGACAATTGATAAAGCGAGCGCAGCTCTGAGGGCATCCATGCTGTCGGCTAGTGTAAACACAGGTCGCACACGTGATGTCAGCATTTTTTTTGTCGCGGAAAGTGGCGTTGCGGACCTTAAAACTCCGGTTTTGTCTGTCCACACGCAGACACCCAAAACAGAGAAAATGCAGATCTTCACTTTGGCCGGAGTTTTTAGAAAGATACGTTTTCGTGTGAAAAAACTCCGTTTTCGTGTGGTTGACAGGCCAAAACGTAGAAAAATATCTACGTTTTGGCAGATCCCCGGCTACGTGTGGACAGGGCCTAAGAGAACATGAGGAAAACCTGGAGGGAGCTGGGGACAAAAAGAGCTGGGGGCTACAAGGACACAGAACGTGAGGGGACACTTGGAGGGGGCTAGGGACCAAAGGGGCACAGAACACGACGCACGGGTGTTTGCCGATTCACAACAATTTGGAGTTGTTTCACAGGGGTGCCCCCAGGAAGTTTTTATAAGGGGGCCAGATGGAGGTGGCACACCAGATTGGCCCCTGTGGTGACTGTGGGAGAGTTTAGCAAATTAAACAGTTTCAAAATTCTAAAACAATAAGATTTGTAAATAAATGTATTTATGAAAATTGTGATTTATTGAATAATTTTTAAATTAAAACATTATAAAGGTGAATGTATTATTAGCTTTAATATTTCTGTTGATTACAGAAGATGAATGCTTAACTGATCTTATTAAGAGGGGCGGTCTTCCCTGAGGGGGACCAGAGTGGTGGTTAATTATTTCCCGGGGGTGGTCATGGCCCCCTCTGGCCACTTCTTGGGGACACCACTGTCAATTTTGCTACTTTATTAGCCGGAAACTCAAAATATGTATAAAGTTATCAATATTCTGAAACTTTTGTCCAAGTTTGTTGGCATTAAATGTATTTATCTTCATGTCAGTCAGCAGGTGAATTAATTCAGTTCTTTTCCTTCCAGAGGGTACCTGAAGTTGTTGATGAACTGCTTAAACGCCTCCAACCTCTTGGAGAGTGGGACAATGATGTTGATGACTACGCCATGGGTGTTCACGCTCTCACTCTTCACCTTCATCACCGGACCAAACGGCCTGAAGAGGACAAGCGTCCTGAAGTCCCGAGATCCGTCCCCTTTGAACATCAGTTCGTAAACACTTCCTCTGTCCCGCTCTATGCGAGTCAGCCCTGCCACAGAGATCACTCATTACTCAAAACTGCTTCTAATCTTCTGTAATAAGGATTTTTATGGAAATTCAGCTGAAAAAATATTCAAATGGAAGAAAAATGGAAATTATCCTTTAAATTTGAATATGCTGGTGAAGGTTCTCTGTTATCCAGGTCACGGTAATCCAAAAGGCTCAAATGAAGGCAACTGGACTACTTCGTTTCTTGAAGACGTTTCAATAGTCATCCGAGGAGCTTTGTTAATTGTAACTGGAATATGGGGGGGTCCGAAATTTATAAACTGCAGCTGTGTGTTGTTGCTTAACGAGCTGAAACTACTTATGAATATCCCTACACCAAGGAGTCGTTGATGTCAGTAGGCCCTGTTGGGATAGGATGGTTGTTTTGAGTCCATGCAGGAGTTAATTTGAATACAAAAATACATATTCATCAGAATTACTTAATAATTAGATGTGAGATTAGCGGGATTTAGAACTAGCGTGAGTAATCTGAGCTTTTCACCCTGTATGAAGTCTGCAGGTGAGTAGGTTTGTTTCCTCTTGGCGCCGTCTCTGTGCTGTTGGGGTCCGTTCAGGATGTGCAGAGCTGTTTCCACTGCGCTGATCAGCTCATCTCTGCGGTCTTTCCTCGCAGGCCTCTCAGCTGGGTGTCTTGACAGTCCACCTTCCAGCTGGTAAACCCTGCAGCAAGAACCCTTATCTGTTAGAGTGGTAACCTTCGAAATGATGGGGCTTCTTCTGAACGGTCCTTTACTCACGTCTGCAGGGTGAAAGTGTCAAAAGGAGTAAGAGCGTACTCATTGGGCAGGTTCACACCTGAGTTCACCTCCGCCTGGATCAGCTGGGAACGGAAGAACTCCTGAAGGACACGAGGCAGCATTTACCATGAGCATCGCTCCATATTTTTGTTGTCATCACCTGTTGGTAAACCTCACCTTGAGGTCAGACTCTGTCGGGTTTTTGTGCAGGCTCTCCAGACCCTGAGGCAGAATCCCTTTACTTTTAGCTTGCTCTAGGGACTCGTGAAGCTGCTGCGTTCTCTCCAGGAGAGCCTCCTTCAGCTCAGATATCTGCTTCGTCAGACTGTTGACGTAATGTCTGTGGGAGTCCTCCCTCTCCTGCAACAAGGCCATGTATCCTTCCTTGCTGGTGGTGCCTCCAGACCACTGCAGAGGCTGCTGTTTGCTGTGGGACGCCGGTCTGCAGGCCAGGAGGTAAAGCAGCAGCAGACAGCAGCAGAGGCCCAGAGTGATGAGGCCCATTCTGGCCACCAGGTACAGCAGCCACCTTCTGAGCATGGCGGGTTGTCTTTTAAAAAGTTCTGCAACACTTGAGGTGTTGGAAATGTGGAAATGCACTCATAAAAAATGAGCAATGCATTGATTTTTCTTCTGATGATCAGAAATTATGTTTAAAGCTTTCTTGGGACACCCTCATCCATCATCTTAAATGATTCATGTGTTCATTTGTGGACACGTTTGTGTAAGGTAACCTCCAGAAAACACTGTGAAAAAAATAAAGCCTTTTATTTCAGGTCAGAAACACAAATAACATGTTTTAGAGAACAATTTCTAATGAAACAGAAATAGATTTCTTTGCATTATGTTGGGATTTAAATAATTTAGAATGATCTACAAGCACAGACTGGAAACCATCACTTCCCTCAGGTCCTGTGTTGAGTCTCAGCTAGAGTATTTTCCAACATCTCTTTAAAGAGACTTTGAGGCGTGTTCTTTTGTCCTTCATTTGTCGAACATCAAAATATTCTAATTATACCCAGTTTTTGAGATATTTGGTAAATTCTTTGTGCAAAAATCACTTTGTTTCCCGTCAGTTTGTTGAGAATGAAACTCAGAAAATAAGTAAACTTTTATTTTTTTGCAACAATGTCCCCTAAGATGAAATCATGCTGTTTGAGGACAGAATCAATTCCCTTCTGGGATTAATAAAGTATTTATGAATTGAATTGAATTTATGTTTTGACCCTAAGTCAGGGGCTAGACGACAACAATGAAAAAGTCCTAAAAAAGCTTTTAAAGGGACCTTATGGAAGTTTGACAGCCGAAACAAGTATAGAAATAATACATTTCTTCTTCATACATTCTCCTGCAATGCCCTGGTCCTGTAGAATGAGCCCTGGCATTTTTACTGTGATTGCCTGTTTTTCTGTAAAATCACAGAAAAAGAGAGATGCTCGGGTCGAGCAGGCTGCTTCATGCGCGTTCACGCTCAGGCATCGCCCGTAGCATTTGCTATCCGTAGCTTTAGCAGCAGAGAGAGAGGCAGTGCCACTTTGTCGCTGTTCCTAACGCCTAGTGACAAAGCTAGCTACATTTCTGAGGACCCTTAGCTACTTTCTGTAGAACTTTCTTCTAGATATTTCCTGCAAATTAGCAACAAAATAGCCATTTTCACTCCGAACCGTTCTTTGGTTTGACGTTGTTTCAGCTGTCATCAAGGACATAAAAGTTACAGATACAGAGGACGTCACTGGCGCTTTAGCCCACCTAGTAAGACGTCGGACTCTCGTGCAGAAGACCTGGGTTTGATTCTGGGTGTGAACATAGTTTATTTAGAGTTTCTTTTTTGCATTAATGATATATTTTTTTACAGTAAAATGCCCAAAATTTTTATTTGAGACTCGCCGAACGGCATTGAATTCACAGATAAAAAAGATGTGGGTTCAACTTTCATTTTGGAACAATTTTTCAAGCAAGGGAAGGGAATGATCTGAGCATGCAGGAGGACTGACCCATCATAAACCTTTGTCGGCTGTGCTGAAGAGAAAGGTACAGAACCAAATTATTTAATTAATTAGCTGCGTGTTCTCCTGTCCTCTGTCCTCCGGGCCACACACACACACACACACACACACACACACACACACACACACACACACACACACACACACACACACACACACACACACACACACACAGGACTGTCTCAGCTGTTATTTTCATTAAGGAGTGAGCACGTACAGCATGCGCGCCTCGTGCACGAGCCTACTATTGAAGCTGCCGTTACGCTTTTGGCCTGAGGGGGCAATCGCGAGCATAAAAATTCAAAACTCTGTAAAGTCCCTTTAAGCATGAAATTTTAAGATTTAAACCCCGTTTAAGTATTTAAAAGCAAGTCTGATTTTATGGAAGCAAACTGCAATAAAATGTGACACAATTAGAGACTTTTGCACATTTTTACAAACAGATTTTTGAGATCACGCTTCTTTTTGTGTCGTTAAAGGGAATACCGAAGTAAACTGTCCAACCTGGAGCCTATAATCTCACTCACAGTGTGATTCCCTGGAGCAGTGTGAACTGAATTCATGCTTAAAACCAAGTTTGATTCTAAAAGATAATTATTAGATTCACAAAAACTTATTTACTAACTCCTAAAACCCACTCAGAGACCCAACCTGTGCAGGATTGTTGTCATTTCATCTGTAACCCTAAGGTAAGTCCTGATGATTTCAGGGGGAAACTGAGGCATGCAGTGAAAGGATCTCTTAACAGCTTGAAAAAAGGAACCGCCCAACCTGCTAATCATGTCCTGATGTGGCTCAGAGGTCAGCGTCTCAGCCTGATCCTGTGCCTTTGCTGCTCTGGTTTGTTTCAACATCCAGAGAAAGAGAGAATCAACCTGACCTGACGTCCACTCTGAGCGCCACGATGTCGTCGGAGGAGGAAAGTGACAGAAACAAGCATTTCTCTGTGCGTGAGTGTGTGTGTGTGTGTGTTTTCACAACACAGATGGCTCTTTATAGCTCAGGTAGAGACCAGTTTCATGAAAGACCTGCTTGTACTTTCAGGGTCGCACAAGTGATGTAATGACGCGCGACAAACGACAGTAAATTAGATTTTATTTGCAAAAACAAACTAAAACTTGGACAAAACCAACATTTTTTGTTGGTTTTTTTTTTTTGCTCATAGTTTATGCTTCAGCTGCAATATTTTATCTCTTCTAAATCATCACCCAAGTTATGTGAACATTTCACTGATTTTATGAACAGAATCTTTTAAAATAAACTTACCAGCTGTTGTGCATCTCATATAGAAGTTACATCTGGAAGTCCTTCATTCAAAAGGAAATTTCCTCTTAGGAAAAGCCATAAAATAGCATTTTTCTCATCAGAACTGAAGGTTGAAGTGACATGAGATGAGTAAACTGAACCACATCCTCTCTCCTCCTAGTCTCCACCTTTTCCCCAGCCAGCACCTCCCCCGCCACTCCTCCTCTTGCCGTTTCCATCGCTCCTTTCCAACATCTGTCCTCATTCTTAATTCACTTTCAGGTGCTCTGCCTTTCTGCCTGCAGGTCTCATTAAAAGACAGCCAGAGTCAAGAATTCCTGTCACACCTTGATGTTTCTGCCGCCTACAATCTGTTGAGGGAAAGATGCAAGAACCAGTCGCATCCTGCCAATGGGAAGTGGGTTTAATGAGGCAGCAGTACAGATGGTTCTTGTTTTTTTCCTAATTCTGGGGCAGCAGTAGCTCAGGTGGTAGAGCGGGTTGCCTCATGATCGTAGGGTCATGGGTTAGATTCCTTCTTCGCCAGGGGTATCCTGCTGTTGTGTCCTTGGGCAAGACACTTCACCCAACTTGCCTGTGTTAGTGGTGGTCAGAGGGGCCGACGGCGCCAAATGGCAGCCTCGCCTCTGTCAGACCTCCCCAGGGCGGCTGTGGCTACAAGTAGCTTACCATCACTAGCAGTGTGTGAATGTGAGAGTGTGTGAAAGCATCTTTGGGGGTCTTGAAAAGCGCTATATAAGTTCAATGCATTATTATTATTATTATTATTATTATTATTATTAATTCTAACTCCTGAGCTAATTTTTTTAAATTTGGCTTCAAGTTATCATTTAAATGAGGAATGCACTTGCAGAAATAATGCATTTTGTCATTTATTTAAATAACTTAAAATTGCATTTTAAATATTATAAGGGACAATTTAGCCTGATTTACCGGTCGATCTACGTCCCAATCCTCACCTATAGTCATGAGCTTTGGGTAATGACCGAAAGAACGAGATCGCGGATACAAGCGGCCCAAATGAGTTTCCTCCGTAGGGTGGCCGGGCTCAGCCTTAGAGATAGGGTGAGGAGCTCGGACATTCGGGAGGGACTCGGAGTAGAACCGCTGCTCCTCCGGATCGAAAGGAGTCAGTTGAGGTGGTTTGGGCATCTGGTCAGGATGCCTCCTGGACGCCTCCCTGGGGAGGTGTTTCGGGCATGTCCTGCCGGCAGGAGGCCCCCGGGTCGACCCAGGACACGTTGGAGAGGTTACATCTCCAATCTGGTCCGGGAACGCCTTGGGGTCCTGCTGGAGGAGCTGGTGGAGGTGGCCGGGGAGAGGACGGTCTGGAGCTCCCTAGTTGGGATGCTGCCCCCGCGACCTGGACCCTGATAAGTGGAGGAAGATGACGACAATTTAACTTGGTTTCAAGACTGCTGAAAATTTAGCAAACCAGTGGCACCATCAAGAACCGATGATCACCTTTTATCAGTTTACAGGCCAGAAAATCTCACATGCCAAATAGTTTTAATGAATGTAAATGTAAAAGAAGAAGGGAAAGGTTTCAATCCTCTGCCGCATGTTTTTGTTGTTTTCCCGCTCCAACACACCTGATTCAACAGTTTTAATGACCTTTTCAGTATAATTAATTTCTGCAGATGCCTGCAATTCACCCTACTGATTAAAATCCCGTGTGTTGAAGCAAAGAAACCTGTAAAATGTGCAGGATTGTGGCCCTAGAGGAGCAAACACCACTGCTTTTGGTAAAAGTGACAAAAATTGCAGTTCCCCCCTCATCCACTAGAGGCTGGTCCCAGAAAGGAGCAAATTTCCATCGACCCCCATGTTAAAAATGCAAAGTTCACAGCAGAAATAAACATGTTTACAGCCTGGTTCAAACCCATTTCAGGTTTAATAGGTCAAGTTTACAGTCATGACAACTCTGGGGGGGGGGGGGGGGGGGGGGTTCTTTTGTAACTCATCCATTAAAATGTAATTAAAGCATAAAATTATGAATTATTAGGGGCATGACATTTTGATTGACAGGTGTCCGATGAGCATACAGGCTGTAGCTTGCCCCACTGCAAGGCCTCACATTAAAAGTGCCACAGCCTAGAGGGCAAAGCGTAGCAGAGATGCTTAGCCACGGTTTTCTAGCTAAAAGCACTAGCCCACCTATGTTAGCTTTGGTTAGCTCAATTAGCTTGTAGCTACATCTGCTCAGATTTTGATTGGTGTCAATCATCTGCCCCCACCCTCAGCTCCATTTTTTCCCCCACGTGACGTGGCCAAGATAGCAATAGTATGAACAACCCACTGGGCTTCAGTTCAGCTCTTCAGAAACCTATAACGCTACAGAGAGTCCCTCCATTAAGCACATTATTATACATACAGTATAAGGTGGGGGTCGGCAACCCGCGGCTCTGGAGCCGCATGGATTCTCCTCAGACGGCTCCTGGATGTGTCGCCACACTGGAGACAGGAACAAGCGCTATTCAGCCAAAGTTTCATAATCAGGGAACATTTTCTAAGTGACAAGTCTCGCTTCAGTGGGAGGAATCTTCCTGCATGCGCTCTGGTTCTGCAACGCGCTCCAAGCCCCTCTCCACATCTTACGCGCTGACAGTGAGCTGTGCTGAGCAGTGTCCAGCTCAGATGTTCAGATGGGAATCTTTTCTTGAGTGATTTAGCTACATCTGCGATGTGCGAAACGATTAAAATGTCAGTTCGTCTGCATGCGTCGGGGTGATTCTTTCTATTCTTTCTCCGTCAAAATAAACGGTCAAATACGGGAACTGTCCGGTCAACACAAGCCCTGCTTTTAACTGTTCTGTTTTCTTGTGAAAATTGTTGCAAAGAGATAAAATTTCACTCGATTACCACCAGAGCTAGGCGCACTGCGCCGTTGAAAACAAAATGATCGGATCCTTTCTGACCTTCCCCACCTACAAAGTTTAATTACAACAATCAAACGTGACAGAGCCTGGATTTGTATTCTGAACAGTCTAAACATGTTTTAAAAAGAAACGTATGACAAAAGTGGCACCTGCTCAGTAAAACCACCAACAGGGTGAAAAATATCAAAATATTGTAGGCATTGACGGGCTACAACTTCTGGATCCATTTTATATAAATCGTTTTATTGATTATCGTCTTATGAAAGATAACTTTGATGTACACGAGCGACCGGTACCGGCTGCTGTCACCTGTTGTGATTGGTTAAAGCAGCTCTCTGCATGTATAAACAATCGACATCCATCAGGTAGCAGCTACGCCACTCACCTGCAACCTATACACTTCCTGCAAAGCTAGCCTGGTTTAAAACATAAAACCTGAACCAGCCACTAGACCGTTTTAGACAAATAACATAACTTTGGGATGTTTAGATTGGGCTGCAACATAAATAGACTTTAATTCATTAGTGCAACCCCTTATATCTGATTTATATAAACATCTGATCGAGATAATATTCCAAGCTTCCAATTTTTGTTTGATTTAAAAAAATAACAATTTAATCCTACCAATAAATATCTGAAATAATTAAAATATCATACATTATTGTTATAACTAAATAAAAATAAAAATGTCGTTGCTGTAGCTCAAATAATAAGGTAAATGGTCTGTATTTGTAACGCGCCTTCTCAGGGTTCTACAACCCCCCAAGGCACTTTACAACACCATCAGTCATCCACCCATTCACATGTTGGTGGGGATGAGCTTCAATGTCACTACAGCTGCCCTGATGGTGCACTGACAGGGGCAAGGCCTGCTGAACACCGGTCCCACCGACCGTCTTGCTCAAGGACACAACAGCAGCATTCTCGAACCTGCCACCTCCTGCTGTCCCTAATAGTTTGAAACAACAGTTAGGTTTCTGGATTACCAGTAAGATTTTAAAAAATACAAAAAAGACTAAAATAGCTTTTAGCGGCGTTTGTAGTTTTAAAGTTTATTGCATCTTTTCGCCTGAAGGTGGCGCCAAATTCACAAGAAACAGGGGAGAAGCAGAGCAAACAAAGACTTTATTTACATCTGTTGGCTTACAAAAAGTGGAATGTGCACAGTAAGAGAAGACTTATTTTCTTTTGCTCATTTGCAGAGAATGCAGCAGAATTTCTTGATGGTGAACATTTAGATTAGGGTGCCGGTTGTGTTCAGGTGTGCTTTGTGAGTTTTGTGCTCAACTGAGGCAGTGTTTTGCTTTCAGGAGAATAAACCCAACAGAATCGTCCACTGCAACTCAATCCTGCATTTCCTTTTCTTTCTTTTTCAGTTTTATGGTTACTCACGGCTTTGTAAATCTGCGGATTTAAAAACAAAGAACATGCGGTGCTGCAAACAAAACCAGACAAAAACGTTTTCTTTTGGAAAATTCAAAGTGCAATAATCTGGAAAAATGTATAAACGTGTTTTAAAACTGTGACGTTACGAGATGTTTTAATTATTTCCATCAATACCGACACAAAAACAGATCTGGGCAGTAAAAATAAACATGACAGTGGGAAGTAAAAACAGCTGGAACATTTACATTAGTTTAGAAATATTGTAAAATTACTGTTGGGGGTTCAAGTTGGATTTAATTGTAAACATTTTAAAATAATTAGTTGGTTTAACTTGATGAGAAAATTTGCTACACATGAAAAATGAAGCATTTAGATACAAGTGATGAAATGTGAAGTCCCACATTTTATTTTTTACCGCTAGGGATTCATTTAGGTGTTAGGAACAGTTTTATCAGCCCTGTAGAGCATTTTTACATAAACACGTTTATTTCTCTTTCCACTTTTATCAAACAAACCCTTAAAAACTACTCGATACCACTGACAAAGACAGAGCGAGGCTTTCCCCCGGAACATCTGAGATAACTCACAAGCTTGTTGTCTGCTGGTGTTATTTTTATGTTTCCCAGGAGCTGTTACAGATATAATTTCACGCCTGCGCCCACCGTAACATGTAAGACTCAAACAGAGCTTCCCGCTAAGCGCTTCCAACTGTCAGCGCTCATTTTGTCCACGTCGCCGTGGAGAAACCGCCTCCTCCGCTTCAGAGTTAACCTCCTGGCAGCCGCGGTGGAGGATGTTAAGGAACGTGTGCACAGAAAGAAGAGCGGTGGAGTGAAGTGTGGGTGGCTGAAGATAATCTCTCAGACACTGTAAGGTGTCGTGTTGCCATCAGACGTTGTTGCCAGGCAACAGAACCTTCAGAGGCTTCCTCCAGGTGGTAACTAGGTTACCCCGTGTCGGTGCTTTGCTGAATTTTGACAGCAAAACATTGTCCCTCCTCATGTTGGTCACCAACTTGAACCAGCTGGAGTGGTGGAACGACGGAGCCCCACCCAGGCGGCTGGTTTAGGGGTCAGAGGTTATACCAGCTCATCCAGTAGAGTCCCTATGCTGTGATGCTGCTCGGGGGGGCCGGCTATGGGTTTATTGCACATGGGGCAGACGCAGCGCACCTCCAGCCACTTCACCAAACACCTAAAAGAGAAGAAACAGACACAAACTGAACTAATTGGACATAAATGAGCTCCTGCTGATGGCGACACACATACAGCAGGGGAAAAGGGTGGTGCTGTGAAGCTGATGCATTACTCTGCACTTTGCATTCTGGGAAACTGGAAGTTATTTTAACAAAAAAAGCACTAAACTGTTATAAAGCTTGTCCATCTCACTTGGTTTTAATTAGATTATGTAAAATTCTGCTCTTTCTACTTATTCCGCGATCCACTGATTTCCCTCTTTCATATTCATTTTCTCTCTCCCTTCCCTTACATCATGTTTTTTATCACAATTTTTATTTTATGTATTTATTTTCTCATTTTAAACCTATTTTTTAATCACTTTTGAAATATTCTTTATACTTTAATTGTTTTTAATTTTGTTTATGTGAAGCGCCTCAGGATTTTTATCTTGAGAGACGCCGTGAGATCGTTTTCGTTCTTTTTCTTTCTTTCTAATTTGAATTTGAATTTCAGACAAGCTCGTCTTCCACTTTCCCAGAATGCATAGCAGTTCATAAAATAAGTAAGTGGTACTTTTACAGGAAACGTTTTATACATGTGTTAAGTGTTGGGCAAGTTACTTCAAAACTGTAATGCATTATTTATTACTTGTTACCCTCATTTTAAAGTAATTCATTACATTACAATATTACTGATTTTAAAATGTAAGGCATTACACTACTTTTGCATTACTTTAAGTTACTTTCACCAAAACAACTTCAGTATGAATCTGGTCATGTGACGCTCAGTGAGCTCATGACATATATGTGGAAGGTGATGTGGTGTCTGAGCTAGGGTTGCTGTTAAAATCAGTGAGATATAATAACAGTGCTTTAAAATGATTGTTTATTAAATAAAAGCAACAACAATCTGTACTCTCAGCACGCTGACATCTTATATTAACTGAGCAGGGAGTGAGGTGGTGGGGGCTCCAAGCCTATATTTGCCTTGGTCCCCAAATGCCTTGATACGGCCCTGGATGTGGGACTGGCTTCTGGTGTGATCTGATTCTATCACATGTATAAATATTAAATGCTTATATATTATTGCTTTTCACTGGTAAAAATGTGTATTGGGGATAAATCTAGCTACTTTTTTTTCTTTTCAAGCACTTTGTTTTGTTTTCTTGATTTCATTTGAATAATTTCCGACCCTTTCTCTCTCTAACCTTCCTGCATGCTGCATCTTTTCTCCGTCTTCCAGAAAAACTGTTTCCTAGATTTCCTGCTTTCTAACTAATCAGCCAAAGGGATCTACAGAACGCAAAAATATATATATTTTAATATGTGCTGCGCTCCAGCAGCTATTAGTTGAAATCACCGGGGCACAGATTATGAACTCAGCTGAAAAGTACATGAAGTACCAGAGAATATGGGCTGATATAAACGATTGCAAACGAATGACTTTGTTTTGGTGGAGCGATTTTGTGAATATAACAGCGGCCGCGCGCAGGACGCAGCTGGAGTGTTTGAGCCATCACCGCTGCGTCCTCTCTGCTCATAGAATGCCCGCAAAGCTGAGTCCATAAATTACGTCATATATGTGGATACTGGATCTTTTTTCAGGCTTCCCGCGATTTGAACTTTTAGGAACCCCACATCTTGATTCTGGGTTTAAAAATGCGTTGTAATTACCGCGTTACTGACAACTGTACCGAGTAAATATTACCATTTTCTTTCCCTGTAATGCCTTACATTACCACATTACAGCAAAAAGCAATGCATTACAGTAATTAATTACTTTTGTACCGCATTACTCCCAAAACATATTTCCTGAGTCTGTGCTGGTTGCTACATAGTTATAGGAAAGAAAAGCTACTAAATATACGAGACATAAACCCTGACCCACTAATGTAAACCACAACGAGTCAATACTTTTAGCTAGATGTAAAACTCTGATGAGTTCTGGAACAGACACCAGACTGGCTAGTTTGTATCTTGACTCCTTTAAGAGGATTTCCCCCTGATTCCCCAAAGTGAGATGGTTTTGTTTGCTTTCTACTGCAGGTAATATGCGTACGACTCATATCTATGTTGTGTAATCTGGATGAATTAGACCACCTTTAAGAAACTGTTTCACAAAAAAATAAATAATACATGAAAACCATATTCTGTCTTTGGGAGTCCATTTTTAGAATCCTAAATCTTCAGTATGCAGATGTATTTCCCCTGCAGGATCTCAGGACCAGTCATGTCGGCGGTGATAAACCGAGCACCAGACCCTCCCCTCTAATCGTGAACTGGAAATCGCAGCACGATGACACGAATGAGTGATGAGGACCCTTTTGATCTCTGAACTTCAGACCAAGCTTGACAGTTTTCACTTGGGCAAGCCTCAGCAGGTGCGAGGTGCAAACAAGCATGAAGAAAGTCCCGTTTGTGCTCCACTCACTTCCTGTGGAAGGCATGTTGGCATGGCAACACTCCGAGCTCGTCTTTCACTTTGAAGTCCTCCAGACACACGGCGCAGGTCTGCTGCGTGAGTGAAATCAGACAGTATGAATCGATCACTGGTCAGTTTAACGCTCCCGCTGCTCGTCCGAATCAGTTGCAAACACAAACTTACCCCATGAAGACTTGATTTTTTAGGATCGCCTTTTAAAACCACCTGAAGGATTAGAAACACGTTTGAATATTTGTTCAAAGGTACAATATTATGGTGCTAAATATGACTCAGTCCTACCTCTCTGTATCCAAACCGCTCACTCTGTGCTTGGTGCCGTAGTTTGCTGTAAGCAAGAAGGAATCAAATATTAAATAATTCACATTTCGTAGAAAACTGATTGAGGACATTCTCTTTAAAGGGACTTTACGGACTTTTGAATTTTTATGCTCGCGATTATCCCCTCAGGCCAAAAGCGTAAAGGCAGCTTCAATAGTAGGCTCGTGCACGAGGCGCGCATGCTGTACGTGCACACTCCTTAACGAAAATAACAGCTGAGACAGTCCCTTGTGTGTGTGTGTGTGTGGCCCGGAGGACAGAGGACAGGAGAACACACAGCTAATTAATTAAATAATTTGGTTCTGTAGCTTTCTCTTCAGCACAGCCGACAAAGGTTTATGATGGGTCAGTCCTCCTGCATGCTCAGATCATTCCCTTCCCTTGCTTGAAAAATTGTTCCAATATGAAAGTTGAACCCACATCTTTTTTATCTGTGAATTCAATGCCGTTCGGCGAGTCTCAAATAAAAATTTGGGCATCTTACTGTAAAAAAATATACCATTAATGTAAAAAAGAAACTCTAAATAAACTATGTTCACATCCAGAATCAAACCCAGGTGTTCTGCATGGGAGTCAGACATCTTACTAGAGCCCTTTTCAGACAGACATTCTGGAACATTTGCGGACAATTCAATCCGGTTTTTAACCGGAACTGTGCTTTCAGACACACCACTTTTGTACCGGAACTTGTCCTTTCGGCTGCGTTCACACAGCAGGGAAAAGTTCCAGATGTCTGACGGCTGCGGGGGGTGGGGTGGGGTGGGAATCGGACTTAAGTTAAGAAGAAGAAGAAAATATCATTTCTATAGCGCCTCTCAAGATAAAAATCACGAGGCGCTTAAGCATAATTCTGCACACACGAAGAAGCATAAGAGACCTGGATGATGAAGCTCAATGGTTAAAGGAATCACTGAAGCGGTGTGAAGCGCTCCATCGCGCGTCTAGGTGGTACCGTACGAGGCGAGCTGCCGTGGTTCGCCGCATGCTACAGCAGCGGGCTATCTAGGTGCGCACAGCGTCCCCCGGTCCCCTGCTCCTCCCCCTCCCTCTTGTCCGGAACTTAACCTCACCAGTCTGAAGCAGCCAGCCTGTCCGTAACAAGTCCGGACCTGTTACTAGGGGCTTCGTCCGGATAAATTCCAGAACACGTTATCCGGATGTTTGTATTCAGACAGAAAGGTCTTACGGACAGAGTCCGGAACATTTCCGTTTTTCATGGCCTGTCTGAAGGGGGCTTAGGTGAGCTACACTCTAGTAACATTCACAGTATCTGTAACTTTTATATCCTCGATGACAGCTGAAACAACGTTCAAAGAACGGTTCAAAGCGAAAATGGCTATTTTGTTGCTAATTTGCAGGAAATATCTAGAAGAAAGTTCTACAGAAAGTAGCTAAGGGTCCTCAGAAATGTAGCTAGCTTTGTCACTAGGCGTTAGGAACAGCGACAAAGTGGCACTGCCTCTCTCTCTGCTGCTAAAGCTACGGATAGCAAATGCTACGGGCGATGCCTGAGCGTGAACGCGCATGAAGCAGCCTGCTCGACCCGAGCATCTCTCTTTTTCTGTGATTTTACAGAAAAACAGGCAATCACAGTAAAAATGCCAGGGCTCATTCTACAGGACCAGGGCATTGCAGGAGAATGTATGAAGAAGAAATTTATTATTGCTATACATGTTTTGGCTGTCACACTTCCATAATGTCCCTTTAATGGAAAAATTTGGTTAAATTTTAACACACAAAATAAATTAGGGCTATATTAAATTAGCAGAATTTTTGCATTAAATAAAATTTTAACATACTATTTGTGTTTTTAAACCAGTTTTGTGCCAAATCATTGGATTGATTACTCACATTTAACTTTGGATTGATAGAATGAGAATTAAAAGTCATAAATTATAATTGTCTTCTCAAAAAGTCACGGGTTGAACACACACTTCAGAAGTGTAGCAAGTGTACTTGCAAAACACACACACACACACACACACACACACACACACACACACACACACACACACACACACACACACACACACACAGAGCTAATGAGTATTTAGGCTCTTTGAATCTCCACTCCACCCTCCAAAAACCAACAATGGAGAGCAGATTTTTATCTCTTGGCCCACCGCTTCTGTCCACAAGGTTATTTTGGGCTTTTTGTTTTTACAAAACTAAACTTAGACGCAAATATCAGTCAAAATTTGCAGTTTGGGCCCGAAACTAAACACAGCATCTGAGATGTGATTCGAAAAGCAGAATAATTAAAAAAATGCATCAGAAAAAGTCAGAGAAGCCGAAGTGAGGAAGTAACAGTTGATAATTGCTTTGGTAAGCTGGTTTGTTGTTGACACAGACGGGTGCTTACAGCGTTCCATGTGAACAATATGAGAATACACGCTTTACATCTGTCGAGTTTCCCAAGGATGGAAAAGTTATAATGTCATTACGGTTTAGAAGTTTTCACTTTAATTTATTTTCCTTTACAAGTTTGTTAAAACACACTTCCTCATTTATAATTTTTAGCCATTTTAAAGAATCGTTTTTTATTTTCCAAATAAATCGTCATTTATTTTGTTTGTCTGCCCATAAACCATCATATTGTAAAGGAGCAAATGGATAAGAAACATGCTAATAGTACAAATTTATTAAAAAGCTGCCTCGTTACTCATATGCAGCTTCCCACAACAGGGCATGCACAGCAGGCACGTTCTTTTCAGCACAACTGTTCAAATGTGCCCCACCAAAAGAAAAATTCACCAGCCGCCACTGTTAAGGGTCAGGTCCAAGGTAGACAGCCCACCTAGCTCGACTCTAAAGAACAAAAAGGAAATATAAGAATTTACTAGAAACCTACTTGACTGATGACACAGAAAAAGAGATTTATAAAATCCTATTTTATACATTTAATTTTGCACTTAGTTTTATATTCACAACTTTTAAATCTTGACCTAAGCATTTAAAACATTTGATGGATCGAACCAACCATAGGATTTTAGATTTGCTCACTCTCTTATTTTTAAATGTTTCATCTTTAAATAAATAAATAAAAACCTAATAAATGCTTTTCTCCTTAATTATTCTTGATTAGTCAGACAGATCTCTTCACTGGATTAAACCACTGACATTTTATTAAAGCTCGGGATTTGTTAGATTATGTGATAAAAAAATTGATAATAAACCAAATAAGAAAAATATTTCATTTAAATGCTAATTAAAACTAATAATAAATCAAACTCTCTGGTTCTTTGTTCTCCTCTGACTAATCCTCCTCTCAGTCCTCAAGCCTCAACTCTTTTCTCGTCCTTAAAGGGACTGTAAGGAAGTTTGAAGTTTTTGTGCTCGCGATCGCCACTCAGGCCTAACGCGAAACTGCAGCTTCAAAAGTAAGCTCGTACATGAGGTGTGCACGCTGTACGTGCACACTCCTAAACAAAAATAACAGCTGAGACAGTCCTGTGTGTGTGTGTGTGTGTGTGTGTGTGTGTGTGTGTGTGTGTGTGTGTGTGTGTGTGTGTGTGTGTGTGTGTGTGTGTGGCCCGGAGGACAGAGGACAGGAGAACGTGCAGCTAATTAATTAAATAATTTGGTTCTGTATCTTTCTCTTCAGCACAGCCAACAAAGGTTTATGATGGGTCAGTCCTCCTGCATGCTCAGATCATTCCCTTCCCTTGCTTGAAAAATTGTTCCAAAATGAAAGTTGAACCCACATCTTTTTTATCTGTGAATTCAATGCCGTTCGGCGAGTCTCAAATAAAAATTTGGGCTTCTTACTGTAAAAAAATATACCATTAATGTAAAAAAGAAACTCTAAATGAACTATGTTCACATCCAGAATCAAACCCAGGTCTTCTGCATGACAGTCAGGCATCTTACTAGGTGAGCTAAAGCACCAATGATGTTGAATGTATCTGTAACTTTTATATCCTTGATGACAGCTGAAACAACGTCAAACCAAAGAACGGTTCGAGGTGAAAATGGCTATTTTGTTGCTAATTTGCAGGAAATATCTAGAAGAAAGTTCTACAGAAAGTAGCTAAGGGTCCTCAGAAATGTATCTAGCTTTGTCACTAGGCGTTAGGAACAGCGACAAAGTGGCACTGCCTCTCTCTCTCTGCTGCTAAAGCTACGGATAGCAAATGCTACGGGCGATGCCTGAGCGTGAACGCGCATGAAGCAGCCTGCTCGACCCGAGCATCTCTCTTTTTCTGTGATTTTACAGAAAAACAGGCAATCACAGTAAAAATGCCAGGGCTCATTCTACAGGACCAGGGCATTGCAGGAGAATGTATGAAGAAGACATTTATTATTTCTATACATGTTTTGGCTGTCAAACTTCCTTATAGTCCCTTTTAACTCTGCACACTTCTCTCAGAGAGGTCTCAATTATTCCATCTTAAATTGGCCTGGTCTCAACAGGTTTTCAGACTGAAGAGGGTTAATTATTACAGCTAAAGGCAGAGAAGTCCTCATAGTTAGGCACACAATGACTGGGTTTGGATAAACTCCTCGAGGCTTCAGCTTTTTTTCAGAAACATTTCTCTAAATATCATTTCTTTTCTTTGTAAAAGCAAAATTGAAATCTGAGAATTGCAAACTAATTCCAGACGACAGCGTTCTTATTGATTCTGATGAATCACCTGCTCTATAAATGGCTTCACAATCTCATGTCTGTCCAATATTATGTTCAGCTTGATAATAGAGCCACAGGAAGTGACTCAAGAGGTTGTGATTCATCGGCAAGCGCCAGATAAACGAAAGGGATGTGAACTGGTTGTGACAAAGATCGTGGTCGAAGCTCAAGTTTACAGTCACTTGAAGTCTAATGCTAACAGGATCTGACACGGAGTTGAACCTGTTAATGAGTTTTTATATCATCTATTTAAAAATCACTCTTAATCTGATTTTCTTTTTAAATGAACAATGTCCCTAATTACTTTCAATTAAACATTTTAAAATTGATGTTAAAGCCACTTGGAAAGAAAGATTATTTTCTGTTTACTGACTTTTGCATTAAAAATCTAAATACATCTCAGCTTTTCTACTTACCAGCATGAAAGGTCATTGGAAAGAAAACGTAAAATGTTAACATAGCACAGTAAATAGAGATTTCTGGCTAAAATTTGTGATGGGAACCAGCATGGAGCAGCATCTTTTTGGACAAATAAACAGGAAAAGTTTGGGTTGCGACGCTTATGTATGGAGAGAAACAAGGCTCAAAAGATCTGTGCATGTGTAACTAGAATTGTTAGTGTAACAAGATCTGTGCGTACGTAATTAAAAGATCTGTGTGTGTGTGTGTGTGTGTGTGTGTACCTATACCTAAATAATAAACTACATGCGCACAAATCTTGTTACACACACTCAGATCTTTGGAGGTTTGTTTCTCCCCATACTTAACATACTGAACTTCGCAACAATACGTGAACATAGCTTTAAATCTAACTTTGAGTTAAAATGTTAACAATTTTTCCATTTACTGGTTAAATATGAGCTTGAAATAAAATAATCTACCCATGCTATAATACAGGAAACAAGATGATCAATTATTTTTGGACAGAAAACTGGTCCTTGTGTTCCAGCTGACAGATATTTCCAAAACTCTGACACTTTCTGCCTACTTCTGAAAAGGATTTCAAAATCCCAGACTAAAATATCACACAGCAACACAAAACGTTTAACAGTTTACTAAATACAGAGTCTCCCAGAGCCAGCTCCGGATCAAACACAGAACCCTCCTCCTTCTGCAGGTGTTGCTGTTTCCTGGTGAGCTTTTGTATGTGTGAGGGTTTTGTGTGCTCCCACTGCGTGGGGTTATTCTGAGCTCACTGCTGTCCTCACACACCGTGACAGGCGGCTTCCTGTTGCCTCACATCCCGTCCTTCTAACACACACAGCTCATCAGGGAGCTTGGTCAACAGCAGAGGAGGTCAGTGTGTTCCTCTTGGCTTTGTGTTTTTATTTTTACTTAATGCATTTCTGTCACACACACACACACACACACACAGACACACACACCGTTTCTCAGTGTGAGTCAAGAGGAATGACTGCTGATTTCCAGATAATTTTTTTTTTTTTGCTTAGTCAAATGTTTCTATTAGTTTCTGCGTTGTGATCAAAACATGTCAAAATGAGAATTTCCTGCATGGTAATAAAAATATGCAAAACATATAATATAAATATCTTTAGTAATGGTTTAATTTACATGTTATTTAATGAGCCATAAGACATAAGATTCCATAGTAAATATGAAATCAACCTTATGGATCTGTGGGTACTGTTTAACCAGAAGATTGGAACTTTTTATTGCAGGGATTAGATAACAACCTCGTATTCACTCAGAGACAACAGAAGAGAGAGTCAAGTTTTAAAAGTTTAAAGATTTATTACTAAACAAATTAAACTAGACTGACTTTAACACTAAATGTATGGTGTAACTAAGGTGAATGAGACGGAGAATGGTGTGATGTGGAATGTTGTTCAGAACCAGCAAATCCGAAGAAACGATTAGTTCTGGTGGGAAGTGAAGGTGATGTCTTCGCGCTAAGCTTTGGTTAGGAGATTCATAAACACATTCGACACCATTCTGTCGGTCTACATACCCTTGTGGAAGTCCCCGTTAGATCAGGAATGTCGAGGTCCAGCTTGACCCTCTCTGGAACCGAAGCCGGTAGGAAAAGCAGCGGTTGCCGACCAGACCAGTCTTTGAGATACTTCCGGGTCACGACAGTTTATCGGCATCTAGCGAGACCCAAAACGGGGTCGTGATGGTTCAGCTTTTATTCTGAAAGGAACCGTTGCAGCAGGTGGAACAGCAACAGATTTTATCCAGCTTGTCGTTGGTTCTTTCGGCTGAAGAGGAAAGTTACAGATTGGCCACTCCGACAACTTCTCTAGAACACTTTGAACTGGCGTTAAAGATGGCGTGGGCATAGTTTTATACTTCGGATGTTTTGGTTTATGGTCGAATGAAAAGATGACAGATTTACCAAACACCACCAAAACCACGCCTCCGTCAGATCTGGCAGATTCTGATTGGATCAGTAAAACAATGTGTCGTGTCTTAACGCTACGTGAGATCAGTCCTAGTGGAAACATTTAAAGTCATATTACTTATTATATTCTATAGGATTATAATAAAGTAATTAATATTTTGATTTCACAGATTCTTTCTATTGACTAACACTTTGTTTGATTAGCTTTATTAAAATAGAGTTCTTTGATTTATTAAAAGGAGAGAGTCCATTCTTCATTCTTCTCTTGAGCTGGAAAGAAGCAGTTTATGACAAATGCATGAGACCTTGAGGCCATATCTCCTGCAGACTAGTTCTGTGTCAGAGGCATCTGTGGAGAGAGGGTAAATAACCTTCGGTGGAATAGCGCCTCCATCACGTTACACTTTCCACAGAAAAACTATATCAACGTTCTGCTGGCTCAAAAGACCTGCAGAGACTCAATAGTTGGGGCGCGATAGTTCTGCTGTAAAGCTGATATTTGGGCCATTTTTCGTGTTTTCAAAGAAAATCTACAATTTATTTCTTTCAAGAGAACCTCACGATGGATTTGTTCACAAACAATGCATAGCAGTATACAATCTACAAAATTGGTCTTTTCAAAATTTCATTAACAACAAAAGACCCACATTTCTATTTGAGTTTCCACCCACCTGATGAAATAGCAGCAAAAGATGAGGCTCAAGATGAAGACGAAGATGCCGGTCCCAAAGATGACCATGTAGATGTTGAGAGGCAGATCCTGGAAGGTGATGGGCGGCATGGCGCACGACTTGTTGGAGTAAACCAGTCCCAGACCACAGAAGCACCCTGAACAAAAGACACACTAGATATTTTAAGGGATATTTACCTAAAATATAAAGCGATTTAAACTTGAAAAACATCCTCATCGCTGTAGAGCTGCTGCCTGCAGACAATTCTGAGCTCTGATTGGTTGAAGAGGACCACAGAGGTTAACCTGAATCAGGTGTTTTGGGGTTAGGGTTAGGTCTCACCGCAGTTCCTTGCATACTCCACTCACAACACACTCATGTATTTAGCGACAGAACGCCATTAGCGTGAGAGGTTCATGGATCAATAACATCAGGGAAGGAGAAACAGCCGGCTGCATCAGCTTCAACTTTAGGCAAACTACCAGAGTCCCAAAGAGAAAAACACTATTTGAGGTCACGGACAACAAAAGACATTTGAAGAGAAATAAGTCATTCAGAAAATATAACAAGACACAGATGAATATCAAAAAACTGGAATATGGAGCAAAAGTTCATTTATTTCAGTAATTCAACCTAAAAGATGAAACTAATACATGAGATAAACTCGTGTCACTCGAAAACCAGCCAATGAATCCAAAACACCTGCAAAGGGTTCCTGAGCCTTTACATGGTCTCTCAGTCTAAGCTGAATTACTGAATGAATGGACTTTTGCACCATTTTCTCATTTTTTTAAGTTTCATCTGTCAGATCGGGGTCAGTGAGTTGGTAAACGGGAGCTGAAGCAACACTGATCACCATCAGTTAATAACACTTATTTCTGTGTGTCGAATGGGAAAACCACTGCAGACTGGCAGTTTTTTTTTCCATTTCTATCAAAACACACAGGCTCTATACAGACGGCTTCACCCGGGAGACAAGGTAATAATTCAAGTTTCAATTCAAGTTTATTTATATAGCGCCAAATCACGACAAGAGTCGTCTCAAGGCACTTCACATAATAAACATTCCAATTCAGGACAGTTCATTAAGCCAATCAGAAATAATGTTTCCTATATAAGGAACCCAGCAAATTGCATCAAGTCACTGACTAGTGTCAGTGACTTTACAGCAATCCTCATACTAAGCAAGCATAAAGCGACAGTGGAGAGGAAAACTCCCTTTTAACAGGAAGAAACCTCCAGAGAATCCGGGCTGAGTATAAGCAGCCATCCTCCACGACTCACTGGGGATGGAGAAGACAGAGCACACACACACACACGCACACACACACACACACACACACACACACACACGCACGCACGCACGCACGCACACACACACACACACACACACACACACACACACACACACACATACACATACACACACACACACACACACACACACACACACACACACACACACACACACACACACACACACACACACACACCAGAGAGCGCTCTGCTGTTACTGGGTGGAGATCTGCAGACTCGTGGTCTTTAATGGCACCAAAGCAGCTGGTGTGAGAGGTCATTTCTGTCCACTGCAGTAGACTTTTATAATCCCTCCTTCCCGCTTGTTCTCTTTTTTATAGCAAACTGAATTGGTCCGATTTCATGTTTTGAGATTATTAGAGAATCAAAAAAATTCACCTGAAAGAAAAACATCACCCAACTGGTCTCCTTTATGGATGTGAGTGTTCGGTTCATCTGTTTTTATCCGTGCAAGAAATGAAAGACAACTCCGAACATATGGATGGACAGATATACGAAGGACACATGAGACATGAAGACATGTTTGTTTACACAAAGAAGCCAGCTGATCAAACACTACTTTCCTGCAGCAGTGCATAGGGATGGGTACCTTTGACATTTGAATCGATTCGGTACTAATTCCCGGTACCTACGAATCGATACCGGTACTTAACGGTACCAATTTTCGATAATTTTGAGTGTTTAATATTTTTAATTCTCTTTTATAATTAAATATATATTTTTCTCAATATATAACCATATTTGATAAATATCACAATAAATAACATTCAACTGTTTGTATTTTAACATCGTCCTTGTAGTTTTATAAGCTGATAATTAAACTGAAGCAAACATCTTTACTGTGAACTAAATTTACTGTGTATCTTCATTCCTTTTGCCGTCCTTTTTCATTTGATTTTTCCTACTGGGAAGATAGAATTTCCAAGGAGAAAGCGAATGCACCATTAGATGATAACAATGGTGGCATAGGAAGCTAATTTATCAAGCTAACGTTATCTTAAACAGTTTATTTAGCTGCTGGAGCAGATTAAAACGATGATGCCTCACACTTAGATCGTTGTCGCTGGTTTCATCTTCACCCAATCACCCGTCGCATTTAGTAAAGTGAAGCCAAACTTTAGAGCGCGTTCATGTTCTTCTAGTCGGAAATTCGGAGTTCCGAGGTGAAAGCGAACGCACCATTAGCAAAACGGAAGCTAACAAATCAAGCTAACGTTATCTTAAACATTTCATTTACCTACCGGAGCAGATTAAGATGAGGATGTCTCACTTAGATCGTTGTCGCTGGTTTCATCATCACCCAGTTACCCATCACATTTAGTGAAGTGGACCCAAGCTTTAGCGTGCGTTCTTTCTACCATGCTGCTCTGTTTACAACACGCTTGCAACGAGCGACGACATAACGCTCTTGCGCATGCGCAGCTGTCTAGGCAAGTTGTCGTTATGAAGGACGGGTACCGAAACGAGGGACTGTTCCAAATGACGTGAATCGGTGCTAGGTCGGTACTGTGGAATTCGGTCGGTACCTTAAAAAGCACCGAATTCGGTACCCATCCCTAGCAGTGCATAGTATTTACGCAGAATACTTAGTTACTCCTTGGATAGCTAAAGTGAGTTAATGGCTGAGAGTCAATCACACGCCATCCTTTAAATTGGGCATGTCCAAAATGCGGCCCGGGGGCCATTTGTGGCGATCTGAGAGATGTTGTGCGGTCTCTAGCATTTCTCGAATGGTAGAATTTTATCTCTTTCAGATATTTTTAATGTAGATCAACATTTTAATGTTCAGATTTATACTAATATGTCTATTTTAAGCCTTATGGAGGAGTATTTAAAAAATAACAGTTTTTGTATTGAAATAAAGCGCACATTTGTGGCCTGCGATAGTGTCGTGTGACGATCTACCAAAGCTCGGAGATTGTAGAACTGTGTATTTGTGTTCTATCACCTGTGTCATTTTCTCTGGACACGTCTACAGGCACACATTTTTTTCTCAGCCGAGTCACGCTATTTGCTAGTCTGCTTCTGTCTGCACAACAGACACAGCGATTAACCAATCAGAGCAATTTTAAAGCAGTGTGTTGTTTTGTTTAGCTGGAGTGCTCAGTAGAGCTTAGGAAAATGATCTAATAATTGATGCATTAAGATGCGAACATAAACGATTATGAATCTTTGAAGAAGCACACCATACTTGATTATAGCAGCTAGCTGCTAGCATTAGCCACTAGCTTGCTCAGCGGTCGTTACACGTATTCTCACGCGTCTGCTCGATCAGGGAACCTCTGGGTCAATGCTCTGCTCTAAACTTTGCATTTGGCTTTGTGGCTTTTATTATTTGAGGATGTTTGTTCGTGTTTTAGCGAGCCGCTTCACGGTGGCTGGCTGGCTGCCAACTGGAGCTCTGTTTATGCCAAACCCCTCCCCCATATAGTCAGGAAACCTCTACGGAGAGCAGTTAGGCACAAATATATATATATATATATATATATATATATATATATATATATATATATTATAATAAGGTATTATATAAGATACTAAGAGTGTGATAAGGAGTGGTTTTAAAACTTATTTTCCTAAGCTGAAGAGGAGATGAGACCACTTCATAATGCTTTTATAGTTAGAAAATCAAAATAAGGAGGTGATGATGTAGCGTTATCATGCTGTTTTATTTGGTCTTGCATCTGAGATTCCACTCTCTAAAATAGAATATTGGGTTATGTGTAAAAAAATGTTGGAGAGCTATATTTGTGTGTGTTTGTGTCAGTGTACTAAATTTACATTAGAGTACCGTAATTTCCGGACTAGAGCGCACCTTAATATAAGCCGCACCGGGCTAAAAGCCGCAGGTATCTACTGAATTGAAAACGTAGTTTAACTGAACGTAACTGAACTGATCAGTATCAATCAAAAACAGAAAAGTTATTGATTAGTTTATTCATCGTCCTCCTGCACACTGAAACCACTGAAGACATCTTCTTCAGTGTCGGAGCTGAACAGCCTCAGAAGAGCTTCGTCACATACCTTTTCTGTGGCGATGTCAGTGTCGCTGTCCGTGTTGCTGTCATCATCCCCGGGTGAAGCTGGGAAAATGAGCAGCGTCGTTTTAGTGTGAAAAAAATCCTCCTGGGCGCTTTCCGTAGCCCTCCTTTAACCATTCCTTCATTAGACTTTCCAGCATCCATCCTTTCTGGTTGACTAATGGGCTCGACACACGGGAGGCGACATCGCCTCTCCTCCATTCATTTTCACTGAGACATGCGCGACTAAGCGATAATCGCGGGTCTCCATCCTACAAAGCGAAATGCGAAAAACGTGCGTGTGAAATTTTGCACTCGTGCACGTGTCGTGCACGGCCGACCCAGCGACGCAATCCCAGAAAGTTGAAACATTTTCAACTTTTCATCACTGTCGCTGGGACGAGGACCAATCAACGGAGGTTTCATTCACTGACCAATGAGCGGACAGGATGCTCCGTACATCTCCGAGCAAACATGGAGGAGAAGTTGATTATTATTATGTTTTATGTTGTAAAATCAGAAGCAAGATTTCACATAACTCTAGCAGCACCTTGTGAAACATCATATCTACCGCTTTATTAACTCTGAACCGCTTAAATAACCTTAATTCCCTCCAACCTGACACAGCCAAACAAAACAACGGAAGGTTCGATTTCGCCATGGAACAGAACGCGTAGACAGCTTTGCCGCTGGTCGCTGCCGCGGATCGCCTCCCGTGTGTCAGGTAATAAAAGCGACAGCGACAAATTTCGCTGATCGCGGTCGTTTGTCGCCTCCCGTGTGTCGAGCCCATAAAGCCGCACCTCATTATAAGCCGCATGGTTCAAAGCGTGGGAAAAAGTAGCGGCTCATAGTCCGGAAAATACGGTACGTTCGCAGTATCAACCTGCACATTCTCACTCTATCAGCTCAATTAACTGCATCAAAAATGGAAAACCTGCTTCAGAAAATAAAAACTTGGCAAAAGTCTCTTAACTAACCTTTTCACGTGTGTATGTATCGATAATGATCATGTTTTACATCACTGCTCTGAGCTTCAATTGACTTATTTTAAAATGTTCTTCAAAATAAATGCAGTGTGTGCAGAAATTACAGCAAAGCTTGACCAAAATAACATTCCTGTTCTGTTCCTCATGCAACAGTGCTCCTAAATTCACATCTGGACAGAAGAAATTTTATTTAAAAGGGGAAATATCATGACTTTGTTTCTTAAAGAGCAAGTCACCCCCCTACAAAAAACTTACTCCACTCCCACTTCATGTCTGAAAAATGCAACAAATTCTGTTGCCTGGCAGACCAAGAGGGCGGAGCCGCTAACAAATACACACACACAGGCTCACAATGGCATTGTGACATCGTAATGTACCAGATGACATCATAGCACACCTCTTAGCCAATAGCGGTGGCAGATTTAAATTCAAACACAGCGCAGAATTTTTCCCTGACGACGGTGCAACACTGACAGTTTTAGGCAGAATATTTGAATTTTAACCAAGATGCACTGAACTGCAAAATTATTCAATACACGTGTCTGCAGCACGATTAGACGCTCGTTTATGTAGTTTATCAGCAAAAAAAAAAGTGTTTTGGGGGTGACTTGCTCTTTAAGTTGTAATAGTTCTATGGTATGGTTTCCCCTGAGCTGTTCATGCATCATTAGTTTGATGCATCTCCCGAGCGACTCCCTCGCACGTACAGTCTAAAAGAATCAAACTGCAGATTGTGTGCGCCAATCACTTGTGAGACTCTGCAGCCTGAATTTGGTTTTAATTTCCATGACTCTCTCCAAGACTGTGAAACTGCTCCTCGCTCGGTCTGAAATAGATCTGGAAGAGATTCTCATGTCGGTGCAGCTACAAAATTCTCCAAACTGAGAATTTTACAGACCCACACCTTTTTATTTTTTGATGCCACTTCCTCCACCTCATCGTTATCACTAAATGTAAACCCAGTGCTTCCATCTAAAGGCCTGCCATGTAGTTCCACCATTAAAGAGCAAGTCAACCCCTAACAGAGTCTAACTCCACTGCCAATTCATGTTTGAAAAATGCTACAAATGCTGTTGCCTGGCAGACCGAGAAGGCAGAGCTGCTAACAAATACACACACACACAGGCTCACGACATTATTGTGACATCATAATGTACTAGTTTACATCATAGCATACCTCTTAGCCAATAGCGGTGGCAGATTTAAATTAAAATACAGTGCAGAGTTTTTATCTGACAATGGCACAACACTGCCAGTTTTAGGCAGAATATTTAAATTTTAACTAAGATGCACTGAAGTGCCAAATTATTGACTACATGTGTCTGCAGCACGATTAGACACTCGTTTATTTAGTTTATCAGCAAAAAAAAGTTTTTTGGGGGGGTGACTTGCTCTTTAATGTGGACTGGTGGAAAGGTTTAAGTGGCACATCGGACCGTTTAGGTTGGCAAGAGAGACAGGTTAAAGAAAGGATGTTAATTTGTTTCCTAGTTTGGAGATAATTAGTACGGCTAACCGGAGTGATGAATGGAGACGTTTCTTGTTTTTATCAGTCCCTCATCACTTTTTGTTTTCCTGGCATTTGTAGTCGATCCTTTCAGCGGAACACCCTGACATTTCCATCCAACACCTGGAGCGAGAGTGGCCGAATGAGATGATCAATAGTTTCCTCCTCTTGATTCATCCGCCCTGAATGAGGAGAGCATCTCCATTAATGGAAGCTCTTCAATGGCTGCACGTTCAAGATGCTTCGCTCAACGAGAGGCGTTGGTCAGCAGAGACATCAAACATGAGTCGGGTCTTTAATCAGCTCTTAAAGGAGACTGAGAGGAGCTGAAGGAGGACACAGAAACAAAATCGTTACTTCTTCAAGAAAGGAGGAAAAACGCACATTTATCCCTACAGCGTGATGCTGTGACCTCTTCTGTGAGTCTCGTTCAGCAGTTTTTACCTTAAAGAGCAAGTCACCCCTAAATCAACTTTTTTTCCCCGATAAACTATATAAATGCGTGTCTAATCGTGCTGCAGACACGTTTAGTCAATATGTTTACATTTTAGTGCATTTTAGTTAAAAATGTAAATTTTCTGCCTAAAACTGTCAGTCAGGTAAACTCTGCACTGCAATTGATTTTAAATCTGCCATCGCTATTGGCTAAGAGGTACCCTAGAACTGGTACCATATGATGTCACAATGTCATTGAGAGCCTGTGTGTGTGTATTTGTTAGCAGCTCCGCCCTCTCGGTATGCTAGGCAACAGCATTTGTTGCATTTTTCAAACAGGAAGTGGGAGGTAGAGTAATATTCTCAAAGGGGGTGACTTGCTCTTTAAACGATCATGAGAAGACTGTGAAATAAAATATATATATATATATATATATATATATATATATATATATATATATTATGGTTTTCTAAGAACAGTTGAGATATATGTGAAAGTTTATGATGGAATAAAGATGATTCAGATTAAATTCAGAAATCAACAGGAAAGGTCAGAGTGTAGAAGACGGAGTGCCATATGGTGGGGAGAAGGGCGGATTAGCGTGAGTGAAGCTTTCTCTAAACACGAGCATGCAAGGACAGCGTTTGTCTAATTTGTCTCAAAGAGAGGGTGAATGAAGGGTTTATTATACATTTAAAGAATTAGAACATTGAACACACCCTTTCAGAATACCTGTTTCAGTTCATCTGTTTAGAAATAGCCTTAAGGCCACTTTCTTGGGTGGTTCTGCATTTGTTGTTTATTTTTAAATGCCCCAGGTGACACTTGTGCTTGACCTAATATTGCTAAATAAAATTCTAACTTATAGTTAAATTAAATTAAATTATGATTATTCCATACTTTATGTTCATTAAGAAGCAAATCTAATAAAATGGTAGAATATTCAGTTGTTTTCACTTGTTTTATTGTCATTTTGCACAAATGTGCCAAAAATGTTGAATTAGCACATTTCATTAGTAAACTATAATCTGCAGATATTTCAAGACACATTTTAGTGATTCTGAGCTGTGTTTTGTGTAAAAGTAAAGAATCATTAGTCACCCTTAAGGTAGATTACTTTCTGAATGGCCTCAGTTAGGAGAAATAGCTTTGGAGTAGGTTTCATTTGAAAAAAGACATTTTAGAAACATTTAAATTTATGTTACTTTTGCTGCTGTTTTTCACATTTATGCATATAAAAAAAATCACATTCTTACCTTTAAATGATAGTCATTTAAAACTGACAGAGGTTTTTCCAAATCAAATTTGAATGATAATGTTGGAAATGTTATGTTTTTTTCTGACAGCAGCTGGTTTGGTTAGCTGATTTGTTCATTTTGGATGCAAACTCCATTTCTCCAAACAGTTTGGTTAGAGGTGGGGTTTCCCCAATTGTTGGTAGTGCTAACTAAGCTTCTGTGATTTTGAATCAAAGAATAAAAAATTGCCGGGTTTTTCACCCTAAATACACCACACGCTGTCAGGGGCGCAACGTACCATCACTGATTCGTGATCGACACGGGGTTCGGCACGCGCATGGTCCTCGGATCGGTCACAAAGGGGGGCCAAGGCGCTACCTGTTCAATCCAAATGAGAAACGCACAGCAGTGGTCATAGCGGAGGAGGAGCTTGAAAACCCACCTGCATCGTTAAAGTTCATGTATGGGAGCATTTAGGCTTTCCTGTAAAATACAATGATGATACAAACTGCAAAAATGAACACACACACACACACACACACACAAAGGGGCCTCAAGTATGACAGTGCAGCGCCGCTAACTCATTCCAGCGATCGCTGTAAAGCAGGGAGGGAGGTGACGCGTGCAGAAATGCCTGGTGACACCGGAATTATTGGTGAGACAAATCTGTAAGTGAGGAGAAAAGAAAAATAAACGCTTCAGGAAGGTGAGGAAATGAGTGAAAGCAGGACACGCAGGGAGTGAGCGAGCCGTCTTACCATTTAATCAGCAATCGGACCTCTCTGTAACTCTTATTTTCATAGCAAGTAGCAAAATGAGCCAAAAATGTTCTACAGAATAAAGACAGAGCAAAGCTATTCGTCTTTTCTTTTTTTATTCTTTCTGCTGATCCAAAAAATAATCCTCGACTGAAAATTGCGATCCGATCCGATTCATGAGTTGATTAATCTATTGCACCACTACACACTATACTGTCATGGTCTGTGTCTGCGTCTCATCTCATGTGTCTCCTTCTGTCTTCCATTCGTCTCTAGGTGCTCATTTTGTGTCTTCTAGCGCCCTCATGTGTCTCCTGCTGTTCCCCATTTGCCCTCTAGGTTTCCCTCCTCAGGCATCCCCCTCCCAGGTCCTGTGCTCTCTTGGCCCCCCTCTTAGCCACGCCCCTGTAGTTTCTGTCTGTAGTGTTTTTCTTTAGTGTCAGCTTCCCCTTAGAATATTAGTTATGGTTATTGCCTTCTGGTCTTTTGTTTTTCTCTTAGGTCATTTACTGTTGTTACAGCCTTTCTTTATTTAGTGTGTTTTTTCCCACCAGTGTTTTCTTCCTCCTCCCTGATTTAGTACTTGTGTTCACCTGGTCCGTCTCCCCACACACCTGCAATTCATCTCCCTCTCTTCTTCCCAGTCTATATAAGCCCTGTCTTGTCTCTGTGTTGCGTCGGTCCATTGTATGTTTGTCAGCGTTTGTTCGTGCTCTGGTTGAGCTTTTGTCTCCAGGTCTTCGTGCTCTTCGTGAGCTTTTGGTCTTCAGGTTTTGGTGCTCTGAGAGAGCATTTTGATGTCCTGTTCTCCAGGACTTTTGGCCTGCTGCCATTTTCTGGATTTATTTTTTGTTCTTCCTAAAATAAAGGATTTTTTACTTTTACCAACTTCTGCCTCGAGTCATCCTGGGTAATCTGCATATTCTGGTCCTAAACATTCGGCCACAACCTGACATATACACTCACTGGCCACTTTATTGGGTACGCTGGCCCAACTGTTTAACGCAAATGACTAATCAGCCAATCACATGGTAGCAACTCGATGCATTTATGAATGTTGACACGGTCAAGACGATACGCTGCAGTTCAAAACGAGCTTCAGAACGGGGAAGAAAGGTGATCTAAGTGACTTTGAAAGTGGAATGGTTGTTGGCGCCAGACGGGCTGGTCTGAGTGTTTCAGAAACTGCTGATCTCCTGGGGTTCCTGCTTGTGCGTGTCTGTGCCACAAGCAGGTGTTGTACCATTTTCTAGAACCTTCAGATTATGTGACTCTAAAGTAGAGCCTGAAGAAAGTGGTCGGACCTTTGAATCAATGCTTTTTTTTTCTCCAAAATGTGGCTTCTTGAACGGCTTTTTCCAAGAACAAATACAGCACCTTTAAGTATGAGGAAAAAAGAAAGTATAAAGCATTTGTCAAATGATTAAATGTATGCAGCTTTAGATTGCTCGGTTTCCCAGTATGCCACTGAGGAAATGACCTCAGCGTCCACAATTGTTGCTGGAGACATGTGAGGATGTGAACTTGCAAACAAACAAGACAAGCTGACCTCATTTTCTCCATTCTTGTTGCCTCACTACAACCATCCCAAGACAAAGGGACGCACAAAGTGAAAAGTGGCGTCTATAATTCATATCACAGCAGAAACTCAACCCAAATGTAGGTCACACCAGTGCTTGTGCATCTTCGTCAGGTCTCGGCCAACTGCTAGGGTAGACGCTGACGTTTTTCGTCCTCCACCTTTTGCACGAGCGGAAATCCAACAGCTCTGTGTGATATTTTACTTCAGGTGGGGCCTTGCATGACCACTGACCTATATGTTAGCTCTCTTATGAGGAGCTCCGTTGCCATGGTGCCAACAGCGAGCAGATGCGGAGCTAAGACCGAGGCGTGCAAGTTCCCATTTAGAGGACAAAGAAAATCTGTGTCCGTGTGGATTTTGTGTTGCCATTCGTTAAAAACAGTCATGCAAAGATCTGGGAAGGCCCTGTGCGATTCGACGGAGCTGCGAAACCCGGCGCCTGATGGAGGGGTTGTCCTATTTTTTCAGATTTCACACAGAGCTGCCTCTGCCTCTGCCTCTGCTTGGCAGAACTTCCCATCAAATATTCAGGACTTCACATGAGAGGGAAACACTCGGCTGCAAGGCTGCAACTAGGAAGAAAGTAGGTCCCGACCCGAATTCTCCAACCCATGCACAAAAATGAAGATCCAACACTAACACAAGGCTGAGCTGTGGCTGCCTGATACGGCTTCATTTTTCCAGCAGTGTCACTGTGTGTGTGTGTGTGTGTGTGTGTGTGTGTGTGTGTGTGTGTGTGTGTGTGTGTGTGTGTGTGTGTGTGTGTGCGCCTGTACTATGAATAGCAAAGCTGAGCTGCACAAAGGCACTAATTGTTTTTTTTTGTCTCAGCAGCACCAACAATCCACAGACGAGGTCCCCTCCATTCAAACAGGCAAAGATGGAGGAAAAAAGACCTCAAATCCATCATCTGGACCCGGGGTCTCCCTGTCACACCAACAAATAACGACGAAGGAGCCGAGGAAAGACAAAGAAAAGCTTCAAACCAGACTTAAGTGTCTCAGACTTCCAAAGATAAGAGGTCAAGGCCAAGTGGTGAAAGTGATAGGTCGTAGCATCAACTAGATCACCCAGAGAGGCGAAACGCTACACGGAGAGCACAATGCCGGGCCTTGTGTGCATCTCAACTTGAGACAAAAATAAAGGAGTGCATTCATTAGAGTCTGCAGATCAATGCAAAGTGGAATTAAAAAATCAGATAAAAAGTTTAAAAATGAATTCAAAAAAGATTTTAATGGCGTTAATATGCAACAACAATCTTTTATTACTTTGTTCATAGCAAACTGAAAAGGGGCAATTGTGTTCTTGACTGATTATGGTGCTGTTCACGTGCACAGTCTGTGCAAGGTTCCACTTTATTTACGTGAGATGCAGAATATTAAATTGTTACACAAAGAAGCAGAACTGAGAAGAAGTGCACGATTAATCTGCTTTAAGGATCTATTTCTTCTATTTCTGCTCAACTTAATTATCAACAACAACAAAAACAAAACAAAAAAAAAACAGTTTCCTCTGATTTAACCACACTAATATTTTCACATTATTCCACCCAACTTCAGTTAAGTCAACATCCTACCTACAAACCATGATTAACACGAGTGTTTTTCTGTCAATGACACCAGATTATCTCACAAAGGCTCAAACCCACAAAAAGAGACACGGCTGTAAACGCTGCCTGCTCACCGTTACACCACTGGAACGGGTGCATCAATGCGTCACGGAGAGTCCTTGCCGCTGGGTTCCGATTCGTGTTTACCAACAAGCTGCAGACGCCCGTGCGCCCAAGATGCGCCAGCGGAGGAGCGAGTGCGCCAGCTGGGTGAAAGGTGGCCGAGACAATAGCACCTGCGAAAGAGGTGGTTGTAGAACGAACTGGGAAAGAAAAAGGTGGACGAAGGGCGTTTCTTTTCTTCCTTTAGCAGCAGCAGCAGCAGCTTTGATGTGCCAAGTCGCTCGCACGCGCTGGTTGAGTCAAAAAGCAGAAGTGATGATGCGTAGGCCTCCTCACCTCACCCTCACTGCTGTGCTTTTATTAATAGACTGCATGACAATGACCCAGGAGCAGCTGCTGCTTCTGTGTGAGAGGAAATGTAGAGCATGGGCTCCTCGATTCACTCGCCCCGCCCCGACAGACGCCCCTGACGCGCAGAGACCAATCTTCCGCGCGCGCGCGAGTGTGTGTGTGTGTGTGTGTGTTGTTTTGACGGCATGACTGGACTAACAGTCAGGGGTGGATTATTATTATTAAACAACTCGTTCATGAAAACATCTTTGCTGAAATAACTCCCCCTCTCCACTAGATGGCGACAGAATTCAGCCAGGAAGACATTTTTTTATGATCTTTTTCACCATTTATCATTTCCACTCAGATGTTTTCAACTTTATACAAAATTAAAGTTTATAGTGAAAATAATTCTGTAAATGGCTTTAAAATGGTTTTATTATTGTATTTAAAAAGTAGCAGTGAGCATGCGCAAAACCACAAGGAGCGCCAAAACACGTATTTTTTTTATCTTAACAATGTTTTTTTTCTAATTAATTTTCTAGTTTCCTGTAAAGACCAGAAGTGCAAACGATGATCAATAATTAACCTGTTTTAAAAATTTAAAGTGTTGTGGATGTAGTGTGGACCGTTAAGTTTTATATTTGGAAGTTCAGGTGGGGTTCACAATTATTAAATGGGCTAATTGTAACAGTTACATGAATGTAATGCAGTTTTTGTAATAGTTTAGTCACAAAAGAACCTGATTGTACTTGATTTTAATTTTTTTCCCACTTTCATTGAGGCCTATGTTTCAGAAAGTTCACCCTGGAAATTCCAGGAGCACACAGAGAACGCTTCATTTATTTAAATTATAATTATTTTTTGTTTCTTTTGAGAATATATTTAATATTTTTCTGATATTTTGAATGTTAGTTTCCTTAAATTAACTCTAGAAATGTTTCTTTAAACATGTCCAAATATGTCCAAAGAGACAACAATTATTTTATTTTATCAAACAAACTGCTTCTTCATATTAACGTTAGATTTAAAGCTGTTATAGCGAATCTGCAAACAAGCTAAGTTTGAATGCAAATATGGTCAGAGAACCATAGACATGAATACGTAGACGCCCCATTGGGCCCTGGAGAGCATAATGGCGTTGCCGCCATACTGGATGGGTTCCTCACTCTCCAAACCCAAGTGGAATCAACACAGAGTGAACAACTATGCCCATTTTTTGTGCAGTTTACGGCTGCAACAATGGCATACTATTGAAAATAAATCATGTGGGATTACTATTGACTTTTCTAGCCTACCTGTTGGGATTTTATATTTTACATTTTTTATTAATTTGTATCTATAGTTTAACTATCATACTATAACATATATCTAATTTTATGACAAAGCATAATAAAATATGTTTTAGTGTGGTAAACACTTTCCTCAGTAGAAATAAATGCACAGGGAGCAAACGGAGACACATCCAAGATGGCGGCCAGCCACTATGGCAGCTCCAATAGGCAGCACTAGTCTACATATATATGTCTGTGCATGGAACACTCACCCCTTCCCACGGGTATTTTCCCCGGAAACCCACATTGCCAGAGGAAACAAGATAGCACACCAGTCGCCATTTTCTAGGTCCAAAGGTTGTCCGTGACTTCAAATTCTGTGTTTCTGAACCGCAAACCTCTTACACCAGTGGTGTTCTGCTGCTAAATGCGCATAATGAGTGTGGGACCCGGGAAAGCGTGGCAGTTTGGCGACATCGACAACCAGATGGCCCAAAAGTTGCTTTTGGTCCAAAACGTGTTATTGGCAGAGGTTTTTAGACAAAGGTGAAAAAACACTTTATTAATGTTTAAATTTTTTAAATCACCACAATAAATTCATAGCTATACTATGATAGAATGTTGTAAAGAGGCATGAAAAAAATGTTTTAAGCTAATTTGACGATTTTCCCAATTTCCCATTGCAACTACAACTTTACAGTAGGGGTTAAATGAACTAGTCGACTAGTCGACTTCACGGCTCTGTAGTGACTTTTTATGCCTGTCATCGACTAGTCGCTGTCACGTGATAATGACTGACAAGATGCAGTCCTCCAGCAGGTGATGAGCCCCTGCACGTCGGGAGGCAGAGGCGAGGCGCTGTGCCAGAACGTCGGTACTGACACCGGCGGTAAAATGGACATTTAACCAAACTGTGACCTTTTCCCTCTTGCAATTTTACCTTCCCCCTCACCCCCATCCTAATCTTAACAGGTTTGCGCATGCAAAGCTCTGATCGTTGACGCGCTCCAGACATCTGCGTCCTGAGCACCGCCAAATCAGGTGTCACCACCTCAAAAACAAATTAAACACGCGATCGTTCATGTCGGCTCATTTCCTTTCCTGTTTTCTGTCTGTTATTTGTGTCTGATGCGTTTCGCTGCTGCGGAGCGAGGCGCATCACCTGTTTTGTCCTCCGGTGACGCACCCCCAAGATTCGACTATCTCCGCTCCGCTCCGGCACGATCTCCGCAGCAAAAACGGTCCCGTTGTAGTCGGCCGGCGAGCAGCGGTACTCCGCTGTTTTTGCGGTCGGTAGATCTTTTAGAACTGCAGTTCAAAGGTAACTCATAAGGTGAATATATATGAACCCAGGTAGCAGTTTTTCTTTAGGACTGAGCGGAGATGCAGGAAGATAAACAGACAGGACAGAAAAATAGTCAAATAAAAACAAGTTAGTTTTTGTACCTGCTGGTTGCAACAAACAGACACCACTGAAGGTAATCAGAAGTGAGGAACAGAAAATGAAATAATTATTTTAATGTTTAGAGCAGCAGGAACTCTGAGAGGCTGCAGGCGCATCAGTTTGCTGCTGCTGCGCAGGGGGAAGTGGGAGAGGGCTGAAGTAGGATGCAGAAACTACCGTTGTTAAAAGAGATGTGTTAACTTAGAAAATGTGGGCGCAATTTTTATTGTCAAAAACTCCAGCGAACCTACTGACCCCCCCCCCCCCCCCGCTTCAGGTGAATGACGTCATCAACAACTAGTCGAAGTCGACTCGACTTTCATTCCTTGACTGTCGACTTTAAAACAAATTAATTCATGCAACCCCTACTTTACAGAATTATTAAAAGTTTTTCAAAAACAGAGTTCTTGACAGGCATGCACTCTGCAGCAGCAGTTTCGACCCAGACTGCTGAATGAAACCAGTTCACTGTTGTGTAGGACCCAGTAAAGCCAGTGGGAGGGCCTCAGAAGAAATAAGCCTGCTCATATGAGGTGAAGTTTGCAGTGTAGACGGGTTTGTGCATGTAGATCAGTGACGAGGCCTCTTTCTCTGGATTGTCAAAGTGATGCAAACTTCTCCTTCCTGAACAAAGTCAAAAAATAAGATCTGTTCATTAAATACATTTAATACATTTATGTTCATAGTCTATTAGTGAAAACAGAATTTGAACTATATGCTGCAATAATCTAATACAGTGTCGGCCGTGATACCTTCGTTGACGAAGAACTCAGCCAGCAGAGAGGATACCTGAACAGCATGAGGGGAGTGAGGAAAGCTGAGCTTTCTGTCCCACTGGAAACGGTTCACCTCCGGGTGCCACTGCACTCCATAGAAGGGATACTTTTTACCTGAGACGACAGAGGAAATACAACACTGAGCCATCACAGGCTTTCCTCCAGAGCAAGGCTTTGCTGTGACACGTTCACACACAAATACCTTCTAATGTGGACACAAAGTGGACTCCGTTTTCAGCTGTGTTTGTGGAGAGCGGTGTGAAAAAGCCGTGCAGCTTCTGGTTTTCCTGGAAGGTCTGCAGGAACATTTAGCATAAGAAAAATAATAATGTTTTATTATTTGTTGTTTCAAATCTTTAGTTCTTATGCAATTTTCTGCTCTTCTCTGGGTAACTAGTAGCCTAGTGAACTAGACCAAATTCTTGCTTTGCAAAGTTTGGTCTAGGAACGCTCCACTGGAACCTCTGCAGCCCCAACAGCATTCTGGCTGGCCAATCACAGCTCTCTAGAGGGGTTTCAAACACATAAAGAGCTGTGATTCGTCCATAATGGTGGGCCAATCATAGTTCTCTATCTGCTTAGTGAACAAATCACAGAGCTTTATCCGCTTTGTGGGCCAATCAGGGCACTCTATATGCCTGGTGGGTGGGATGATGCAACAGAGTGAAACAAGATGGCGACAGCCCGTTTGAAACGGCTTTTACATCAATTTTGGACGTTAGAACTTGGGCTTCATTAGAATCAGGAGCAGATAGATGTATTTAAATGCTTTTTTTTTAGAAAAGATGATGCGTTTTCTCCTTCAACTGCGGACCGCCTCATTTACCGATGGCTGTTGCGGTGAGTATGTCACATCCATTGTCCAGTAGCATGCGGAGATCATTTAAAAGACAACGGTAGAACCCGCCCCACAACCGAGAGCCGTCAACTAAATAATACATTTATTTAAATTTATTTAAATAAATGTATTATTTAGTCTGGCTTGCCAGGCTAGGTAACTAGTGATTTAGAGGCAATTTTGATCATTTTAAATAAGTGGCCAGAAAAAGTCAACTAGCTCTTAAAGGGATACTATGCAACTTTTTTACATTTTAAAATACTTTTCTTGAGCCAGTACGTGCTAAAATAACTCTTTATAGTGTTAATGAAATGTCAATAAGACCCCCTCTGCCCTCTGTGGTCAGAATACCGCACTTGCAACCGTAGAGTGCCGGTTCAGTCCCTCTTGGACTTATTAAAGTGAAGCTGACATGCCCGACACTGGAGTGCTTCCACCATGTTTTAGATCATGAACACAGCTGATTTGTTTGATTCAGTGATGAACCACTCCTGTAGACACCAATGAAGGCTGAGGAAACATATTAGCAAGATTAAGGTGTTAAAAAGAGGAAAGCACAAGTAAGAGTTTGGCTACGGTGGCACAGGAGTTAAGCGCTCGCCCTGTAATCGAAAGGTTGTACATTCGAGCCCCGCTCAGTCTGTCGTTGTGTCCTTGGGCAAGACACTTAACCCACGTTGCCTGCTGGTGGTGTTCGGAGGGACCGGTGGCGCCAGTGCACAGCAGACTCGCCTCTGTCAGTGTGCCCCAGGGCAGCTGTGGCTACAATGTAGCTCATCACCACCAGGGTGTAAATGGGAGAATAACTGATTGTGTTGTAAAGCGCCTTGGGGGGTTCCAGGACTCTAGAAGGCCATTTTACTTTTGTTTTTACTAACGGACACTAAGGGGCGCTAAAAGCAAGCCAAAATGGCTTGAAACTTTTAGTCAATCAGATTTTATAGTTTTCCAATAATAAAATGTGGAATGATGAAAACTGTCTCATCAAATATTTATAATAAGTTGTTATCTAAAAGACTCAAAACATTTGTTTCACCTTTTGTCAGGAGTAGGGGAAGTTCTGGAGATTTAAACACCTGTTATTTGCACAGTTTGAAACAAAAACATGACTTTATGTTGATTAAGCAGAAATTTTAACATTTGACTGATAACATCCTGCTGCATCAAAACTGGTCAACCTGCTTCTCTGGAAATGTGTTTTTTTTTTATATTAACTTCTCATGGAAGTTTCAGTCAAAAACTCAACAATGGAAGTGAAACAGCAGATGGATACCTTCACTTCCAGTCCATAGTTGTGAAAATTTCCAGTCAAAGGTTCTTCTGCCAAGGCCTTTAAGAGCCTTTTAGGAAAGTTCTGGAACATCCTGCTGGTGAGGGCATCTGGAATCAAGTTAATTTAAAATATGTTAAATAGCTTCTTTTTTTCAGTTATAAACAGCTGAATATGCAGATTATGTTTCTTCCGGATACCAAGTGTCGCAATTCGGTTTACGCAGTTTTCCTGCTTTACGATAAAAAGTCTGTAACTAATGACAATGAAAAGACCACCCAAAGCTTTCACCTGCTGTTAGGTTTAGGGGCAGGGCGACGTTCTCAGCCGTGGTGTTGGTCAGCAGATTTTGCCCAGCCACCAGCACTGTTAGAAGCTGCATGCCCATGCACGTACCCCAGATGGGGAAGAAATCTCCTGCATCGTTGGCCTAGAACAAACACAGTCGATGATTTAACTTCTCTGTGCAAAAATAAATCAAACAGTAAAAGTTTAAAGAGCAAGTCACCCCCAAATCACATTTTTTTTTGCTGATAAACTTTATAAACAAGTGTCTAATCATGTTACAGACACGTGTAGTCAATAATTTTGCACTTCAGTGCATTTGGTTAAAATTCAAATATTCTGCCTAAAACTGTCAGTGTTGCGCCGTCGTCAGGGAAAAATTCTGCACTGTATTTGAATTTAAATCTGCCACCGCTATTGGCTAAGAGGTATGCTATGATGTCTTCTGGTACATTATGATGTCATAATGCCATTGTGAGCCTATGTGTGTGTATTTGTTAGCAGCTCCGCCCTCTCGGTCTGCCGAGCAACAGCATTTGTTGCATTTTTCAAACATGAAGTGGGAGTGAAGTAAGTTTCTTGTAGGGGGTGACTTGCTCTTTAACAACTAAAGGTTATGGAGGAACAGCACAGCACAACTCTAATCAAGCTCAGGTCCAGGAGCTGATTGGGTTTTACGCTCCAAAACATTTAGATCTGGACAAAAGGACATACCTCCAGCGCAAGTTTGTAAAAGATCTTCGCCACTCTGGCGAAGTCTGAAGTCTCCAAATCAGCAGCTCCACCAATCAAAAGCAGGCTGAACAAACATAAAACAGAAGATATAATTATTAAATATGCAAATCACCTGCATATTTAAGATCAAATGCACTCACCCATTTATCTTCCAGAAGATGTTTTCATACTCAGCTGTTGTCAGAGTCAGCCTGGTGAAAGGAGCAACAGGATCTTGTTATTATTTAAATATTATTAAAGAGATAAATATCAGAGCAGTTCTTCCCACCTGATGGGCATCACCCTGCTTCCCCCTGACTCTAGGTACGTCACATAGGAGTCAGGTATGTAGGTCCTCCCAAACGGCCTCATGACGTCGTCAGAGACTAGCTGAGTTAAAATACCTGTGTGGTAAAAATAACACAGATAAGGAAGAAGAAAGCAACAGTGACACAGCATTTGCACAGGTTTTGTTTGTTTATAAAGCACCCTTCATACTACAAGTAGCTCAAAAACACAGAAAGGACTCATACCACCTTTGATTTAATCTAGGGATGTTCCGATCACATTTTTTGGCTCCCGATCCGATTCCGAGTCATTTGATTTTGAGTATCTGCCGATACCGAGTCCCGATCCGATACTTCAGCAATACAATAAAATAGCAAGAAAAAAGGGAGACTGCCTCCAAATTGACCTGTTAGGTTTTTATTATTATTATTATTATTATTTATATGACGGCATCCAACATGATACCATAAAAAGTTTTTCTTTGTTTTTCAGCATAGCTTCCAGTGTCGGCTGGCTCCATGTTTTGATCTGCGTTGCCGCGGTGAACTCGGAATATTGAGCTGGATGTTTGCTCTTGAGATGGCGGATCAGGTTCGTTGTGTTAAAAGCAGCTCTGTCTTTTCCACCACGTGAAACACTCGGTTTGCACACGTTGCAAGTGGCTGTTGGACAGCATTCGGTCTCCAGTTTAAAATGATTCCAAACCGCTGACATTTTTTTGCTCTCCTGGAGCGAGACGAGCATTAACCTGCTAGCTAACTGCGACCTGAATTCCGCGGTCCACTTTAAAACGTGTGACGTTACGGCTGCTGTATGGTGTTGTCATGTTGTTATTGAGGAAGTGAAACTTGGTACAAAATTAAGCCATTGTTATTCAATTTGAATCTCGATTGATTAAAAATGTCATGCTTGTTGTTTTATAAGGTTAAATCCGATCTTTAACATCCGATTCCGATCTTTTAAAAGTCACATGATCGGCCCGATTTCCGATCACATGATCGGATCGGAGCATCCCTAATTTAATCATCTACTTACAAAAGCCACTATTTGTTATTGTTTAAGGTGGTTTGGATCTCAGGATTTCCGAAGAACTTTCGGCATTTCACTTGTTTTCCTGTGACTTTTAGATGTTTTTTTTTCAAGATCATTTAAAGAAATTACAAGAAAAGTCTAATGTACGGAAGCAAATATCACTGAAAAACGGCTTCACTCACCGATCACAGGTCTGTCATTCAGTGGTTCTTGTTGGATCTTAGCAGGCATGGCTCTGACGCAGCAGCAGCAGAAAAAAACCCGCCACAGATACGCTAAAAATCTCACGCTGGACATGCTCCCAGTCACGATTCAGCAAATCAGCCCTGGAAGGTGGTTTAACGTGACGGTTTCTGACATTAGCCCGCTGTGGACTTAAATAGGCAGTGACAGAGGAGGATATGGTCGGTACAGGGAAGTGAGGAAAGCCCTGGTTTACATGTGATGTCTTACTGCACGTGCCGGTTAGACAAGTCAACTGCTGAGGCATGCATAAAACATCCTGCAGATGGGGTGGACTTTTTGGTGAAATTTTCATCCTCGGGCGTGTGGTAATTAGTGCAGCTTTGTGTGTCTGAAATGAGTTTTGCAACAAACGTAGAGAACATTCGAAAGGAAGGCGGCTGCGGGTTCCCACGGCTCAGAGATTTAAATCAGCGTCCGACACTTTAACACGTGAAAATGAAAACAGTGGTTCTAGAGGGAAGGAGGCTTGAAACGTGCACTGATCACTGTAAAAACCAGAGAAAATTCCACCTGTGGTGCACGTGCATTTCCACACTTTGCACAAAACCCTGAAGAAAGCAACACCTTCTGAAATGGATAAAGTTCCTATCAGCTTGCATAACCAAAGGGTGCATTTTCTTAATGCAGATGTGCAATTTTAGTGACAGATAAGCACTTTCTTCCCCCTGATAACGCAAAGATTAGCCAGATGCATTAAGGAAGTAAAGAATTTCTGGTTTTGATTAATAGATGGAACACTGCAAATGGCACACATGTTGGCGGTGTTTTAACCAAAATTACAACCCATATAGATCAGGTTACTTTAGTTTTATCGGCATTAAAACAATTAAGGAACTTTATTTTGTAAAATGTAAAATATCAGACTTGATAGATCTGCAGATGCATTTTATTTTAAAAGCTACAAAGTTAATTGGGATTCATAATTTGTAATGAATACATTTAGCAACAACATGAGTGAATATGGTCAACATATTGTAGCTCAGGTTCAGCACTGCATTATTATCCTTTTTAGCTTTATTACCGACAGCTGTTGAAACCACTGAAAGATGAAGTAATGTCACTTTTCAATTTGCAAACATTTAACCCTAACTGGGAAACCTCATAGTTCTGAGTTTCATAGAGGTGGTTTTATGATTCCCTGCCAAACTCAGATCAATACATGCCCCTGGTGGCTTTAACTGGTACTACAACAAGATGTGTCAGTAGGAAAAAAGATGCAAACAACATTAACAAACAGTAAAACGATTAAAACATTAAATATTCAATCTGATCAAGCACCAACGGGAAGGGCTGGAAGAAGTGGATGATCCACGGGAACCCCACGAAGCACAAAAACAGAACTTTATTTGGTCCTTTCAGGTGAGCTTTAGCCCAAAAGCAATTATTTCCAAACATCCAGAGGGGCAGCGGTCTCCATTATTGGTAAAATATGTTAGATGAGTCAGTTTTTCTCTGGAAAACAAAACAAAAAGCCGCTCAGCCAGTGCACGCTCCGGTAGTGAGACATCAAATTGAACTAAATTGCTGTTATTTTGTTGTTTTTACATGCATTTATTTGACATTTGCACCAGTCATTCACAGATTTTTCCCACAATTCAGATTTTTTTTCTCCTGGACAGCAAAAGAAATAGTGAACTCTTCAGTCAGTAAGGTGTGCAGCCACATGTTAGCCTCACCCTTGAGTCGGTCTATTTCCTGCCAAATATCTTCACGTACAGCAGCCAACAGCTCTTCCTTTGGTTTCAGACCATCCAGAAACACTAGAAAAAAAGATAAACCAGCCAGTATTATTTGTATTAGTACAGAAATATTAAGATTTTGTGCATTTAAAGGTGCAAAATGTAAGAATATAGTGAGAATTTTACAGTGAGAAAATCCCAAATGAGTCCAATATTTCAGTCATTTTGGAAGGAAGGTTATACTGAATCATATTTCACATCCAGCTGGCTGCTGGGATTGTCAAGTTTTTCTGCTTTCAAAACAAAGGACGGAGGGACGTAACTAGGGATGGGTACCTTTGGCATTTGAATAGATTCGATACTAATTCCCGGTACCTAGGAATCGATACCGGTACTTAACGGTACCAATTTTAGATACTTTTGAGTGTTTAATATTTTAATTCTCCTTTATAATTAAATATATATTTTTCTCAATTTATAACTACATTTGATAAATATCACGATAAATAACATACAACTGTTTGTATTTTAACATCATCCTTGCAGTTTTATAAGTTGATAATTAAACTGAAGCAAACATCTTTACTGTGAACTAAATTTACTGTGTATCTTCATTCCTTTTGCCGTCCTTTTTCATTTGATTTTTCCTACTGGGAAGTTAGAATTTCCGAGGAGAAAGCGAACGCACCGTTAGCTGATAACAATGGTGGCAATTGAAGCTAACATATCAAGCTAACATTATCTTTAACAGTTTAGCTGCTGGAGCAGATTAAAACGATGATGCCTCACACTTAGATCGTTGTCGCTGGTTTCATCTTCACCCAATCACCCGTCGCATTTAGTAAAGTGAAGCCAAACTTTAGAGCGTGTTCATGTTCTTCTAGTCGGTAATTCGGAGTTCTGAGGAGAAAGCGAACGCACCATTAGCGGAACGGAAGCTAACAAATCAAGCTAACATTATCTTAAACATTTTATTTACCTACCGGAGCAGATTAAGATGAGGATGTCTCACTTAGATCGTTGTCGCTGGTTTCATCATCACCCAGTTACCCATCACATTTAGTGAAGTGGACCCAAGCTTTAGCGTGCGTTCTTTCTACCATGCTGCTCTGTTTACAACTCGCTCGCAGCGACCGATGACATAACGCTCTTGCGCGTGCGCAGCTGTCTAGGCAAGTTCTTGTTATGAAGGACGGGTACCGAAACGAGGCACCGTTTCAAATGACGTGAATCGGTGCTCAGTCGGTACTATGGAATTCGGTCGGTACCTTAAAAAGTACCGAATTCGGTACCC